CAGTACGGCACCAATTCCAATACGGGGTTACTTGTATGAACACCGTGTGTGCGACGTTGCCGATTAGAGGTGGTTTGGCACTTCATATGCAGGACGTGTTTAGGCAAGAGCTGCTGCAAACGGGGGCGCAGTGTACATGGAAAATGTGAGGACGTGATGCAATCCCTGGAGAGGCCCATGCCTCTTTTTGACATGACGACGTCCCGCATAGCAAACAAAGTTATCCATCGAGTCAAGATGATTGCGTGAGTGGAGCAGAGCAGAGGAACCATCGTCGATTTCTCATACTGACGTTCTGTCGTTGAAAGTACTTGGTGATGTATTTGCATAGCAACTCTTGTGGGCTGCAAATTGCTTCAGAAACTGTGCATTAGAATCAAAAACGCCATGCATTGTTGCAAGTATGACGAAGGAGACAGCGCTCTATAGTTTAGTTTCACCCCACATCGTTGGCCGCTTAGTCCCCTCCGGTTTAAAACTTATTGCCTGTGAAGTGTAATATTCTTCAAATTTGTTGTCTTCTCAATGAGAGTTTTGAAAGGATGCTGTGCCGTTTCACTTGTGCGGTCCAAAAAGCAATTTCACCACGCACCACCGTCTGTCAGACTCGAGAAAATGCCATTCGAAAGCTATATCCAGCCAATTCGCAGTTTTCGTGAATCCATCAGGCGAAAAGCTAGAAGATTATAAAATACCATTACGAATTTTCATAGCGGTCCCTTTTGCAAGTATAATGAAGAAGTCCATGTTCGAGAAAATTTGACTTCTCGAAACATCCAAATATGCTACATACAACAAGTTATCGTCTTAAATCCGAGTAGATCGGTACACACACCGACGAAAATGCCATCTTGAGGCGACATCTCAACTTTTCACGTCCTTCCCACCGATGATCCAAAATGACATTTCCAAGTATGAGTTGGACTATTTGGTAAAAAGGCATTCAAACTCAAAAACGGCGATTGTAATCCATTTTGTCAGAGCACGAGCAATACGCGCAAAGACAATTTTCCCAAAGGGGAGTATAAGCTGCAGAAGCAAGGTCATATCAAGTTTGTCGAATGTTGCGCTAGGAAGAATATTCGTTTTGCATGGGCAAGGCATGTCAATCCTCGTGAAACGTGCGTTGTTGAATGCAGCTATACATCATTCCAGGACAATGAATCTGCTTCAAGGAACGCTAATGAAGCGTATTTCGCGCGCACCAACCCGCAAGCTTGCACTTGAGATAGCACGCCTTTGTCGTAATATGAGTGTGAAAATGAGCGGTGATCAGTTTTCTGTTAATCCTCTTCGTTCGTGGATGGAATTTTGAACGTCTAAAATGACGAAAACTTCGCATCTTCTCTTCAATCGTTACCCGACGGGTTCTCAGTAGGCGACACAGTTTGTAGTGAAGGTATCTTTAACGTAGGGTAACGTTATGTGGATTGTCGCGCATGAATGATTTTGACGCGTTTTGATGGCAAGGTCAAGACAAGAAATTGCCAACAAAAGAAGATCCTTCGAGTTTCACGACTAAAATACGACTCTAAGATGATTCCTGCCAAACCGTGTTTACGACGGCGACGCGCAGCTCAGAGTCACCCACAAGATAGGTGCACAGACACCACTTGTGAATGGTGTTGTAGTGCGTGAGAGCCGTCAGTCGTTTGGTCAGATGCGCCTTGGACACCATTGCATGATCCGACGCGGCCAGCGTGCCAAAAAAGGTTTGCTGCGACAGGTCTTCAAAAACATCAAAGCAAATTCAGCTTCTGCTTACCGCATTGTTACCGTGTAAAATTGCATCGATGCTGGCAGTCGAATCCTGCAGCCGCAACACGCAGGTGTACCCCAGTGCAGTGCTTGTTGGCCTACAAGGTTTTTCACAACACCACCCGTGCTCGTTGGGAACGAGAAGTCAGCTTACATGGAGTGTGGTGCATCGGATACCCACACATCGATCACCTGCGCTGTGCACTGCGCGAGTTGAGGTGGCTACGGCAGCACAAGCGATAAAAAATCAACCTCACATGGAATATGGTACCTGCAACAGCAAGAGCTCCACCAAGGACATTGCTGGGCACAGTGCTGACATTGGCTGGACTCCTGTGGTCGACCTCTTTGCCTTCAGCGGGTCCGATCTACCGTGACCATCAAGGAATATCCTTGCAAACAACCCGCCTTTGTGCCCACCTCTCCAACGCATGGCGCACTTCGTAGATGTTGTCTGGCAGGATCTCAAGACTTGATTTCGCTCGAAAGTGGAGCGTCATCGTGGCACCGTCGTCCTGTAGCTCGAGTTCAACAGCTCGAAATTTGCACCAGTGCGACTCGACTGCCGGAAGCAGTCCAAGCGACGTCAGCATACTCCACTCTTCGTGGACGCGAAGGGGAATACAGGTCTCATCGTCATAGCCGTCACTCACGCTCAACAGTCCCTAGTTGGCCGGACTCAAACTCGTTTCCGGTTCGTCACTCCGCCGTACGGAATCGAAAGTTGCGTCGTCCTGGGACATCTTGACCACTTTCGCAACGACATCCACGACATCCCCCGTCACCAAACTTTTGCAGTTTGCCAAGTGAATGTACCCTCTCGTGTTTCGAGGGGGAAGCGTTGTGTCGGTGGCAAGCGTCTCCCTGGACCATTTGCTACCACAACACGACGTAATTCACCATCAAAAACACGACGTGTCCGTCGTACATGAGCGCCTGGCATCGGTCGTAATCGCTGGAAGTGAAGGTGCACGTTGCTTGGGAGTGCAACACTGTGAGTGAGTCGTCGGCACCAGCGCGAATGACGACGTTGGTCGAAACTGTGGACGAACTACAGCACGCATGGAGAATTGGCGAGCAAATCTTTGCGATTATCAAACCGAACCTCGTTCCAACATCGTGGTCTTCGTACTTGTTCAGCACCAACTTGTGTACCCGAAGGATATCTCCGATGAACTGCATCCCGACACGTCAGTCGTAACTTCCACACGTCGATCGTACCACGATCTTGGGTAGCATCTCCACAGTTGCAGCAAATACGTTCACGTAATAAGCTTGTTGCCTTAGTGGCCGGCTTTCGTCGATGAGTGACACTGTCATCTGCGCAAATGTTGTTTGGCCGATCGACTTGGGTAAGAATTTGTACCACATAGTCGCGGCGACCGCTGCCACTCAATTTTGGTTTGGTGTATGACGTGACGACCCCATATATGTTGCCTTGGCTTGAAATGTTGACGAGGCTGGAGTAAAACACGATCTTGCTCTCGCCAACTCCCCGCAGCCCTCGTTCGTTGGGTTTCTGGCAATGGCACAGTTTACGACATGAACGCTTGAATAGCTGGCCACCTTTTTTTGAGCTGCCGTTGGCATAGCTGCGGCTAAAATTCCAAATGTCAGCTATAAAGTCCGTGGAGTGTGTGCAGTACCAGCGATGGTTGTCGAGGTCAGCACTTGCACCGGACCGTAAACGATAGGACGAGAGCTGTTTTCTCGAGTGGCAGCTCGATATTTCAGCTCAATCTCCATGGCGTCACTTGTCCATTGGCCTGTGAGGTCACAGTGATCGAGTAGACTGCGGTCTGCCACTACGATTTGTGGAGAATCAGCGTCGAGGTCGCCCAACGACTCGGACTCGGCCTCCAATTGAATCACACCACGCCCCGACAAACCGACCATGAACTAGTAAATGCATCAGCGCCGTGGAGAGCACCATACAGGGCTTACATGCTGCACAAAATGCTGCACATGGTCGGCCCACAAGTCGTAAAAGTGCACGTAAACGCGGCGAGGTGCGTGTGCGTTTTCGCCCCAGAAGTTCCCGACGATCTCCACGAGTTCCATCGATACGACTCTTGACGCCGCTTTGGCACAAGGACCGCCTCCAATGTCAAAAGGACTATCTGGCAGCGGAAGTGAGCGCAACGGCCACACATTCCTCACTCGAGTGTGCTGAAGCCATGCATCAACCTCCATCGCGTTGGAATGAAAATGCTAGTACTTCTAGCAATACTAGTACTACTATCATGGACAAGACGATAGTATTACTAAACATAGCCCACACTTCTGTTGAAGTGACTTGGTCATCCAAACCATCACGGCAATCGCGACATGATCACGAGGAATCGCAACTGCCGAAGCACGGACAGCCTGTATTCACCGCTTTCTAGCCGAAGGGTTCTCATTCCCGCAGTATCAACGTCGTTCTACCTCAGGAGTCCAGACCGCAAGCCGTTGACATTCATGCGGAAGGTCGTGTTCTTCTCGTTCAAGACTCCTTGCAACTTGTACTGGATCGGTGGCCTTGCTTTTCTCGCGAGCTCCATCCTATTCTACCCATATTTCAACGCGCCGCAACGTGCCGACAACCTGGGCGACGAAATCGGCAGCCTCGGCTTTGTCTTTGGTTCGGTGACGTTCTTGGTGGGAAGTGGCATCGAGGTATATCACGCGGTGCCTGTTCAGTCCATTCCGATGCGTGGCGTGCTCCAATGGACCCCACTTATGTCGAGTTTGCTAAATACGATCGGGTCGATGCAGTTCGTGGTCGGCAGCTTCTTCTTCATCCCCGACTACTTTAACGCGTACCCGTCGGTGGGTTGTTTGCTTTTCATCGGTGGTTGTCTGTGCTTCTGTCTTTCCATCGTGGCAGACTTTACGCGATTCTCAACGTCTGAAGTGACGTCGGCGTTCGAATGGTCCGACCTCGTGAGTGTCTGGTTTCTCGCCGCCGTCGTCAACTTTGCAGGAAACGTCTTGTTCATCTCGGGGTGCTACTACTACCTTCCCCAGTTCCTCCAAGTCCCGGACGCTCACGTCGCCGCCGAGAACGTGTCGTTTGCCACGAGCCAATTCGTCGTTGGATCGCTGTGTTTTGCCCTCGCGCCTCTGCTTCAAATCTACAGCATGAACAAGGACCTCGACGCAAAATGCCTCTTCCGCGAGATCATGTAGACCTGTATCCTTGAATTGCCCCTTGTGTTTCCTCGCCAATCGCTCCGACGGCTTACACCGATTCCCTATCGGGACTCATTGTTGATGCCATCCTACACAAGCAACGGATGGCCCACTCTGGCCCATCCCAACTACCTGCTTCACTTTGTTCAAACATCGCCAAGCACTGAGGCTACAGACTATCCCATTGTCCACCGCCTCCATGCCATGTCCAAAGTCCACGTCCCAGCTGCAGCCGGACGGTCTCGCGCGAAAGCACTAGGATGCCACAGGACAAGGTCAGGTTGGGGATGTTCGCTTTGAATGCGAGCGGTTGACTCCAGCGCAGTAGCAAGCATGCTCTGTCGTCGCACGCAGCGTTCGATTCAACGGACTAGCTACACCTGCACACGCAGGGATCGAAGCCGACCCCGACGCGTTCACACGGCGCTTCCCTTTTCAATTTTGAGCAGCTCCACTTCAAACACCAAGTCCGACTTGGGGGGAATGCCACTGCGCCCGTGCTCTCCGTACGCCAATTGGTACGGGATCGTCATCTTTGCCACTTCGCCGATGCTGAGCTGCGGAATGCCTGGTGCAAATACTTTAGTGATCGCGCGGTGTCTATTGCCAGACAGTACCTTCTTCCCATCCTCGGATCACCGTCTTCTTTCCCAACGTAAACGAAAACGGGCTGTTGCGGTCACGAGAAGAGTCAAACTTGTCGCCGTTCAAAAACGACCCGACATCTGCGACAAGCGTTGTAGGCACGACGAGAAATCGAGAGTGCAGCTGAGCACGTACAATGCACGGTAACTCGATCCCCGGCCAACGGAAACGTCTTGCCATCGCCAGCAACAACTTGCTTGATCGAGACCTTGGGGCTGATCTGAACTCCGTTGATTGCAAGCAGATGCACGTCAAAAATCAAGTCCGCGTTGGGTGGGATCACGCCGCTCCCCGCACCAGACGCTCCATACCCCAAATGGGACGGAATGTACAAACGCGCCGTTTCGTTCAACGATAGCTTTGCCACACCTTCGTCCCATCCTTTGATCACTTCACCCAGACCGAGATGGAATTGAAACGGGGCGCTGCGATCGTAGCTCGAATCGAACTTTGCCCCAGTCACGGCTAACGTGCCAACATCTACCGACGCCTGCTTCAGCGGCCAAGTCACACTAAACTCTTACACAGTTCACTGTGACGGAGTCCCCACGCTGGGGATACGTCGAATGGTCACCGTCATGAACAAATTCAACCACAACGGTCTTTGCTTGTGTTGACAGCGGATCCACGATAGCCGAGGAGGACGTAGACAAGTATTGCACCGTCATGAGGACACACATAATAAGGCCAACGGCAAGTGCCTTGGGGGCCCAGGCCTTTCCAGAGCGCACCTTTCCGCGAGACCGCGCTTGATTCTCCGCCTCGAACAGCCCCATCTTAAAGTCCAGTTGGGGAACCTGTATAAATGAATAAAAACGTTAACTAATTTACAGCGGCGTCGTCCCTGTTGAAACGGTTCGACACGTGAAACGAATCCGTCGCCACGAGCATTGCCATGGGCGATGAGGCCAGTGCGATGGCCATCAAGCTGGGCCTCCGCAGTGCATACACGCATGACTGGAAGTCCAGCAGTTATCACGATAATGCGGCGGACTTGTTTTCCACCGTGCCGTCGGTGCCAGCTGTCGCACGGAAGCGTCCAAAACCTGGCAAACGAGCCTCCAATGCCACTGTTTCAGTCATGGAAATGATCGTTGGCAAGCCTGGCAATACAAAATCATCAGTAGTTCAACGCAACAGTGAAAAACCAGTACCACACGTTGAGGCGGCAGCCCCATCCAACGCTGCTGGAGAAAGCAGTGTCGCTTCAATCGCTCGTACCGCTCCGAAACATGCCCCCCCGCCGCGAGAGCAAAGGAATTCCATCTTTCAGAAAAACCAAGTCGCACCAGTGGCGCCCGCAAACACTTTCCAGAGTTCTAACGGCATCGACTGCTCCGCTGGGACAGCCACGTCATTGCCCACCTCGTCCAGCCCATCATTGAGGCCGCGCATGACACATGACGGCAACGGAGAGAAAAGTAGAGCTACCAGCCGATCCGAATGCTCCCAAAACAACGATGACTATGAGGCACTTCGCCCAGATTCCGAAATGAACATGTCTAGCGGTCGCGCCAGCCCAATTGACACGACTGAAGCTAGTAAACCCGATCATCCTGGACGGCTAAGGTAAGGCACACCTACCATGTCACTGGCATGGCTTACATGGCGCAGGTCGCAAACGCCGACGTCCATGTTCTACGAAAAGTGCGAGCGCGCTAGTCTCCTTCCCGAGCCCATCATCCAGAAAGCGCTGGCCTGCAAAGATGGCGTACTGAATTTGAGGTATTCTTCCCCGAGGAAGCAATCCATGAACTCACAGGGACACCAGCTCATACAGCATTGGTGACTCGCTGTTGCTCGCACTGGCAGACAGCTTGGGCGGAATCGAAACCCTCAGCAAAATCAGCTTCAAGGTACGGCATTCGATGAAGTATTGGCGTCCTGACACGCATTAGGACAACCGGTTGAGCGACAAAGGACTCTCTGCTATGGTGAAAGGTCTCTCAAGAAGTCGAGTGCGAGAGCTCGATTTGTCCCGCAACTACTTTAACGCCAAGGGCATTGCACACATTGCCCCGCTCTTGACGTCTCCGTCGTCCCCTCTCATGGACCTGGTACAGTCTCCTCCGCTTTTTCAATGGAACCAGTCGGCACCAAACAACCTCTTGTAGAATCTCGAAAACAACAGCTTGGGCGACAGAGGCGTTGTCGTCTTAGCGTCTGCCTTGGCGGAGAGCAGGAATTTGACGCGCCTAAACCTTAGGTGCCCCGGTGAATGTCATTCAAAGAAATACTGACGACGTCCATACAGTCGATGCAACATTGGGCACCAAGGCGCCACAGCTCTCGGGAACGCACTGTGTGAAAACGCCTCGCTCGTCGAGCTTTTCCTATCGTGGAACAAAATTCGGGGCTACGGCGCAACGAAACTGGCCCAAGGCCTTCAGCTGAGGTGAGTCATCCCAGTGGATCCAACGAGTTGACGGTGGTGGCTCGTAGTGTGAGCCTGCAAACGCTGGATCTGTCGTGGAATTCCTTCGGGTCCATCACAACGTCCGACGCGCTGCGAGCGTTGGGTGCGTCGCTGATGGAAAACAACGTGTTGACGCACCTGGACTTGAGCCACAACCGACTGCTTGAAAAGGACTGCCAGGTGCTCTCGACTGCCCTGAAAGGCAATACGTCCATTCGCGGGTTGCACATTGGCGGCAACGACCTCGACATTGACGCTTATGGCTTTGTATTCCCCGACGCAGCCCAAAACGACCCCGCCGGTGCTCATATATTCTCGCGCTTTGGCTTCAAGTGCTCGAAACAAGGCAAGAACGACTGGGAAAAACGGAGCAATTGTTGGATTTGCGAGCGGTGGGCAGAAGTGAGGTGGGGCGGTGTGCATCTCGATGTAGTAGGAGCAGTGAGATTGATTCACAGTCGGTGTTGTGGATAGATTCACGTGGAAACAACACGCCAAAAAGCCGGGCGAGGTCTTCTTTCGAGCTGAATTCGACTACTGGCAGCCCCACCACGCTCTTCCCAGTGCCCACGATCCGACCATGTGGGAAATCCATCGCATGGTGCCGCCGGGGATGACGCAGTTTTTTTTCGTGATCGATGGTGTTCCTCAGACGACCGACGCCCACATAGTACAGAAATTCCAGGCGCGAGTCTGGGGTGGCGTAAGCAATTACTCCCGCGGCCTTGACATGCCTGCGTCCAACGAAGTCAACATCGTCCGCGTCGACGAAACGGACGTGCTTGCCGACTTGAAGTGCAAACCTCGATCAAAAACACCTGGGCCGAACCAAGAAGACGACTGGTTCGCGAAATCGGTCTTTTGTACATTCCAACAAGACACGACCCAGCACCTGAACAATGCATTCGAAGCCGACTGGAATGCATCACGGGTACGATATCCCTTGTAGTTTCAATATGCTCAAGAATTCTTGCCAGTTGCCCAAGCTGACTAAAGACGCCGCCGACCTCGACCGAGCCAAGCACATGCTGGCAAAGAGCTTCGCCATGTTAAAATCCGTCTTCAAACACTACGCGACCACCGGGTACGGCAGCGTGCGGCATGCGTGCACATTCTAAGCATGCAAAAAAGGGGCACCGATCCGTTTACGCTTGGGTCGAATGCGTTTTTCGACTTTATATCGGACTGTGACATAATTGATCAAGACACGTGCACACGGGCGGAAGTCGAGATGAATTTCATTTCTTCAAGCTCGTCAGGTCCAAAGGTATGGTTGTGGTTTGGACGTCAGCTCGATGGACTTTTCTAGGTCAAATGGAACACCAGGCGCAACTTGTTTCGATTTCAGTTCATTGAAGCTATTGCGTTTTTGGCCGTGTCCAAGTTTTTCAAGTCCAAGCGCGCATCTTCTGTGTCCGAAGCGATTTCGATGCTCCTCCAGCACCACATTAAACCGCGAGCGTCGTGGCATGATAGTCAAGAATATCGCACGCACAAATCCTACGCCCAACCCACTTGCCTGTTCTCCCCCCAAGTCGACATGATCTTCAAAGACCATTTGTACTTGCTCAAAGAGCTGTTTGCGTCGTTTGCTGGCACGATCGACACCACCCCCGCCGCATGTGAAAAGTCAAAACGACTCAGTTTTGCCGAGTTTATGTATTTATGCGAGCAAGGGAACCTAGTTGACGAGTCGCTACCAGCCCGCGACTTAAAGCTTGCTCTCATGCGGTCCAAAGAAACCGAGGTACTCTTCCTAACTCCCTCGCAAACCCAAACTTACAAAAACATATCGACCTAGATATTCGATCCACACGGCGACGGCGAAGAATGGAAACGAATAAATTTTGGGGAATTTCTGGAAGCTTGTGCACGTATGTCCGACGCAAAAGACTACACGCAATTTTACGAACGGGTCAAAGTTGCTCACTACGGCGTCGTGGATGGCGGCGACACAACGCAGTACGAGTTTCTCAAGGTGAAGACGTCGTCGTTGGACCAATGGCGAAGTCAGTCGGGGAATTTCGGACTCAAACTACCGGTAAGTCGTTGGTCTTTGTAATTATTGATTGACATGTGTGCGCGCTAGGTGTTCTTAAAGCAATTATGTTTGCCGATTGTGAGGGCCCGGAAAGTGTCGGTCCCAGCATTGATGGTCCGGCAGATCACGACTGTCGCGTCCACGTTGCAACTTAAAAACGAAACTACATGAATGACTCGGAAGTCCACAACACAATATCCTCCAGTTTTATGGATGGACCGCCTCAACAGCTTCCGCCTTCCGGCGGCGCACCGCTTCCAAGAACGCTGGGACGGAAAATCGAAGCTTCCCTTCCCTCTCCGCCATGGACTCGTACACGGCGAGGTTGTACGCTCGTCGCCACAGCGCGCGCACGGCTTTCTTGATCTTACCCTTGCGCTCGGTCTCTTGAATGGCAATCTGTTGCTTCGACATTGACCGTGCTTCGTCAAACATTATATACCCCGTCGCAACGACAGCGACGAGATTGAGCACGAGCATAATGTTGATGATTTGTTGTTGGTTGAGGAGGTTCAGTCCCGTTTGGGCATTCAGAACGAGGACGAGGCCGACCCAGAGAGTTAGAATCGTCTGGAACTGAGTCATACTGAGAACGAGGTTGTTGCTCCATGCCACGTATGGTCGATAGTACAAGATGCCGCTCATGAGGAGAATGCTCCACGTCATGCTGAGCACGGCCTTGAGGACTGGATTGTTGTGGACAAAGATAACGAGCCCATTCATGAAGAGCTTTCGAAGCAATTCGAGCACTTCAAACCACCAAAATTCGGGCATGTAATTCTGGTAGATGAACCCCACTCGCAGACGATTTACCGAATCCTAGTCAAGCACGTCAAGTGACGATTCGTGACATGGAATACTGTACCGTCATGTTGAGATAGCACATGTACTCGTAGAGCAGGTCGTTTTCAATGTCGAAAAACTCGTTCTCCTTGATGTATCGACCCCGAGTGGCAAAGTGCTCTCGCATGTTTTTCGTCCACTTGTGCCGGAGGTGTCGGTATCGTGGATTTTTCAAAATTGCCATGCGCTCTTTGATGTTGGCCGTGCGTACGCGACTGATGACAATGTAAAAGAGCAACGGAACGCCAGCCACCCACGCCCCCAGGCCGACAAACCCCAAGATCGAATAGAACCCCCATTGAGCATTGTAGCAAACTAAGCTCCGGTCGACCACCATGTAGTATTGGTCGCCGATCTCTTGGCAATTGAAGATGTTCAAAATGTACTGGCTCACGTTCGGGTACAAGATGAGGAGCAACCACATGAACAGCTTGAAGCACTTGTTCTTGTATGTGTGGTAGTTCATCCGGAGTTTCATGCGAGCTTGCCACACACGGAGGTTTGACCGCAACGTCCGTTCCAGGAGCTTTCCTGTCAGAACTTCGTCGCTCGGGCACTGGTGTTGCATGTGGCGCGACGGGTATATCGGCAGAACATCCGTCTTGACTGTTGAGATGCCAAATTCCCGTTTGATCTTGCGGTCGTCTGGGGCGTTTTCGTCTTTCTCGCCCTCAACGAGGCAGCTGAATCGATGCATGCTCTGTCTCATTTTCGGAGGAATTTTCCGTCCTTCAGTCATGATGGTTGGCAACGCCTCGTACACGCGTCTGGAAAAGGATTCCCGCACAGGATGGCCACATCGCGTGCAGTTGCGCGGAATCGACGACAGCTTCGTCTCGTATGAGTGGATTCCGTGTAGGTAAAAGCATGCGATGACTCCCAGTAAGAACCCAAGGATCACAAAGAGCATGCTATCGACTCGAGTTTAGTCCCTGTGAATCGTTATAGAGGTCGTACATGAGGTCGAAGTAGAACGTGCGCTCCATGATGCAATCCAACCCTGCCACGGCAATCAAATCCTAAACGGACGGTAAGAGGCGTACAAGTAGAAGGCAACGTACAAGGTTAAATTTCGACGTCGAGTCCATTGCATTGTTGACCGTGTTTGGCCATTGTACTTCGTACGTCTTCTTCAAGTTGCCAAAAATCTGAAAAAATCCGACGAGAATTTTGATCTTTTCCGGACTGAGGTACACCCCAACAATCACGTTCACGGGCGGAATGCCAAAGAGAATAGTTTTGTCGTTTTTCTTCTTCTCCGCTGCCTTCAGTTCTTGCTTTTCCTTCCACGCTTTGATCTTGGCGTCGATCCATTTCCCGATCTTGCCCTTCTCAGGAACTTTGACCACATATTCTTGAAACTTTCGATCTGCTTGAGCCTTGTCCATGATTTTCACATCCGTGCCGTCCTGCATGTCGCATGAAACATGGAAAATAAGATGAGAACAATTCACATACCGTCAAGACCCCTCGGATTCCAATCACCACCACAACCAGCAACATCAACATCAACACTGGCAACACGAAGTTCTGCCACGTCAAACCACTTCGAATTTCTGCATTTGCGGCCTCGCAAGCTAGAAATGAATGAGCACAGTCAAGAAATGGAGCATAGTCATACAAGTGCACGCTCCCGATGCCGTGCGCTTGTGAAATGGCAGACACACTGAGCACGTTGGCCCTTGGTAACCTGGTGCACAAGGAATTATTTCTGCGCGATCGACGGGTTTGTCCGCCACAATGTCAGCGGGACACGACCCAGGAACCTACAATGCACTTGTGAGAAATTGAACGAGATACGCCTTACGACGTTTCTCTCGCATACTTCGCATTTGTAGAACGATGAATTCGTAAGACATGAAAACTGTCGCTCGGCTGGCCAGAACTTTTGATAGGCAATGCTCGTCTTGAGCCGGGCACATTCGGTCATGACCAAGTTGAAGTCAATTTTCGACGTTGTTGTCAAGTATTCGATTCCACCGACTTGTTTTGCTGCAAATTGCAAGCACGGATCGCTCGCGTCCCACGTCGCAGGCGTGCATCCGTCCAGGACCGTTTTTGTGGCCTCGAATGCCATGTAGTTGGACACCGTGCGCGGATATTTGACGCCGTAGGCGAGCACAATTTCTGGCGAGGCAAGGTTCACCACGAATTGATCGCAATTTCCGCCTTTGGGGCAGTCGAAACAATATTGACCATCCAAACTACAGAAACAAAATAGTGAATGAATTCGTCGTGAATTTGAGGCTAGTGATACCTGTACTGCCCCACGCCACATCGAATACATCGCCTACACACACCAGTGAGAAAATCGTCGAAAGACAGATACACCGTACTTGTTTTCAGCCAGTCGAAAGCCCGGTTTGCATGGAAGGACGGTGATCGTGAGATTGATGATATAGTTTCCCTCGGTCGAATATGGAATCGAACACACAGCTTCCAGTGCATACGAAGTGTTTGCCACGTCGCTGACGACCGCAGCACCGACAAACGTCACCACCCCTGCTTGCGACATAGAAGGGACTCCTGGCTCGAAAAGAACCTCGGTTTGATTTGTCGCAGCTTGAATGATGCACGAAGACGTCGAGTCCGTCAGCGAACGCTGGCCATAGTAGTCCTGTACTTCGAGTCGAGGCCAGACGTCTCCAACATGCGACACGTTGACCGGTTTGATCGACTCGATATCATCGTAGGCAATCAACGGGGTACCACTCGTGCCATTGGTTGGCCACCACAACACGTCAAACTGTCGGGAATTCGTCGCGATGTTGTAGATGTCGTTGTTGCGTATCGAACAGTCCGCGCACTTGAATACGTCAGCGTTGTTATTGCTCTCATGAAACCAGAAAACCCCACCGCCACTGGATGCCGTGTTGGACACGACTGTCAGTCCTTGACAAATTGTAGTCTCGCAGCGCTCAACAAAAAGTCCACCGCCTCGAAATGATGCCTTGTTTTCGGTGAACGTTGAATTCCGAACACTCACCAACATGACCGTAGAAAGGTGCAGCCCTGCACCATCCACTGCTGAGTTCTTGTAAAAGGCGCTTCTGGACACGGTCAACACAGCGTTGTCAGCACACACAATGCCACCACCGTTGAGAGCCGCCTTGTTCTCGAATATCTCTGTCTCGTCGAGGAACATTTTGCTGGCACTCTCCATGAAGATGCCAGCGCCATTACGAGCGACATTGCCGACAAAGATGGAATGGTTGGTCACAGTTGCAACGGTCTTCAACAGCAACATAATCGCACCACCACCTTCGTCTGCAACGTTTGCCATGAATGAACACTGACTGGCAGAGATTTTGCCACTGCGATCCACTGCCACACCAGCTCCACGCCCGGCATGGTTTTGGGTAAACGTACAATCCACTAATCCCGATGTAGTGTCCGATACGTAAAGACCACCGCCCAGCAACGCAGCGTTGTTGAAAAATTCCACAAAAGTGAAACTTGAGCTTGACCCACGGCCGATGTAAACTCCTACGCGATATCAGGTACTGCACCATCACCCTTATAGTCCTACCGCCTCCAAAGTGAAGCGCCGTATTATTCGAGACACGAGCCGACGTCATGAAAAGCGAGTTCTTCCCCGGCGCGACGTAGATCGAAGCTCCATCGTTTGTAACTTTGTTTCCGGTGATGGTAGAATTGTTGCAATACAACTTGGAGTTGCGTTGGACATACACACCACCGCCGTCGTATTTGGCCTCTAAATAGTTGGATTAAAATGAGAGCATTCAAATTTATTTGTCGTACCACACTGCCCAATGTAGCTGAGCATCAATCGCATGGTTGATTCCTCAAGGAAAACACCGCCACCAAATTGCGACGCCAGGTGGTTCACGATGGATGTGTCGCTGCTGATTTCTAAACTTGCAGTGGAAGCGTAGATGCCCCCGCCAGACACTGCGACACCGCAAGTTACGTTGGACGATTCTTGCAACTTTGCGCTTGACCCTGTTTCCACTAACATCACACCACCTTTGGAAATAAAGGGCAAAGTTGGATTGTCTAAAGTGCAAGTGCCAAACAAACTGGCGCTGCTGAAAGTAGCTCGAGCATTTTGTTCCAGGTGCACCGTGCCCCCCTCAGTCGCAGTATTTTCGCGGAATGTGCTTGAAATCACGGCCAACTCGGAGTTCATCGTTGAAATCGCCCCCCCTTTGCCTGTTCCCGCAGAGTTTTGAATAAAGTTGCAATTCATAGCATTCAGCTTGGCCGAGACAACACGGATCGCGCCAAACATGTCGCCGACATTCCTTTGAACGGTCGTGCCTTCAAGTGTAATGTTGGTTCGAGAATACTTTGTCGATGCGTCGCTATTCGCAAGTAGAGCAGCGCCAGATGGAGATGTGTTGGCATCAAAGACACAGTCAACAACTGTGACCGTGCTTGATTCCATGACCAACATACCACCGCCTTCTCGCAACGCGTTGTTGTTCTGGAATAGGCACCTTTGAAAGCTTCCACTCGCCAGATTGGATACAGAGGCGCCACCACCACGGAGTGCGACGCCATGAGATATGTTCCAGTGTGACACCTCAAAATCCATCGCGGACTCACAAACGAACACGTTGGCACCGGCAAAATAGTCGACCGCCACCAGAAAATTCAGAAATTTGTTTGCTGACAGGATGCTGTAAGTAGATCCTTGCCCATTCACGGTGGTCGAATTGCCTATCCATAAACCAGGACCGACTTCGGCTTCGTTCTCGATCACAGACACCTCGTCATGGGTTAAGTTGGCGTAGTTGAGGTAAAGCCCACCACCTTCCTCGGCGGTGTTGCTTCGAACTGTGGTGGCTGTCAGTGCCAAGGAGCTAGAAATGACAAACACCCCTCCCCCTTGAGCTGCCACGGAATCGGTGATGATACAGTTCGAGCAACTTCCAATTGCTTGTTTTCCAGACACCCCGCCTCCCAACGGGGCGTTTCCGTTTTGCACAGCAATGTGCGAAATGGAGCTGAGTCTTGTCAAGTGAACATTTCCTCCCATGCTGATCGCTGAGTTGTGTCGTACACGCATGTAGCCGCGTAAATTGTTGGGCTCCAGTGATGACGATGACACGTGCACACCACCTCCATCTCGGGCTGAGCAGTGTTCAACTGTGACTTCCGAATGCACGACCGTCGAATTCACGAGCGAGAGCCCACCGCCTTCTCCAGGAGTGGAGCACTTCGACACCAGCACTTTGTCGAGTCGCAGAGCGCTTTGGATGTACATACCACCGCCGCTCGTTCGAGCCACGTTGTTCTCCAGTACGGCAAAAGTTAAGGATGAAGTCAAGGCACTGTTAATCGTGCTGACACCACCCCCAAGTGTTGCTTCGTTGGACTGGATCACGGTGCGACTAAGAACGGTGGGACTTGACAACTGCGAGCCTTGAACGTGCAAACCACCACCGCTGGCAGCTTCGTTGTACTGCACCACGAGGTGTTCAGCCAACACCTGAGCGTTTTCGAGTAGTCCACCACCGCCAAAATCTTGTGCCGTACAGTTGGACACGTTAACGTTGTTTGCATAAAGTGCCAAGGACGCAACTGCATGAAAACCACCGCCATTTCGAGCAGAGCAGCCAAATATGGACAGGTCTTGCAACACTGAATCGTCTTGTACAAAGACGCCACCACCGGATGTTGACGCAGTGTTGTGGACAATGTCAATGGGACCGATCAGCGCTGCATTCCGCACATAGACACCGCCACCGCTGGTGCCAGCTGTGTTTGACTCGATTTGCACCGAGACAAGGCGCACAGTTGCATTTTTCACGCTTAAACCACCGCCGTGCAATTGACTCGAACACTCGTATATCTTCACTCCCGTGACAACAGTGGATGTGTCTTGGATCGCCAAGCCACCCCCCCATGTTGCCGCATTTTTTGTTACGAGGGAATTTGTAAAAACTTGATCTTTGTCGGAGATGGAGTAGATTCCGCCGCCGTAGTCCACTGCGTTGTTCAAAGTGATGATCGAATCGGAATCTGAAAGGGAAGACTTGGCCAAGATACAAATTCCACCGCCGTTCGCCGTCGCGCGGTTGGATGAAACGAGAACATTTAACGAGGTCAATTGTCCATCAATGCTGACACCACCTCCACATGAAGCAGCATTTTGAGACAATTCAAGCGGACGAGCTGGGCTGGACGACACTATGTAGCTTGTTCCAATGGCAAACAGGCCACCCCCGTTTCTTTGAGCAACATTCCATTGCACAAACGAATTCACGCCAGACACGATCGACGAGCCACGTACATAAAGCCCGCCGCCGTCGATGCTGGCAATATTGTCGGTAATCCTCGAGTTGTTGAGTATAATTTCGCTGCTGAAAGCATAAATTGCCCCACCGTAGTTGGCAGAGCACTTGGACACGATGGACTGTTCCAAGTACAAACTCGACCGATCGAGGATAATCCCTCCGCCTTGGTCTGACTTGCCAGTGCCTCCGCGAATTGCGCTGTGAAGTAGGTTCAGTTTTCCATTTTGAGTGACGCTGAACTGCGCGTTGCTGGCTTCGCGATCTTTGAACGTCAAGCCAACAACACTGATTTCTCCCCCTTGGATATTCCATTGGCCGTGGGGACAGACAATGGCAGTCAACGAGGCACCAAAGATACCGAGGATTTCAATGTGCTGGCTTGAAAATCGGAGGTTGCAGTTGATGGAGGTGGTGTATTCTCCCGGGTAGAGTAGAATTGTCTTTTTTGTCATCGGGTTCGTGGACAGGAGATTCAAGGCCTTAGAAATACTGCGCACAGCTTTGCTGGCTGTGCCTCGACTCGATGTGTTCATGAATGCACCAGTTCCGCGGTCGTCGTTACCCTGCCTTCCATCGACGAGAATAAATTCATCTTGAGTGGAAAACGAAGCGGGGCAGATCAGGCCATTCGTGCACAGAATGCGCTGGCTGCAATCTTCCCCTGTGTACCCAACGCTGCACAAGCAAACACCAGTCGAACCAGTGCATATGCCGTTATTGGCGCACGAAATGTTGTTGAACACTGGACATGGAATCTGTGTCACCCGGTTGTCCTTGGTGCTGTCAAAAATTTCGACGTTCACTGCGAAACCCTCAAGAGCAATTGAGCTGTCGGTCGTCAACGTGATGACAATGTCGCTGTTTGGGTTGACTGAGACGATCCCGAACGAATTTTGACGAGAGCACCCTCCACTCCATAAGACGGACCTTGCGCTTCCTCCACTTCTTTCTTCGATTGTCAGTTGATCGTGGTCACACTCGAGGGAAAACTTGCCAAACTAGAGCAGCAACCACATGAATGGAGGACGCATGAAAGACACAAATACGTTTTCACGTACATTCAGGTATGTGTATTCCGACGGACCGGTGGGTCGCTGGATTTTCCACATTTTCGTGACATTGTTTGCATATCCGTTTTGAACGATGGAAAGCGGCAAGTCATTCGAGCACATAACGGTCGTTTCTTGTGCTGTCAATGTTGAAATGACAAGCGGGGCGCTCCAATGCGATAACGATGTATCCCGACGAATTTCCTGCAGTCGGTACGAAAACGACAGCCCTGTCGACAAGTTGATGTCGTCAAACGACAATGCTGTTCCTGTGTAGATAGGAATGCCGTCTCGATCCAACTTGTATCCAACCGCACGTGTGGATTGTCGCCACGCGAGCTGGACAGTCGATGGTGACACTACATGCATTCAACTCTGAGTTGTTGCTCCGACGTATCCACGAGTTACCGCATTGCAAAAGAGGCGGCTGTGGCGTATTTGGATCGGACGATGTCGTGATGGCGACTGTCTTGCTGACCTCTCCAACTTGGTCAAAAGTTGACGTTCGCTACACATAATTCCATTCAGCGTTCAGGTTCGTCAAAGCGGTGTACGTACCACAGTCACCGCGTACTGCGTTTGACTGCTCAAGTTTTCCACCGTGTAAAACACTGGTTGAGTTGAATCGACGGGGGCAACGACGACTTGGGTCAGTGTACTTCCACCGACTGGAGTGATGTCAATGGAGTAACTTTCGAGATCATTTCCACCAAAATCGACAGGCGCCCGCCATTGCAAGTCGACGGCGGTGGAATACACATTCACCATGATAAAGTTGAGTGGAGGCGTCGGTGGCGAATTGATGCCAGTTCGGACCTCTAGCGCAGTGCTGGGGTCCGAAACACCAACGTCGTTTACAGCTTGAAGGGTCGTTGAGAACGTCGACGTGGACTCCAGGCCAGACATAGTGCATTGAAAGATCATTCCTTCACATGTCGTGACTTGATGGGTATCGACATTCACCATCTTCAGAATAAACTTGGTAATGGAGGAGCCTCCGCTGTCAGTGACGGCATTCCACGAAAACGACACCATGCCACCAGTCGATTTGACTAACGTGGGTGGATCTGGCGCTCCAGGTTTGGAAGGCTGCGACGTTTGTCCAGCCTGCTGCGGCGAACCGCTACTCATTCCTCCTTGAGCTGACACCGCCTTGACCAAAAAATCGTACGTTGTCGAAGGATTCAGGTTGCCAACAATGACAGAACCAGAGGCATCCAACCGACGGCGTCTTGATTGTGAATTGGTTTCTGGATATTCTTCGCGCAAAGATCTTGACGAGGTTTTCGACGCCGATTCCATAAACTCGGCGTGTGAAATCGTTGCCACAAGAACGTTGTTCGCGTAAACTGCGTACGAGAGCTCAGACAATGGGACGCCACCAGTGTCCAAGGGAGGGGTAAAGCTCAGCGTGACTGCCCCGCCAGACTGGCTCAGAATTTTAGGCGATGTCGGCGGAAGGGCTGGGGACGCTGCACTTGTGCTAAACGTTGCATATGCACTGGGCGATCCCGTTCCCATCATGTTCACTGCAGCCACTCGAAAGTTGTACGTGGTCGACGCCAAGAACCCGTAAAACGTAATGTCCCTGGCAAACGTCATCTGGCCACCATCTCCGCCTTGCACCTCCACGACATACGACGTTACTTTTTCCCCACCATTGTCGCTAGGAGGAAGCCACCCGATCGAGATGGAACCACCAGTGTTGTTGATAAAAAACGGACTAGCCGGCGGCCCAGGGGCGGAAATCCCAGATGTCTTGAACGTTTTAATTGCCATCGACGACATACCGGCCGCTCCAGTCGATGCAGCGACGTCGACACCGAATTCGTATGATGTCTCGGACGCAAGGTTCATTACCCATGCCGTCATTGTCGTGTCATTTTGAAGTAAGGTCCACGAGTTGGACGTGATTGACTTCATATACAAGGCAAAGTAGAGGGGTTCGTTCAAGCCAACCCCTCGATCAAATGGCGGTTGCCACGCAAGACTTATTCCCCCACCGGTAGTGGATGTGTCCGTCAACGATGTGACTGGACGGGGAATTGTCGACACGTTCGTTTGAAAAAGCCCTGGCGGACTTCGCCTGCCCGCACTTGACGATTCGCAGACAGACTTGAGATTCACCGCCACGACAGCGACATTGTACCACGTCATTGGGTTGAATCCAGGAACAAGAAGCACGCAGTTTAGCAGCAACGATTCCACAGTAATGGCCTCTTCGATGACGAAATTGGTAACCTAGACGAGGATCAGTCAAACTCATCGAGGTTTTCGGCACGTGATACCTCAGCATCCTGCACAAAAACCCGGTACGATGTGACTGGTACGCCGCCTGGACACATGGCTTAGGTTTCGTCGGTCTTGGAGACCGTACCAGTATCCAACGGAGAATTGACTTGCAGGCGGAGGACACTTCCAGACGGGTAACTCAATCGAATTGGCACAGGTGGACTTGACGGGAGGGTCAGTTGAGTTGTCGACGCGGAATAAATATTGCTGGCGCTGCCACGAGCAAGCATTGCTTCACCGTCAATCGTTGTTCCAAAGTACGTCATATTCAACACAACTTCCGTCGCGTCGGATTGAGTATCAGATGGAATCCACAGCATGTCCTGCACACCCTCGATCGTGAGCAACATATCCAGTCATTACACCTGGAATCGCACCTTCATTTCTATTGTCTTGTACATCGACGGTGGAATTCGCATGGATGTCGTGATGGCTTGTCGTCCGTTCGATATGGATCCTGTGGCTGGGAGCGCTGCACCGTCCAACGAGGTCAACGCCACAACGACAAAGGAGTAGGAAGTCTTTTGAAAGAGCTTTGCAACAGTCGCAGATGGTCCATTCGCGAATACGGCTCGTTGAAATGGACTTGTTGACGATGCCAGTCGATAGTACACATTATACCCAATGATCTCGAAACCACCTACACACGCCAGCTCAGTAGTGTTTGACACGGCTAATCATACCAGTGTCATCTGGCGGCTGCCACTGCAAAGTAATCGCGCCCCCCGTTTGCTTTGTCGATGAGATCGAAGCTGGAGGGCCAGGCAGGGTGGCAAGTGCCGTCGTGAATGTAAAGTTCGTCGATAGGGTACTTGCTCCAACGCTGTTTATTGCCTACCCGTGGATTAGTCCGGCGACGAATTTTGGGGCACATTTTACTTGAACTTGAAACGTGTAGGATGTATTCGCTTGGGGCAAATAGACTGAATATAGCGTTGGGTTATTTGGCATGGCAATACCGATTCTCTGCATCGCGGGATTTAGCAAAATTCAAGCCCAAAATCAACATTACCTGAAAATAGTTGTTTGCTGGGCTGTACACAAACACGGAGTAGTTCAAGGCGAAGAGACCTCCAGTGTCTTGGGGAGGGTTAATTGCAAACTGCATGAACCCACCCGTCGCTTGGTTGACTTGGACACTCGTCACAGTTCCTGGCAATGAAGGAGCCGTCGTTTGCGCCGTGAAATTCATAGCGCTACCAGAGCCAATTGCATTGATCGCGCTGATCGAAATGAGGTAATTTGTAGAAGCAACCAAGCCACCAACGGATGCCGTCGTCGAATTTGTTGACGTAGTTATTGCCCTGGCAAGCGAACCATTCATAAACAGTTGCATGGAGTACCGAGTGATGGCAACGCCAGCGCCTCCAGTGTACGGCGGAGGCAGCCAAGATAATTGAAACAAACCACCAGTTCGCACAACGTCCAGTTGATTTGGAATTCTTGATGGGACTGCCGGAGTCCAATCATTGAAAATCGAGACACAAATCACGTCATTGCCAGCGCGGTTCAGGTACCCCCCACCGCTGACTTTGACCAGCGTCAGACAAAAGAACAAGAGTGGGAATTGAGGCCGCTGGTTGTTGATGATAGAGACGACCACGCTGGCTAGGGTAACATTCGAATCGAACGCAATGCGTTGGTTCGGCAGTAGCTGGTAATCACTTCCTGCTCTAGCCGTTGCGTTTCGAGATGCAGTCACGTCCAGCGGGGCCCAAACGACTGTGGAGCTGACGCCAAGTTGACGCCGAATAGAAATGTTGAACAAGCCAGCATCTTCCCGCACAGTCATGTTGGATACAACAAAGTCGAATGCCCCAGCATTGTCCTCTTGGTCCACATATATTGTGACAGTCGCGAATTCTGTGACAACATTTGAAATGTCGCCAATGAGCTGGAGAACGATCGTCGCGTTCGGGTTATACGTCATCGAATTCTGAATCGTCACGACAAGGCTGGCTTGAGTTTGCGACGATTGCAGACCAACGGACGTTGGGCAATTGAATACGACATTTCCCGTGCTGTTGGCTCGCACGCTGTACTGAGCAATCCCAGATGACCCTCCACGCCGCACAACTGGAATCGAAACAGTGCCGACGTCGATTCGAGTACGCAAGGTAGACACACCCCATCCACACGATCCCTTGGCGAGCGCGAGGGTCTGAAGTACCTGTGGAGTGGACCAAACACTGGTTCCAGCAACATTTCGTGACCGAATACTAACGCTGTACGCTGTGTTTGGGGTCAACCCAGCAATGATGGACGTTGTGTTCTTGGTCACGGAATCTGTCACAACGACGTCTCCCGCAGTGGCTGTAATATCGTACGCCAAAGACTCTGGAGATCCACCGTCGTCGAAAGGCGCGGTCCAGTTGAACGACAGCGAGGTCGATGTCGCTTCAACCAGCTGCACATTCGAAACGGGAGATGGTGCCGACGAGTTGCCAGTAACATACACCAGGCGTTCGCTCATCGAGCCTTCCAATGTGCTGGCCGCACTTGCTTGAAAAGTGTACCGTGCTCGAGCAAGTAGCCCCCCAATAGTGATGTTGTACGTGCTAACACTTGGCATGACAGGAACCGACGCGACGACAGAGTTGTTGCGATACAGGATCAACCGAGAGAGCGGAAGGCCACCCGCATCTTGCGGAGTGCTCACCTCAACGACTGCAACGGCTCCGACTTGGCTCACAAGCACTGGAATCGGTGGCGATGTCGGCAGCGTTGCCCTTGTGGTCGAGACATTCAGGGTCGCCAGCGTTCCATTTCCGACGTCGTTTATGACAAAGAGCGCCACTTGAAACGTTGAGTTTTGACTCAGGCCGGCAAAGACACACGTTGTCGTGTTGGTGATTCGCTCGAGCACCACCACTGAGCGATTTCGTTGCAACAAGCACACTGTTCCCACGCTGGGCAAACCTCCCGTGGATACCGGTCCGTCCCACACGACCACAATCGCACCTCCCGTTGCATTCGCTCGCAGGTTTGTTGGTGCCGACGACACCGTTGCATTGGTGGTTTGGAACGCGACGGGATCGCTGCTAGCACTCGGATATCGACTGTTTCGTGCGACGATCGTATACGTATATGTCGTATTGGCCATCAAACCGGTGTCTTCAAATGCCGTCACGTTGGGGCGACCGATGGATAGCCCATTGCGACGGATGTCGTAGTCAGTCACGGTCACGCCGCCAGTGTCCAACGGACCCTTCCAATGGAGCTGCAACCGGTCCGCAAATGCCCTTGTCAACCCGATTGACGTCGGCGGCGTGGGGGCAGAGATATCGGTCAGTTTTGCCACGATCGTTGACGTTGCTGCGGATGGACCCGCTTGGTTGGATGCCACGATGTAGAAACTCTGGTTCGACAAGGCGCGCAGTCCAAACATTTGATAGGTCAAATTCGTACCGTTGTACACGAGTGTTTTTGGCGGCGTGTACAACAGGTACTGCACCGTCGCGGACCCTCCCCAATCCAAAGAAGGCGTCCATGCAATTTCGAGCATACCACCGGTGGCTTGTGACACGAATGGCGTCGATGGTGCTGACGGAGGGGTGACGACGCGAGTGGTCACAAGGATGCGGGTACTCTCTTGAATATAGATTGAATTGAAGCAATGGCTCATGGACGTCAGCGCAATCACAGCAAAGAAGTAGGACGTATTTGGTCGCAGCCCGTACAGCGTGACGTTTGTCGTGGCTTTGGTGTCGTCCACGTACGCAATGGATGGCGAACTCGTGATAACATCCACGGACGAGTACTGGCGCACTGCGTAGCCAACAATTGGGACCCCACCCGAGTCCAATGGTGGCTTCCATTGCAGGCTAATAGCCCCACCAGTCGGGGCACTCGCAAGACTGAAGCTCAACGGACTGGTTGGAATACTAATTGCTGATGTGCTCGCTTGGCTTGTGCTCGATACTTCGCTCGCACCCTACGAAAACCCATCAGTTGCGTCAACGGAGCACGTTTCTTCGTACAATTGTGTTGATCGTTTGGCAAGTCACAGTGTACGTCGAGCTGAACGTCAGTCCGTAAACGGTTGGCGTGCTGTTTGATCCCTTGTACACCATCGAGAACAAGCTTGGGTAACTCGGGCTGTTCATGTAAATCGCGTACTGCAATATTGGAGCACCTCCAGTATTTACAGCGGGGGTAATACGAAACGTGAGAGCTCCACCGGTCGAAGCAATCACACTGGGAGGAAAAGGCTTGGATGGGGCGACCGCAGTGGTCGTTGCGCACGTCACGTACGCATATAAGGACGAGATGTTGTAAGCATTGAGAGCTTGCACCCCAATCGAATAATTTTGGGATGCTTGGAGGCCATCGCAAAGCATCGAGTTTGCTGGTGTCCCCAAAACAGGGCGCAGTTTCACGTCCATGCACAAGACTCGATACTCTGTAATGGGGAACCCCCCTGTATCGAGCGGGATGTCCCACGCAATGGTTAGACTGCCACCGGAGCGACCGGTGCACCTCAAGTTTCGGGGAAGCGATGGAACTGACGGAGACGCCGTTTGAAACTCAAACGCATCACTGAACGGTCCCGTCATGACACTTGTCTCAGCGGCAACGCGGGCTGTGTAATTGGTGGTTGAATTGAGGCCACCGATGGTAATTGTGGTCTCGTTCACTCGATTTGAGAGTACAAAACCAGCCGTGGCAATTCGAACAGTGTAGAACGTCACGGGGGAATTGAACGCGCCTGTGTTTCGTGGCCCCAACCAGGTAAACCTCCCGAGACCACCAGTGAGCCACGTCACTGCGATGTTTGTTGGAGGGCCTGGCGGTGACACGACATTTCGCTCCAAAATGGTGACATTTGTCGATGCCGCGGCGGTGTTGAGCACAGCACAACTGTTGTAACTATTTGGTATCGCCATGTCGACGACAAAATACAGACTCGGATCGTTGTACACGCCGTCATTGATCAGTGATATCGAGGCGATTGCGATGGATTGGTTTGGATATAAAATCACAAACGACGGAATGGACTGAATTTGACGTCCCATACCAGCCGTGCTTCTCGTCGCATTGAGGGCCAACGTTGCATTTATAAGGGTCGATGATTTTCCCGACCGGACGACAGTTAGGTTCACCACGGTCAAGAATGGTGCCGGGAGCATTTGGCCTTGTTCTACCGCTGTGGACTCCAAACTGACAAGGCCACCGCTGTTGTCGTCTTCCATGACAATCGTGACGCCGCTGTTCGGACCGATTCGAACAAGGCTGCCACTGACACTCGAAATGGAAATTGAAAACTCTCGACCCGTTGGTGTGCACCCAAATGTCGCGTTAAACAACGCAATCCGAATGCTTGTGGTCGTCGAGGTCGGCGAAAACGTAGCGAGACCGGACGACTCTACGTAATGGGTTCCGGCAATCGCCGACCCACTTTGCGTTTTGAAAGCCACAGACCCCGAAATCCCACTAGCGTTTCGCGTCAAAAGAACGTTTACGCTGCCATTGCTCTGGGGCACTCGAACAACGCGTACGGAGAACGAAGCAAATCCAGCAGCTTCGGCAGTGGTGGAGAACGTGGTGCTTGGACACCACGAGCTCGGCCCAACGTCATTTCGACTTCGAATCGAGATCTGATATTCTTGGGATGCCCGAAGGTTGCTCACCACGACGAAAGAAGTTGTTGTCGTTTGATTGAGCCATGTGGTTGCCAACGTTTCCTTGTAGCGCACGTCGTACATCAAGGCAATGCTGCCCCCAGAGTCGACAGGAGGATTCCAGATCAATTCCAAAAACGACGACCCGCGGTCCGTCAGCGCAAGATTTAGCACCTCCGATGGGGCCACCATGGGCAGCGTTGTCACGTTCAACACGCGGCTCGGCAAGCTTTCACCAACAGAATTGACAAATGTGGTTGTGATGCTGTATAATTGTCGGGCTTGAAGGCCCATCAACAGCACTGACGTCATGTTGGTTGGTGCAACGACTCGGACCAGCACGTTGTTCAGGTACACAATTCCTCCAGTCAGTGGCGCGCCTCCATTGTCGTAGTTGGCATCTCGAGTTGGAAACGATACAAGCATCCATCCGCTCGACACGTTCAGCGCTGTAGGGGCACTCCATGGAGCTGCTGGAACGCTTGGTTTTGTCGTGGACGCGGTAAACTCGAGCATGGAGCTGTTGCCAATTCGATTCGCAACCCACAAGCGAACGTTGTACGTCCGAGTGGCAACGAGGCCCCCAACATAGTAGCTCAAGGAATTCAAGATGTTTAGATAAGTCAAGGAGACACCTGTGACCGTATCGGTGACAACGGCAGACCCGTTGAGCAGTGAAACTCCACCAGTGTCATTGGATGCATACCATGACCAAGTCATCGAGCCTCCCGTTGCGACGGCAAACTCGAGAATTGGTCGCTTGGGCAACGTTGGTGCCGTGGTGCGACCAGAGAATCCAGCTCCAGGCACACTCTGACCAACTGCGTTTTGTGCTACAACAAAATACTGGTACGTGCTGCTCGCAGCCAACTTGAACGAGTCTTCGAAGGCAAGGAACGCCCAGTTCGACTGCAGCAAATCGTGTCCACGGAAGATGGAGTACGAGAGAGGTACAAGCCCACCTGTGTCCCTCGGAGCATTCCATATGAGCTGAATCGACCCACCAGTGGAATTGGATCCTTGAGCAATGGCTTCGACCGGCCCTGGCCGAGTCGGTGCGGTTGTCGACACAGTGATAGCTGAGCTGTTCAAACTGGACCCAACCATGGAGACCGCTGCCACTTGAAAGTGATACTGTGTCGACGCGACAAGACCAAACAAGGCAAAACTCGTGTCGCTTCCATCGTACACGATTTCCCAATCGGTATTTAAAACCCCATACAACCAATACGAGTGAACTTTGTAGCCACCATCTTGAGCGGGAGGAGACCACTCGAGGATAATGGACCCGCCGGTTTTGTTGACAACGGTTGGAGCGAGCGGTGCATCGGGGACGGTGGCGTTCATTGTGACAAACGTCAGTCGCTGGCTGACCCCGCTGAATGACGCGCAAAATGACAGTGCGTTGTACGGGATAACACTAAACTGATACATTGTGTATTGAGCCAGGCGAGATATCGTTGCGATCGTGACTGGGTCGCCTGGATTGTCGTATGGTAGAATGTACGACAGGTTGTCAGTCCACTGCCGTATTCCGTACCCGACAATGGGCATACCACCGGTATCCAAAGGCGGATTCCAGGACAGCGTGATTTGACCCATCGATTGAAAAATCACGCGGGGTGCGTCTTGAAGATCGGGGACGGTGGCGTGGGAGGTTTGGAAGACCTGAACTGCAGACGCATTTTCAGACATGCCCTGATGGAACAAACCGCGGATTAAAATCGATTGGCACAACAGATCCGCGTACCATCGCGTTGGACACGTAGGCCTTGAACCAGTACGATGTGTTTTGCTTCAGCCCTCCAACGACACACTGCCCCAGGGACCGACTGTCGACGTTGGTGGCATTGCCCACGCAACCCAATCGGAAAGTTGCATTGTCGTCGTCGCTGTACATCACTGTAAAGTTTTCAATGGGGAGACCGCCGTCGTAGGACGCGTTTGGAACGGCAAATCCCAACGACCCGCCAGTGGTGCGAAACACGTCGAGCCCAGGCGGGGCAAGAGGAACACCCACGTTTGTCGTGGTAAAGTTGAACGAAACGGCGCCGCTTTCGAATTGCCCCACATTCACACACGTGAGCGCCATGGAGTACCACGACAATGGAACCAAGTTTGCAATCGAGTACGGGAATTGAAAAGGCGCTTTGGCATCGAGGACAAGCGTACTCGCATTTTGATCATCGGTCGTCCACACGCGACATGACTGAATGTTGACGCCTCCATCACTTAGCGGCAATGCCCACTGTACCTTCACCATCGTGGCGTACGCTGCGACGACTGATACATTCTCGGGAGAGGCAGGTGCACATGGGCTTGGTGTTCGGACTACAATGGTCGGCGTCAAACCGGAGCTGCCATTGACGTTCGCCGTCCACCCTTGGATAAAGTACACCGTGTCCGCTCTGAGCCCTCGGAGAAGGTAGGACGTGTTGGACGTGGTAAAATTGATGGACGGCGATACGACAAAGATGTAGCTGATGGCCTCCAACGGAACTCCGCCAGTGTACTTTGGCGGGGTCCAATTGAACAAAACGCTGTCCGCCGACAGAGTAGTGTACTGAATGTTCTCGGGTGGTTCGGGGGCTCCGACGGTGGAATCCCATACGCGAATTTGCATTCGAGGAGCACTGAGCAACCGTGCTTGATTGCTTGACGTTCCCAACTCCAATGTTATAGTTTCTGGTGGATTGAAGAAAGGAGATGTCGCGATTGGCATCGAAATGATCTGGAACGATTCTCCCATCGCGAACGCAGCGCTGACTTGAAAAACACCCCCAGGAATTCGATAGGACGGCGACGACGTGATGGAAAAGTCCACCACGGTCGTGGCACGGAGGCGTTGGACACCAATGGATACGCTCGAACAGTTTTCAAACACCGTCACGTCGAGCTGCGCGAACGTTATGACCGACCAGTCGTGGCTGTCGCGCACCACCATTACAACTTGCCCAGTTTGCACTGTGTAAAGAGGAGAGGGGCTGATGGCTCCTGTAACGTTATACGATGGCGTGTAGTCTTCGATCTCAGGTAGCTGAACGTGGAGAATTTTTTCCATTTCCCCGGCATCGAACGTCACGTTGTTCAGAACATCACCACACATGGGAGCGCACGAGGCACACGTCCAGGTGGACGAATCGCAGGTAAAGGCATCCCCGAGGGAACTCGACAAGACTATCGACACGGTTTGACGTGCTTGGTGGACTCCAAATCGTTGCAAGACGAGAATTGCTGTCGAACCTTCCTCGCCAAACACCGTTGCGTCATGCCATGAAATCATATTGGGAGGCATATCGGTGACGTTGATGGAAAGGGAGCTTGCCGTCCCAATCGAGGCTCCGTTGAATGGTCGAAGTAGGGTTGCATTGATTGAGTACGGAAGAATGTAACCTCTGTCGTCGCTAGGCAAAGCAACCTGAACCACCTTGGACGACTCACCCTCTTGAAACGTCACCATGTTCGTACACAACGGCTGCATTACGACTGTATACGCTGTCGACGGGCGTGCAATTGCACCCGTCAAGGTCGATTTCATCTGGCACGTGGTCGGCGGCGTGTAATGGTAGCCCACACAATCCAACAACTGACTGCATTGGGTGTAGCAGCTGCTTTCAGGCACAGACATTGCAGACCCAAGGTTTGTACTGGTGAAATCCACGCCGAAATATCGATCTGTGCACTTGACGACCGGCACACCTGACACAACACTGTCTGCCGACCTCGAATTGAAAGGATAGCTCATGAGCTTGCACGTTGTCGGGGTCGTTGTATAGAACGAATACGCTCCACACCCTGTCGTGTTGGCGCAATATTGGCAGCAGTCGGCTTGGGTGCCTCCGGTCGTTTGTGCGATGTCGTTTCCAGAGTACTCCGTACCAGCCACTTGCCATCCGCACAGAGTTGGAATCGAGCACATTAAGGTCGACGGTTTGCACATGTAGGATTCGCCTCGGCTGCTTGCGATAGAGATGGAAACAGACTCAGCATAGGCGGACCCAAATTCCCGACTGATTGTTGTCGCCACTACGGTGCCTTTTGTCGGGGCAGAGAAAGTTGGCATCCACGAAAACGTTCCACGAGTGGTCGAATAATCTGCGACGGTCACGGTCAACGTGGGGTCGCCAGCAATGGTCGCTCCCGTGGACGGACTTGACAGTACAATCGTGACGGTTCCAGCTGTGTTTGGTGCAGTGAGAGTCATCGTTTTGTCGCCTTCACCAGCACGAAACGTGATGACTTGTGGGACACCGCAGAATCGATTGGGTACCAATGCAACGACCCCAAAACTGCTTGCGGCGTTTGCAAGCGTATGCTTAATGTAGCATTCCGTTGTCGATGGGCTGTAGTATGCACCAACGCACACAGAAATGGCAAAACACCTCGCTAAACACGCTTCTTCGGTTGCTTCAAACGTGCTCGCGTCAATATCGTTGCCACTGAAATTGATATTTGGCAACCGCACCGTACAAGCATCCGTCGCGATGCCACTGACGTAGTTTGTGTTCACGTTGGCCGCAGGAACTGTATTCTTCAACCAACACCCGACTCCACCAGGTGGAACCGACGTGTACGACATGCAATCGTCCCGTTTGAGGCACTCGACGGCACAATCCGTCGCAGCATAGTTTGGGAAATTGGCAATATCACTGCCAGGCACGTCGATGTTGTTGAACACAAAATTTCGGCGTTGAGGCACGCACTGATTTACCTCCAAGTCACACGTATAGCCTTGGCTGCTTTCGATTGTGATGGAGACGGATTCGTCAAACAGGGCGCCATTCAGCCGCTTGATCTTTATCGACATACTGGACGCAATGTTGGCCTTGAGCGCATGGACCTCCCATTTGAACGTTCCGTGGACAGCGGCAGTCGTTGTCGCGGTTACGGCAACACGTTTGCCGCTTCCGCCCACTCCTCTTGACACTGCTCGAATCAAGTAACTCGTTGAGGCAGTCAAACTGGCAATTGTGATAGGCACGCAGGCAGTGGAAGGGTAGCCAAGTCCGACTGCCGTGTATGACGTCGTCGAAACCAATCCATTCGTCGTGGGATTCAATACGTCGAGTTGATACGATTCCACCACACTTCCAAACGTTTGAATTGGTGCAAAGAGACACAAATCTACTGAATTTTCCGTCACCGATTCCACTTGCACTCTTGGCGGGTCGGGGATGCCTGACATTGTCACAAACTGAGCTGTCGTCCATGCAAGTGAAAATGCAGCCCGAGCTTTAACAGTGTACACGCTGCCAGGGAGCAGGTCAGAAACGATGGACGGTGACAGCGCTGTGCATGGAAACGCTGCTGTTAATCGTGTGGCTTCATTCGAAATTTGACATTGAAACTCAGAGGGATCGCCCGGCGCGGTCGACCGACATGAAGGAGTCACTTGGAGAACGAAGGCTGTAGCGTTGGCAGTCAACAAAGATATGGCTGGTTGGGTATTGGCACCATACTGCGGTTGCACAAAGAATGGTTTCACCGGAGTTTGGCCGTACGCGTTGCGACCAACGATTGCGCAAGTATACTCCACATTCGGCTGTGACAAAGGATTGCACATTGTATAATTCAAAACGCATGTCGGCACCTACAACATCCTTTAGAAAGGTGCAACACCGGCGCATCGTACCAATTGCGAATTGGGTGTACATGTACTGAGTGTGATGGACGTGCTGTTGTTGCTGCACACGACGCTGTAATCCAGCATAGCGCTTCCGCCTTGATGCTACAGGCAGTGAGCGAGGCGTTTAGTCGAGTGGAAATCACAGCCTCACCCACCTTTGGATACTCCCAGTTGAAGACGACGAGACCATTAATATCCTGAATATCATGAAGATGAATAGGATCTGGTGGCGCTCCCATTCCCCTAAAGCCCGAACATGAACTGGTGACGAGAAATGTTGCTGCGCGTACAGTGTCTCAGTAGCAAGTGAGATATTCTCCACACTTCGTCCCATGTTGTTGATTGCGTACGCTTCGAACAAATACGCCTTGGTTGGGTTCAGGTCGTTGACTTCGCAGACGGCGGCAGGTGATAAACACGCTTGTCGTCTGGAGCCCCGTTTGCCACAAGTGTTGCTTTGAGCAGTCGTGCATTGGCCTTTTTGTGCGACACACGTGTGGAAGGTTAAATTTCCCGTTGAATCGAAAACGACATCGCAAGTCGAGCATTCGCTTCCAGATGCAGCCAGAGCGTTGTAGCACGAGTCCACTGCCACGACATCGACACCCAATTGATACGACTGATACCCTCCAGTTTCTAAGGGTGGCAGGATGGACAACAATACAAAATCACTGCCCTTCCTGGTGATTTGGAAACCGCTTGGTGCTGACGCGAGGGAATTTGCCGCGGTTGTGACGCGAAGAAAGTTGTCGTATGGGTTGCTTTGAGCAGTCTCCGTCACGACGGAAATGTAGAACTCTTTGGCAACGTTGGCCAGGAGTGCTGTCAACGTGAAACGAGGGGTCGATGAAGCCATGTACTGGGTCAAAACCAGGTTTACTGTGCCCTCCACTTGAACGGGTTGATACACATTGTAGCCTACACCCAAGTAGTTACCTCGTGAGCACGCCCAGAACTTGATGTACGTACCTAAGACTCGGGACCCGCCACTTTCAAGTGGTGCCAACCATTGCAACGAGATTGTACTGGCTGTGACGACTGTTGTGACATGTCGAATTGGCCCCGGTTCAGTCGATCCACTAGTTTTGAACGACAGGACTGGGCTACGTCCTGTTAATCCGATGTTCGTGACGATTGCGCATTGGGCATCGTATCGCGAAGTCGAATTGAGATTTGTAGCAAGAAACAAGTTGCCCGATACGGCCGTGAGCGAAATGTTGTTCACGTATGCCACGTATCGCTGCATGGTTGATCCGTTCAAATCTCTGGGCTGAATACAGCGAAGGAACGCAGTGCTTGCACTCGAATTGACCAAATAAATCGATGGAGGCGACTGTGGCAAGCCCGCAACGAGAGTTTTCACCGAAATCTTGGGCCCATATCCGATGAAGTCCTGCCACGGATGGCAAAGCATGTCTTCGGTCACTGCTACAACTTCGATGTCGTATTCCATGTTGGGCAAAATAGGCAACTTGGTCGCTGGGTTGGTGAAATATAGGTCAATGGAGTAGTCGTGTGGTTTGCCAATAGTGTTTTCAGCCAACGTCCAGTTCGTCGAATTGGCAGGTGCCATGAGCACGTAATATCCCATGAGTAAATGGCCACCTAGTGCCAGTTAGGCAACGTTTTCCTATCGTGCTATGGTACCTGTATCCTTAGGCTTGTCGATGGTAAGGCTGATCGAACCACCTATAAATCGCTGAATACTTCAACTTGCAATTAGACTTCATGTACCGGTTGCTTGCCAGAGGTAGGGAGTTGGAACGTATGGCTGGGAGAGAGTCTTCACCAGAGTGCGGAATTCAAACAGTGCGCTGAATGGGCTTTGATATCCAAGGGCATTCGATACCGACGCGCGGAGAGCAAAGGTTGAATTGCTAGGCAAGTTGTAGACCCAGACCTCAAATATACTTGCGACAGTGTCCAGGACACCCCCTTGCGCAACAACTTGGTAGTTGCCGAGTGAAAATCGTTCAATTGTCACGGAGGTCAAGGGTGCGCCACCAAAATTACTGACTCCACCAACTTGCAACTTGATCGCACCAGATGTGATCGAAATTGGTACCAAAAACATTGGAGACGATGGCGACGAGCCGGCAATCTTCATGTCCAGCTCCAGAGTTTCGCTCGGCGGCCCATCACCCAACGTATTGGTAGCCACAATGGTCACAAAGTACGTGCTGTTGGTCAACAAGTTGAACAGGGTCGTTTCAAATATATTCGACAGCTGGACAACAGGAAAGCCGTTGAGAAGGACTGTAAAGTACTCGCATGGCAGTCCCCCCGTGTCGAAATCGTTAGTCCTGGCGCACAAGCCATTAAAAACGCAGCAAGTTTGACTCCTTACCATTGAATTAATGCAGTTTGGTTGTGGACTTGCGCAATGGGTAAGGACATGGCACCGGGGCGACTGGGGGAAGCGGTTTGGGCAAGTAAAATAGTCGACAAATCAAAGATCTTGCCGGACGCAGTTTGGTAGCTCAATCGCACGGTGTACCTAGTGAATGGCTGCAATCGATTCAAACGGAACCGTCCTGTCTGATAAAGTGTGGCCGTTGTGTTGGTGGTTCCTCCACACGAAAACTTGGCATCACCCATGATGCACGGAACATTGCAGATGGACGTATCAACGAGTCGACTGTTCGCCCAGCCGCACGTGCATCGTCCTCCACGCGACAGGCCAAACTGGCGTGTGATGTGGTTGTGCACAGCCTTCACGTCATGCACGAGAAAGTCATTTCCGTTGCCAGAGCTGTCGACGCCAGAGACAAAGTCGCTTGCGCCGTCCTTGTTGAGCCTAACAACCACCATGACAACTCCATTCCAAGGAGCCCTAAAATTCCGTCTACCGTAAATGCACAACTGCGTTTGAAGCAGGTTCGTCGTCTTCTTGAAAAACTTGGAGGAATGGCAGCAGTCGAATCTAAGATCGTTGTGAAGTCCGAGCAAATTTCAGCTCGACACGCATACCTCGTCCACCATCCCTTCCAACCGTTGGTATCCCAGGGCATACATGGAATCTACCAATGGATGTGAGATCGCGAACTCTATGTCGGCGAATTCGTTACCTCCGCCAATTTGAATATATCCCACGGCGCTAACAATACAAGACTGCGACGCCACGGCCTCTGCGACCACCAGGCCGTTCAAATACACCGCCAACGTCTTTGTATATGCATTCCAAGCAAAGGCAAGTCGCATCCACTTATTGGTTGGCAGCGCGAACCTGAAGTCTTGACGCACTGCGCACAGTTCGATCGAGAGGCCCGTTGGGAAAACTGTTACAGCAACGGATTGAGCGCCATACATGAACACCAACGAGTTCGACGGGGTCGAGTTGCTAATCGACAGCCGTATGTCCAGTGTCCACACAGGCAAGTTGAACGTTGCCAAACTTCGCAGGACAGATGTCGCGGTGAGCCGACCCTGGGCTTCAGAATTGAAGCAATGCGATGCGCACACTGAAGGGGCCATCAAGTCGGCAGACGCTAATGTAAAACTGCTGCTGACTGCACATCCCGTCGAGACAACGCCTCGTCCAGAGTACGCAATCCTTTCTTCGGTTTGGTTTTCTTGACCAAGGTAGACCGTATAGTCCACGATTTCTTCGTGGTCCACACCGTCGTACAGTTGATGAGATAGCGTCAAAGAACCTCCAGTCACAGATTCCAAAACGAGGGCGCCGGCCACGTCGTTCGCATCCATCGGCGAAAACGTAATGCTTTGCAAGGACACTTCGTCGTCGAAGTACGTCGTGGCCGAAAGGACAAGTTGAAATGGACCAGTCCACGATTGGGCTGAAAAGTCCAACCGCTTGGCTTGCCACTCTCCGACCGCGACATCCGGGTCGATGTCGCTGGACCAGTGCAACAAAAGACTCGAATTTGTCACGGTCTTTACATCCGCCGTGAGGGCCGCATGTTCTGTCAAAATATTGTGTTATCATGACGTGAACCGTGTTCTCTCGTACCAGAAGTAATGAGATAGTTGAAATCAATCTGCACTTGCGACAAGTTAAACGGAATGCTGAGCAACTGTGCGCTGGACAAGGCTGGTGAGTTGGCATCATCAATCGGTCGCCACGACACGCGTTTAGTGACAGAGTATTGGCACGTGGAGTTTAACCAACCTCCCGCAGCACTTGGGACTGTATGTGCAGTCGGAAGCGTCTGAACACGCGTGAAAACCACATCAAAGCTGCCGTAGAAAGCATACAGTGGTTTCACGACAAACCGAACGTCGACGGCGTCGGCAACAACAGTGCCATGGCAAAACATTGGGTTGTAACTGAAGGACGACACGAGAACGTCGTTCGCGCCATCCGCAACGACATCAAATGGACCACACGGCACGATAGCAATCGCAATGTGGTTGGACCAGGGGGCACCACCCTTGGAGACGTAAAATTCACTCGCATCTTGGCCGGTCAAATCGGTTTGAAAAACGATAGGATGCAGCGCGTTGTCGTCGACGATGCACGGTGGAAGCACCTGAATCCCACTCGTTTGCACGCAAGCATTGTTTACATCAAACCAATTTAGTTCCACGTGTGACGTGACAAGACCGTCGGTGGAGGTAACGGCATCGATTTGGAACGAAATGGATGCACTCGCCGACGTATTTTGGACAACAAACACAATCGATTCATCGGAAAACGACGAGTTGCTTGCAGACACGAGGTTGTACGTGCATGAGTCGGTAGACGACAGTACACGTTTCCCGCGCCATTCCAGCAGCAAATCCGAGCACGGATACAATTGAACAGACACATCCAGCAATACCGAATCGTCCACTTCAAAAGTTGGCAGCAAGAGTTGGGTCGCACAAGTGGAACTCATTGACTGCGCAAGAATTGCGCTTGGGTACGTGATTGACGGCACCCGCGAAAGGCAGCGTACTTGGTATGTTGCCACTTCTGTCACGACCACCGAACCGCTCGAGAACAGTCTGACGACAAAGCGCAACATCAATGCATCTTTCGTCGGGTCTTGTAGTACCACCGAGATGTTTGTCGAGCTGGAAATGTTGCACCAGGTCAAAGACACGTTGTTTTGGACCGGGTACGCCGATTCGTTGAGGAGGACGGTCTGAATGGCGCTTGAAGCGAAGAATTGCAATTCGCTCAAGACTGGCGGCGTGAAACTACCAGCAACCAAAAACTCGCCCGAAGTGAGTTGAATGGTACCATTTTGAACTGGACGGGACACGGTTTGCGTCACAATTTGTGAGTCCACGGACGACAGCACATCAATTCCGTCGTCGGAAATCCCTGGTGGAATGAAGTGCACAATGGAAGACTGGAAATATGTCGACCCATTGAATAGACGAAACGACCCGTCCAATTTGAATAGCACACTTCCTGCATCTTCGTTCAGCATGACTGAAATTGCAGCGTTGGCGGGATCAGTCGAATTCCACGTGCCACTGAGCCAGTCAAAGTCTTCGTTGGCGTTGGTCTGTTGTGACGAAATAAAGACGTTCTGAATGCTGGTCACGGCATTTGTCCAGTCCAGAGCAATCGTGAACGACGTTGGGTCCACCATTGAATCAATCATCGCTTGACACGACTCAACCCACTCAGCCGTGCGATACGTGAAGACAGACTCATTAAAAAACGTGACCACGGGAATTACACGAGATGGCAACGCAACACTGGACTCCAATCGTCGGCGAGGGTAGCTGTTGCTACTGGCCAGGCTTTCTACAACCACGATAAACTCTTCCATCTCGGACCGAGTCGCCGCATCCACAATTAGTCCAGCGTTTGTATCAACCATCCATTTATCCGCGGCCTTGCCAGGGGAGCTGAACGTTGCAGACACTGTTTCGTCGGTCACATCTTGAACGACCACGTGTTCGTAACTCGGTGGGGCAGCCCGCGGGGAGTATACATCGTCGATGGCGTACACACGAAGCAGCTGCTGCATCGAGTACACGTACTCAACGGTCCCAATCTTCCACTCGGCCTTCCACGTCACGTGAATAGTTCCTTGAAAGGAGGGAATTCCGACGAACTGAACCGTTGACGGTACTTGCGAGCAGAGGACGACTTGCAATTGCTTTCCATCATCATCCCATGAAATCGAAGTGGGGAGCTCGATGGTGGAGGCGTGTGCACTGTCCCACATGAGCTTGAATTGGACTGGCGCACTTGGAAAGTATCGGAGGACTTGCTCAAATCCATATGCGGGCGTGGAGACTGGAATATTTGCACCACCTACTGGAAAGTCATACACTTCTGGGGCAAGCTTTTTCATCCACACGAGCGAGGCCTTGTCAAGAACGGCTGACGCATTGCTGGCCGAAGCTCGGTGTAGAAGGGAAAGAGTCACCTTGCCCGTGAAATCGGCACCCATGGCAACTCGAAGGACGACGGCGGTGGGCTCGAGTTCAATCCAAACACGATTACACCATTCGTGTTCGACAGACAATTCGGCAAGCCCTTGGGTCACCTTCAACTTATTCATGTCGTCGCAAGTTGTTGTTTCAAAGCCAATTTGACCATCGCGAAACGTTACGGCCATATCAACGGAATGCCCACTGCTCACGATGCCGTTCTTGACTATCCATTCGACATCCCGGGCGTAGATGTTGTCAACTTGCACCGACTCCAGTTCTTTCAACTCACGAGATCCGCCTGTGGATCGAGGCCCAGACACTGACAAAATGGACAACCCTGTCGAACGGTCGACCTTTGGAGCCCAGCGGGCGTACGATTGTGCGTTGTAAAAGCCACAAGCCCCCGGTGATGTCAGCACGCAAACGCCAGACGTTAGCCCTACGACAATAATACCCGTGTAAATCCATGCCCTCGCGTTTCAGTCGCAAAAGTTACCAGGTCGAGAAACTGGTTGAAAAGTCAACGGTGAAGCAATGAATGGTTGCCACGTGCTGGCAGCTCGGTCAATTGGGTAGAAGTAGTGTTGCTCGGGCTCTTCATTCACGGACATCTGGATCTCAAATATGGTCGACTCAACAAGTGCACTGTAATTCATCTGCAAAGAAATAAGCTGTCAAGAGCACGTAAAATTAAGACGCACTAGAGCTACCTGAATTGAATAGATGCGGAGGTGCGGATCCATTTGCGGTAGCATGAGCACGAACGTCGTCGAGGGCGAAAAACTGTTCAGCACGACGACAGATTGATTCGTCCCAACCACATTCTGGTCTCGATCCAAAAGACTGAAGTGGACAGGAATTGCACTCGTCAACGGCTTGGTGAACACTGTGACTCGTGCGACTAAAAGAGTCGAGTTGGAGCATTGGGGCATCGACATGTTGCTTCATCATACCTGTGCATGCGGAGGACGCCGGTGCGTTTGGAACCGACTTGCAGTTGGTCAGATCCTCTATTGAATTGGTCACGAGCGCCCTCGACTGATGAGTACCTGGTGGCGGAAACCATGCATTGACAGCGAGAAGGCACAGATCGTCGCTGCCAACAGAGATGGCTGCAATTGGGACGCTGGGGCGTGAATACTTTTGGATGGACCAGTCATTGACGAATCTGTGGCATTTCAAACGTTAGTGGAGCCCCAATGCATCTGTGGACAACGCACACTTCAACGGATGAATGCATGACTCTGAAACGAAGCACTTGCTTGGGCAAACCCAACACCGTTTCTGTTGTGTCTGTCGTGCTGTAATTGACGTTGGTCCACTTGGCCATCTTCGTGGCAGAGTTGAGCTCGAAGGTCGCAATGGCGGAGATGGTTGTATCGTAGAAGGTCACTGCGGTAGTCTGCCCTTCGCGCCAAGTCGTCTCAACTGTCACATTCGACCCTGTGCCTAGTGACTGCTGGAGTGAAAATGCTCCCAAGACAGCGGCCTTCCGATCGACTGGAGAAAGCCTTTGCCGTCGTGCGTCATTTGGAGGGTACGTCTTGGCGCACAAGTGCCGGAATGGATGGTACCGGTCGAATTGTTCGTTCCTCATGACGCAGCACTTTCCATTGTCTGATGAGGGGCATATCGCACCGACGACCGCAGGCTCGCATGATGCGTTTGTGGGCAAGAAGGACGTGAAATAATCGTTATAGCGTAAGGTAGCGTTCGCAACAACGAGATTGCACGAGCTGCATCCGTCGACATCGCTGAAGCAACTCTCGTTTGGGTCGACGTAAGCCTGCCAGCACGACGTTGCGTCGACACGCCAGATGGGTCCAAGCAGTAGCCACAGCAACATCGAATATTCGCAGCGCATGCTTGCCCACGAAGGTCGTCGTCCTTTCCTTCAGCGTTTGGTAAGGTCGACCTGCGATCTTGTCTAACCTTCCAATTTCTGGTAAAAGGTGATCGTATACACACATCTTCGAAATACCAAACACGTTAGACCTATGGTTTCCGAGCATGGGATTGACCCGCATACACACGTGCAACACTCGCCGTGTTGGGGTCATCTCCATCGCCACCGCCAACTCCATGTCGTCAACTCAAAAGCTGTCATGTCGCTCCTGAACCCTTCTGGAATGTGTACTGCAATCTATCCCTGACGCATTCATCACACCTTTGCATGTCGCGTTATTGCTATGAACTCGATTATACGAGAAAATACCAATTATAGACCAATCAGATGTGACTATTTGATAGAAATTTTACAAAATTTGGACTGCGTTCGATGCCTTAGATTGCCTGGCGTGGTTGAAAACGGCCAAATAGTGTGACGGGAAATAGTGTAACACCACCCCCTTCCGACAAAAAGCGCGCCAAAGCACCACTTGATGGCGAAAATTCAAATCTGAGAGCGTCGTCATGGAGGTCACGTTCTTCAAAAGGACGAAACATTTTCGAAATTCCCCCGCGCGAAGCGAGCATGGACGCCTCTGTGACGAATGGTACCCGCACGTCCAAGCGGAAGGCGACATCCGAAGGAACTTCATTGCTCGGCGGAGGTATTGCTGGGGAGGATGAGATGGCGTTTGAAGGAAAGCAATCGTCACACCCGACACGCTTGGTGGAATCTTTCGATGATCAAGTTGAAAGAGATGTTGAGTCGAAATCTATCTCCCACGTGTGCAAAATGGTGTTGAGGCACATTGTCGACATGGAGCACGGCGACCAAGGCATCCCAATTGTCCTCCGAGCAAGAAATTTGGAAGCGAGCCTTGGGCTTCCCCGCAGAAGAATCTACGACGTCTTCCACATAATCCAAGCGATTGGATTACTCAACAGAGGTTCGGAAGGTTTCCGATCGCTTCGGGGGCATCACTATTGCGGAGAGAATCAAGTTATCCAGACTCTTTGTAATTTGAGAGCCAGCGTCATGTGCCTCAAGAAAGCAGAGCGGCGATCAAAAGCCACAAATATGACCTCGCTCAGTGCATCCGCAGTACTAACAGGCAACGTTGACGAGCATCAAACACCCAGCAACACGAAGATCCCTGCCCTTTGGCAAGTTACGCACAAGCTGCTGAGGTGCATTTTTGCCCGTGGCAACTCGATCAGTTTACGCGAAATCTATACATTGGACGACGACAAGGATGGATCATCTTCAAAGAGCCGTCGGTACTATGACGTCCTCGCCGTACTAACCACGTGCAATATTCTTCAGCTCAACACAACGTCCAAGTTCGACCGAGCCAAATATGCAAAATTGAACCCCCTCATATTAACAGATCCGCAATCGTTTTCCGTGTTTGACCAAGTGCGTCGTCACGACAACTCAATGCCTGTCGCACCTGTGTTCATCCAACGGCAGTCCAAATTGAAGGTTATATCGAGCGACAAGAGGCCACGGTTGTGGGCGAAGCAAAAAGCAACAGGATCTCAGCAACAGTTGATCGCCCACGCTGAATCGAACACCCCCTGCGAGGACTATCCAAGTGCAGGCAACACTATTTCGTTTGCAACCCTGCTTGAAAAGTCCCTGTTTGACATCGAACCGTTTGAGCCATTCTGTCATGCGGCCGCAACAGATGCCTCTGACGACCACTCCATTTCCATTGCGAACAAGACCGATTTCAAGCTCCTCCTGTCCCCGTGCAAGGGCATGTACGAGTCTGACGAGTTCGAGTCATTTTTTTCGCAGTTTCCGCTGACCGACTGCGACAGCCTGGAGGTGGACGACGTTGGAGATATGGAGCTGTGAATGTTTGGTCAATTAAATGAATGAAAATCGGACAGCTTGGGACGAAGTGCGCGTGTTGACGATGAATTCTCCATTGCATGTGACAGTATGTACATTGAGTCGAATGGTTTTACATGCTATCCATGGGCAGTCCGACTATCTTGAGGCGCTTGATCCCGGTCGGTGAGGCCGTAGTCCCGCACAATGGAACCAATTCGGATGCGGTAGTCTTGGAAGATTCCATCTCGTCCTTTTGCTTGGGCCCAGCGATGCGACTCGATATTGCGCCAACGCTGGATGGCCTCTTCGTCTCGCCAAAACGACAGCGACAGCACTTTGTCTGGATTGGCGAGGCTCTGAAATCGCTCAATTGAGATGAACCCGTCGATGTCTTTCAAGAGCGGTGCCAGAGACGCAGCGATATCGAGGTATTGTTGCTTGGCATGTGCATGCGGGTACACCTCAAAGATGACGGCGATCATGCGGCCAGCAGCACCCAAGTTTGAAAGTGTTGATGCATGGAACCTCTAAGTCTGACGCTCGCGCCCAAAGGAAATTCATGACGTGCGCGGCAAATGCAACCTCTTGAGAATATTTTCGCTCGATAAAGTTCCATTGCTTTATTATGCAGTTCATATTCTCCGCGTGATGGGGTAGATTTTGAATGTATTTATCACTTTTGGATAATATTTGACCACGCTATGAACATGATTTTGGTGAGGACTTTTGTTGTAACCCATTCAATGCTTTGTTGCGGCAACCGAAAAACAACTTCGGAAGGTCAGCGAATGAGTAGGACCAAGATGGACGACGGCAACGAGCGCCACTACCGCCAGAGGCTTGAGGACCTGCAGCTTGCAAGAGACCAAGAACGAGAGCTCATGTTGGCCGAGGAAGGAGACAACTTCGTCGCGCCATACGACGAAGAGTTGGAATGTGGTCTGCACGTACCGCACCGAGTGTGGACAGAGCTGTATCCACACCAGAAAGAAGGACTTGCGTGGCTGTACACACTTCACCAGGAAAATGCAGGTGGCATATTGGGTGATGACATGGGCCTAGGCAAAACCATACAGATTTGTGCCTTCTTGGCGAGTCTCAGTAAGATGAAGGTCCTGCAAACGGTACGCCCACGACCCGTTGGTCTCTCGAGAGCTCACTCTGCCGTGTCTAGGTACTTCTAGCGTGCCCAGCGTCGGTGCTATGGCACTGGGTTCGCGAGATGCATAAATGGTGTCCTGAAATGCGCGTCGTCCTACTGCATTCATCGGGCACTGCCACTTGCACGTACAGCACTTCCATCAAGAATGTGTATGCGAAAGGCGGGATGATTGTGACAACGTACGAGAACCTTCGAAGCAATGCCGAGTACTTGATCCCCAAGGAATGGGACTACGTAATTCTGGACGAAGGGCACAAGATTCGGAACCCGGACGCGGAAATCACTCTTGTCGTCAAGCAACTGCGTACGGTTCATCGCATCATATTGACAGGATCTCCCATCCAAGTAAAGGCGCCCAGTTGCCGAAGACGTCTGTCACACTTGTGATCGTTCCGCTGTAGAATCGACTGAAGGAGCTGTGGAGTTTATTCGACTTCGTCTTTCCTGGCAAGCTCGGGACATTTCCCACCTTTGAGGTGTGCTCTCCGCTCGCTCAATACCCCACATGATTTGACATTTCAGGACGAATTCGTCCTACCGATTCGACACGGTGGGTACGCCAACGCATCCAAGATGCAAATTCTCATGGCGTACAAGTGCGCCATGGTGCTGCGCGACCTCATTGCTCCGTACATGCTGCGGCGCATGAAGAAGGACGTGCAGATCGCAACCGATCTCCCGAATAAGATTGAGCAAATCATATTCTGCAGTCTGACGAGTGCCCAGCGATCGGCATACAAGATTTTTTTGTGCTCGTCCGAAGTTCGAGCGGTGCTTTCCCGCGAAATCAAACCGTTTCGCGCCCTCACGATATTGCGCCACATTTGCAACCATCCCGACCTGGTGTCCAACTCGACCGAACACTCAACGACAGCTCCCGAGCACCTGGATATCTCTCTCCTCGGCGACGATTACGGCGCGATCGATCAAAGTGGCAAGTTGCAGGTCCTCGAAACGATTCTGCGAGTGTGGAAAGCGCAAAACCATCGCGTCTTGATCTTTGCCCAGCACCGGCGAACCGTCGACATCCTCGCCAAAATGATGAACACACTGCAGTACAACTACTGTCGTCTTGACGGCACCACCACCGTACGCGAGCGGCAGACCCTCATCGACGCATTCAACTCGTCCGACAGCAGCATATTCGTGTTTCTTTTAACGACCAGGGCTGGTGGAATCGGCATCAACTTGACCGGTGCGGACCGCGTCGTAATCTTCGATCCGGACTGGAACCCCAGTACTGACATGCAAGCGCGGGAGCGGGCGTGGAGACTCGGACAGACCAAGCCCGTGACCATATACAGGCTCATCACGTCCGGCACGATAGAAGAAAAAATTTATCACCGACAGCTCTTCAAACAATACCTCATGAACAAGGTGCTTCGCGACCCCAAACAGAAGAGATGCTTCAACCACAACACACTTGCCGACTTGTTTATCCTAAGTGACGGGTCTGAGCTAACCAAAGATGAAAATGGCAACGAAATGAAGACCACAGGTACAGAAACGGGCGATTTGTACTTGCACGGGCACGTAGACGTTGCCGCCGAAGTTGCGACGCTGCAGTCACAGCTGGGGGAATCAGCACGCGTGGAATCCCGCGCCGTGTCGAGCAAAGACGACGATGTTGCTTCCAACGACCCAGACGAAGAGGAAGATGCTGTGGAAGAGCCTCGCGAAGATTCAGTCGACAACACGGAGATCCTCAAGGCGCTTATGGAAGGCGGGTCCATCAGCGGTGTTTTCAGCCAAGACAGCATAGAAAGCGACGGTGTGCACAACCAAGAAGCCGACTTGATTCAAATGGAGTCCACTAAAGTTGCCCAGAACGCGTTGAGTGCGCTGCGCCAATCGTGCAGTGCAATTCGACAGCAGCGGTCCGATCAGTTTGAAGTCACGTGGACAGGACGCAGTGGAACTGCGGGCAACCCCACGAAGCGGTTTGGAACCAAAGTTGCCCAAGGGATGAAACGCAAAATTGCCTGCAACAGTTCTGGACTGGGGCGAAACCACGAAGTGCTCGCCCTCGAGTCGGAGGAGATGCTGAAGCGGATCAAAATGCGGCGGCAGGCTGTGGACACGGGTGTGAAATACAAAAGCACCACGTCGTCGAAAGAGTCGGTGCAGTATGGATCTGTGGACGAGCTGACGAAAAAACTACACTCATTTCTGGTACGCCACGCCGATGGAGTACCAACCGACGTGATTGTCCACAAATTCTGCGATGCTGTGTCGCCAAAGGACAAGGAAATCTTTCGGAATTTGCTGCGGAATATGGCGACGTGCACTGGTAGGGTGTGGCGGCTCAGATCAGAATACTCGATGTCCTGACATCGTATCAAACTGTGCTTTTCATTCAGTCGAGTTGATCAGCGTTTCTACTTGCTATTTTCGATTTCTCGTCACATCTTCCAAACAATGTTGCTTCGTTCTGCTGCTCTGTATACCTACCTCCACAGTCCTGGTAAGTGTGCTGCCACTAGTTGGGAAATTCACTGGTCAGAATGAGCATGGGAGAGTAGTTCTACGCGTGCTCGACCATCAAAAAATAGATTTGGGGAATATGCGCGTGGGAATGGCTTCAGATGTTTCAAGATGCACACGAAACAATTCGAAAGCTGCTGCCAAGAAAATGGTGCGCACTGAAGCGCATTTGACACCGCCGATTGCCGAGTATTTGTGACTATATTTTATAACCAATGATGTGGGCAAAGCAAGCGAGACGGACGAAATCAAACCCGGCGACAAGGCTCGCATACGTTCGCAAGCCTTAAATAGGGTGTCTTCCACCTGCGAAGCATTGCCTGTGAGTAAAAGGGGGTTTCGTGCATTGCTGTTGAGGTGTGGTGCATTCATCATTTTGACATGTTCATCATTTTTATCGGGTGGACGACATTTCTCGAATATTCTGTGAATTTACAATATTTATTTAGGGGAAAATATATTTATATCTTTCATATTTTAACCAATCAGCAGCAGTTTCCTCAAGAACTTGCAATTTGCCGCAGCCATGGCTCGCCGCGTGAAGGCGTTTGACCAGGACGCTCCGGCCAACTATGTTGCCGGTCTCGGTCGAGGGGCGGTTGGGTTCACCACCCGATCGGATATTGGTCCTGCCAGGTCGGATGACCCCACGGACATCACGGCGGGCATCCCCGGCATGGGCCGTGGCCGAGGCATCCCACTTCAGCAACCAGTCCCTGTAATGATGATTCCTCCTGGCGGACGCGGCTCCGGTACGGCAGGGGTTGGTGGATTTGGCCGTGAAGTCGATGCGACTGGAGATCGCGGTGATTACAGTGAATTCGACGAGTTCTCTGGGTATTCTGGCGCGGGCTTGTTCAACGATACACCTTACGACAAGGACGATGCCGAAGCTGACGACATCTACGCCCAAGTAGACGAGCACATGGACAACCGACGCAAGCGACGTCGGGAGCTCAAGCAATTGGAAGACATGAAGAAAGCGCGGCGGGAGCGGCCCAAGATTTCCGACCAGTTCGCCGATCTCAAAACGAGTTTGAAGTCGGTCAGTGATGCTGAATGGGAAGCCATCCCAGATATCGGGGATCATTCGTTGAGGTACAAGGCGTCGCAGAAGAAGAGCGATATATTCACTCCTGTTCCCGACCACATTTTGGACACGCGCGCATCCAACACGGCGTCGAATTCAGTCGTTCTCGGCAGTGAAACACCGTTCTCTAGTGGCACGGCCACCTCCATCAGCGGAATGACGTCGTCGTTGACAGGACTGGCCGAGGCTCGTGGCGCCGTCCTTTCGCTGAAGCTCGACAAGATGTCCGATTCAATTTCCGGCCAGACGGTCGTCGACCCGAAGGGGTACATGACCGAGCTCAACAGTCTCAAGATCACAAGCGATGCCGAAGTGGGCGACATCAAGAAAGCTCGCCTTCTCTTGCGCAGTGTCACGATGACCAATCCCAAGCACGCGCCTGGGTGGATCGCCGCCGCTCGTCTCGAAGAAGTCGCCGGGAAGCTTGTCCAGGCGCGTAAAGTTATTGCAGAAGGGTGTGAGTCGTGCCCAACCAACGAAGACGTGTGGCTCGAAGCGGCGCGGCTGCAAACGCCAGAAAACGCCCGGACAATTCTTGCCAATGCTGTGCGCCACGTCCCGACCTCGGTGAAAGTATGGCTCCAGGCCGCGAAACTCGAACCGAACGATGAGTCTACGAAACTGGTACTTCGCCGCGCCCTCGAGTTTATTCCCAACGCAGTCGCCATTTGGAAAGCCGTGATCGAGCTCGAAGATGTCAACGGAGCTCGTCTGATGCTGGGGCGAGCGGTCGAGTGTGTGCCGCAGTCCGTCGACATGTGGCTCGCTCTGGCGCGACTCGAAACTTACGAACGTGCCAAACAAATTCTAAACAAAGCTGGGTCCACGATTCCGACCGACCACACGATTTGGATTGCCGCCGCCAAATTGGAAGAAGCGAACGGCCAAGACGCCAACGTTGAAAAGATCATCGTCCTCGCAATGAAGCGGCTTCGCAAGTACCAAGTTATGATCGATCGAGACACGTGGCTTAAGGAAGCGGAAGCGTGTGAAATGGCGCAGGCGCCGCTGACGTGTGCCGCGCTCGTGAAGCATTCGCTGGCGCTAGGTGTGGACCCAGAGGACCAAAAACGAACGTGGATGGACGATGCAGAAACTAGTGCTGGTCGGGGGGCGTTTGTGACGGCGAAAGCCATTTACAACCACGCGCTCGAAGTGTTTCCAACTAAGAAATCGATCTGGCTTCGTGCTGTGGCCCTCGAGAAGCAGCAAAATGGTCCACGAGTCATGGAGTTGCTTCAAAACGCGGTGCAAAACTGCCCGAAAGCTGAAATTCTGTGGCTCATGGCAGCCAAGGAAGCATGGGTCGGCGGCAGCGTCGAGGAAGCACGATCGATCTTGCGTCAAGCCTTCAGTGCCAACCCGAACAGCGAAGAAATATGGCTTGCTGCTGTCAAACTTGAATGGGAAAATGATGAAATCGAACGAGCGCGGGCGTTATTGGCCAAAGCTCGATCCCAGGCGCCGACCGCGCGGGTATGGATGAAGTCGGTTCTTCTAGAGCGTGAAGCTCGAACCCAGGGCGACCAAGACTCGAAGGCCCGAGAGGAAGCGCTGCTCACGGAAGGGCGCACTCGTTACCCGACATTTGAGAAACTGCATATGATGACCGGTCAGTTCTACGAAGACATGGGCGATCTCTATGGCGCGCGAAAGTATCTGCGCGAAGGCTTGGTTGCGTGCCCCAAAAGCATTCCTCTATGGAAGCAGCTCACGCTGCTGGAAGAAAAGTCCAAGGGCGAAATGAAGGCTCGATCGGTGCTCGAAAGCGGTCGGTTGAAGAATCCCAAGAACCCAGAGCTGTGGCTCGAAGCGATCCGCCTCGAGGCTCGCCATCACAACGACAAGGGCCAAGAGAACTTGATGGCCAAAGCGTTGCAGGAGTGCCCTGATGCAGGCATTTTGCTCGCCGAGTCCATCGACATCGCTCCGCGTACGCAGCAACGCCGTGTGTCTTTGACGGCGCTCAAGAAAAAGGACAACGACCCTGCCGTGTGTTTGTCCGTGTCGAAATTGTTTTGGAACGAGCGCAAGTATTCGAAAGCGCGCAAGTGGCTGGAACGCACAGTCCAGTTGAACCCCGACTTTGGCGACGGATGGGCATACTACTATGCATTTGAACTCAAGCACGGCAACGAGGTATGGACTTGGAGCACTAGTCGAGTTCGATTGAGCTGATCTGACGAGGTGTGTGCCTAGTTGCAACGCGAAGACATTTTGAATCGCTGCATCAAGGCTGAACCACGACACGGCGACCTCTGGTGTGCCATCTCCAAGCAGACGCTCAATCGCAAGAAGAAGACAGGCGAGGTACTCAAACTTGTCGTAGCCTCGCTGCCTGTCATGAACGTTGGCGAAGTATTGACCACATAAAGCTAAATACCAACGCGTCAACGCATGGTAGTGCCATTCATTCGACTTTTCTCTCAAGTGGGATTCAGCAAACACACTTGATGGTTCGCACTGGTTTCAGGTCGCTTCCCGTTGATTCTCAGCTGAAACGTGGTTGGTTATGGAGGCCATGTACGTTTGACGCGCTGTTTGTGGAGTTTCGTGTTGTGGCCAAGCGAGAGAGAACACATCACAAAACCTCGGAGGCGTCGACCCATTCACACAGATTCCCATGAATCTAGTGGAATGTGTCTAAAACTTGCGAAATTTATTCCGACTCGACGTCCACCTCGACTGCGTTGGAGCAGGGTCCATCAAGTCGACGCCAATCCCGACACCCCGTGTGGTTTTCACCCAAGTGACTGTCGGGCTTGTGGTTCGACATGACATCTTCGAGACATGGATCTTTCCCTGTCGGGAGGTCGTGCGCGTTTGCCTCAGCTCGTCCTGAAAGACAGAGAGTGTGGTGGTCTCGGCATTTTGATTGCCATTCACTCGGGCCATCCTCCGCTGCCACGCACATTTTTCACATCTAGGAACCAAGCATGTCCTTGCTTTGCTTCCCATTCGTTTTATTCGCGTCCAACGCAATGTGGATCGCATCAATTTTTGTCAACAAACTCCCGTTTTAAGACCTCGTAGCAAGTCCTGCCGCCACTGAACGCTGTACTTGCCCGATTTCCCGTCCAACTTGGCATGAGACAGCACTTGGTCGAGGAATTGTTGAACAAAATACAGATCGTCAAGCACGAGAAGAAACACTGACGAACGACATGATGCCGGCGACCTCCGTGCTTCTTCAACCCTTGCATTTCGGTCCTCAGGGGAAGCAGCATTCAGCGCCACGTCAGTGCAAACAACACACGCCCTTGCGCGATGAAGTACGAGGACGACACGTCCCACTAGACTTTGGCCATGACACGTTTGAAGTTATCTTGGGGCTGCAACACGTACGAGTATATCTCGTGTAGATCGTAGACGCGATCAGAGATGCCATGTTTTGGACACGGGTCGTGATGGTAATTCACGTCTTCATGGCCCATGTCGGGCCATTTACACGACTCCGTCTATCGCCGCGATGAAGCACACGCCGACAGAGACGCTCTCGAGCTACCCCACGCTCGTGTAGGTCTACTGAGCACGCACGACGCCTCAGATCGTGACGAACTTGATGCCGACCGTTGGCCTTGTTGACCGGAACCGCTCACCGCTAGTTTCAGTCCCCACTTTTCGACTGCGACGAAGAGGCCAAAGTGGCAAACCCACTCAGTTCATCGTTCACGGCTCGTCTGGGCCCAGTTGCTGTACATGGGCGACCCCATGGGTTGGAAGAAACAAGGCGTGCCAAGCCGAGCTGCCCAGGGATGTCATTGAATTGAAATATTACAAACTGCAGCCATGAACGTCCGACTGCGAACTCCGAGCGTCGCGTCGCCAGACCCACAACCCATTGTTGTAATCTCACATCATCATGTGATATTTTCGGCATAGTTGCATCAACTCTTTGCCAGCAAATTTCCAGTTGAGGCAGGTCACAAGTGGCGGCCATGCACCACGCTCTTGTCACTTCTTGGCATCGCCAAGTGCATGTTGGACCGAGTCGATTCGACCCGTCACCTTGTGATGTGATTATCCTGCCTCGACATGCTGCATGGCGTGAATGGAGCGAACTGGGCGCTGCTGAGGGACAGTATCGTTGCACCGTGCGGCCGACGTTGCAACTCTAGCATGGACTGACCGGCGCCGCCTCGAAGTGGACTGTGCGTCATACTTCCCAAGCGATCTTGTGTGCCTCTTCGTAAACATGTGGAATATTTTGACTGGCTAAATTATATGGATGTTGCGCGTTTTCATTGGCTAAATTAATGTCTGCAGGTCAAAGTTTTCAAGTTGCTGGGGCTAGCGTATCCGGAAAAATATCCGAATGGCGCGAAACTTGGAAGCATCTTTGCCGCGGGAGCACCATGGCATCCGAACTGTGTCCGTCGTGCACGCTTGTGCAAGGAGGAACGAAGGAAGAAGGACGTGACAGCTTGCATCAATGCGTGTATCGAACAAAGCTTGCCGTGCTGGCCCAACGCTTTCGACTGCTTCAAAAGACCCTCGAACAGCAGCAACTTGTGATTGAGAAGCAACAACGCAAGTTGGAACAGCGCAGGTCAAGAGCAAAGCAGGAAGCCCGGCATGACACAGTGCCGTCAACTCAAAAGAATAATCACTACACACAAGGTCCAAGTATTAGCCTGGACACGCCATTTCGTGATCAATCTAAACTGCACCATGATATCGTGGCAGAGGGCGACCGCAATGACTCCAAGGAATCCATCCGCGCTCGAGGCGACACTGTTACGAGTGGCATGCCTGCATCATCTGTGATGGTAGGTCAAGTGTCAGTGCAACCTCGACAAATCAAAGATGGCTTTATATCGACTCGTCGTCCAAGTGACGACTCTGAAAACCTTGGTTGCAAAAATGGATTCCTCAAGGGATCATCCATGCAAGTCGCCGCTCCGCTATCTTCGCGCTCTGCTAACATGTCAGCCGATCTTAAGGACATGATGAACCATCCTCTCAAGCGAGCGAAGCACGATCCTCAAAACGTTTCCCCCGCTGTTGAGCAGGCCATCTCGTTAGACTCATCTCGCCCAGGCGGCAAGATATCCTATACCCTCTCGCACGTCCCATCCACTCGAGCAGCGAAAGCAACAACTTCTACTACCTCTGCGACGAGTCAACGTCGCTCCGATCGGGACATCGCTCGACCTAACAGTCGGCCTGATTTCAAGTATATCGAAGTCGTCCGGAACCGCGATGCCCGCATGGCGCTACCTGGCCATGCTTGTGAAGAGTGTGCCCAATATTACGCTGCGCTGGGTGACGAGTTTGAAGGCCACCAGTTCGCTTGTTCACGCCACCGGGCCAAGTGGGAACCGTACGCGACACCGGAGGACTTTTGGCGCCTCAGTTTTCCCGACTCGCCGTCGTAAAGTCAGCGGACAAACTCGTCTATCGTCTAACCCTAGCATTATCTGGCTCAGTATTCAACGCGCTGGCAATAGCTTCCACAGAGGCGGCACACCAATACCGGGGCGCTTTCGTTGTCCGCGCCTTCGTCGTGCTCATCTCCATGCGCAAAAGCTTCGCACACGGTGCATTTCCACATGGCGGCGACACTATCAATCACACGAAGTGTCCGGGAGCACCGTTCGAGCGCATGTCCGTTGTCGCACACAGGCTCCAAGACATTTTCAGTGAGGGGAATCGGTGCGGAACAGAGGCTGCACGTTTCACGGACTGGCGGTGTTGGGTTCGCTGTCAGATCTCGCGTCTTGTCGGCGGGGGTACCATACGCCATGTAAGTGGCGTTTAACAACGCCAGATGCTCGACAGACAGCGGCGACGCCACCAACGACAAGAAATCGGCCATGAGCAAGAACGGTAGACTTGTTTGACGTGTGCGTTGGCCGCTGAACTGCTTCGTCGCGGCTCGCAACATGTAGTCGCACCAGAACGCCATGATCTTCTTCTGGAGCCGGGCCACATTCGCGTGTTGGTTGGGAGTCGGCATGTTGGACACAACTTGGTATGCGACTTGAAGGTACATGGGCGAGATGTGGTCGGGATCTTCCGCGGCGGTGCACTGGTCGTTGAATTTGGACTCCAAAATCGCGCAAAACTCTTCGTGCAACGGCACCACGTCGTTGATCGCGTCCGCTTTCTCGTCAGCAATCCACGCACGGGCTTCGGCCATCTTGGCGTTGAACGAAGTCAAATTCGCGTGGCAGTACGACAAAATGTCACCGAGGGACTCGATGCTCGAGTGCGACTCGAGCGAGTTGGCGAGCAGCGTAGCGTTTCGTGCATTCGGCGCGGCAAAGCACTCGAGGCCACTCGACAACCGGGCATACGTTGTGTCCTGTGGCAGAATCGATCAGAGGTACTTGGTTCATTTAAAATGCGCAGCGCGCGTGTTCATCCTTACGGCTTGGGTGATCCGGGAAGGTTTTGCCGCTGGAGGGCAGACGTAGCCGACCGCAAGTTGCACGGCGTTCGGGGACAGTGCCAGGCCGTAAATCGGGTAGTTGTTCACGGGGAGGTAGCTAGGCAAGACGCCATTGTAACTCAACCATTACGAGAGAGTGAAGTCGTACTCGATGGGAATTTGGTCGCCCGTTCGAATGTTCCAGCACTTGACACACCCATCGGACGAGCTCGAAAACAGCATGTGCCCATCGTCGCAGTGGTTGAGCTCCAAGCTCGATATATTTTTGGCATGGGCGACCCACGTACGGGGGTCGGCCGCGTCGTCATCGTTGCCAACAGGCCATACCGTGATGGAGCTGCCACCACCGACGCACACACTGGTCAGCGAGTACTGCACTGCGTACACGGGCTGCATCTGTGGCGTTTTCATGACACGCTCCACGGCCATCGTTGCGCCGCCGCCTTTCGAGTGCACAGTCAATCGCATCAAGAGCACATTTCCACTGGAAGTGCCCATGGCGAACGCATTTGTTTCCATGTGCATCCACGTGCAGCACGTGGGCCAGCCATACTGTCGGGTCACCCCCGTCGAAATCGGCGCGTCCTCGAGCCGCGACACATCCGAGCTACGCATGTCGTGGACGAATCGCCACACAGTCGTGAGCACCTTCCCGCACAGTACCAAGTACGAGACATTCCTGCCACTCGATGCGTCGTGGGTAGCAGTCGACCACGCAAGGGATGTGACAGAGACGAGGTCGGACGCTTCAACGAATGCTGCCGAAACCTTTTGGCGCTTTGCGTCGGAAGCTCTCCCAACCGACGCTTTGGACCTGTACTGGACAGGGAATCGCGGCAACGGCACTGCAAAGAGCAAGTCGGCAGTAGTGGTAGCGTCCGTTGACGACCAGTCGTTGGCCGCAACATGACGCTTGAGGTGCTTGGACACGGACACCACTTCCTTCCACTGCAGATCCAGCGCAGACGGGTAGTTTACGCCGACTTGGCCGTTTGATGTCAGTGTCGCAATCGCGCACGACATGTTGGGAGCAGATCCTGCCAAAAATCCCCGTGCGAATCCCTGCGACGTAATGTGACGACATACCTCGAGGACCCCATACGGCCGCTGTGAACGTCATGCTGAGCTCGCCTTTCGTGAGAGAGATTTCCCTCGGATTCGACGACTGTTTTCTCGCCTGTTCGTTCAGAATGCGACACGTTGTCGTGCCGGGTGCGTCCAGCTCGTCTTCGTGAATGCCGTCGAGCGTCGGCGGCTCTGGATAGTCCGTGTGCTTTGCAGGCAGTGGCAAGAAGTAGCGCGTGAGAAATGGCGGGTGGAGCAGGAAGCGACTTAGGTCTTTGTTGAGGTACGTCGAGATCATGATATTCTCGTCCGTAACGCACGCAAGCTTGCTGTCTGCCGACCAGTGCACGCAATCGGGCATGATCGGCGCGCCCGGAAGATGTTCTGACAAAAAGCTTGACGCTGTCGACGTGAAGTGAAGTCCATGCTCGTTTGAACCCACGGGCTCCCCGGCCGTCCATTCTGCGCGCTTGGTCATCAGGATTTGCGGCACTTCACCTGCCAATGGCGCGCTATTGACCAATCAAATCGTTTGGCACATTTTGTGTTCCAACTGAACATGGAATTCATCGAGAGCAACGGCGACTTGGAAGAAGCCGACGTTTGTGCGGCGCAGGCCTCCGAGGACGACAGCGACTTGGAGGCTGATGTATGTGCGGCGCAAGCCTCTGAAGACGATGATCAGGAAAAATTGATGGCAGGGGTGCAGTCGCAACCCCAGGACGTGCTGCAATCGGAAACGACAACCATGGGGTGGCTCGAAGAACGAGTCGACGATTTCAGGTGCAAATGTCCTCGATGCATATATGCACGGCCCCGAGTGCGCGAGCTCCCTGATGCATTCGAGTGCCACATCATGAACGGCCGTAAGCGATGCCGGCTTCGTTTTCCCACCAACGAGTTGCTTGTCGTGCACCAACTTGACGTGCATGAGACGGTGTTTCCGATTTGCCCGAAACAGAGGTTGAACATGCAGAACCACGTCGAATATTCCAAGCCCCGCCCTCCTCCCACAGTCTACGTGTTCTTGCAGCGTGACAACCCTCTTATCAAACCCGACGAGGACCTCGATGTGTCGGCAGAAATTGCCCGTGTACGCGTCGTCCACGACCTCGAGCTCGCCACGGTAGTCAAGAAAGTGCATAGGCGAGGCCTCCATGGGTTTGTCAAAATGTCCTTCTATCATGAAGAACCAGAGACAGCCATGTTCGACGTCTTCATGGAAGCAGCGGAACGATGGATGAAAGGCGACAAGTACGAGCGGCTCGCACAGTTCCAGGAGGCTATGGTATACTACAAGGCGACCAAGGAATTACCGGCGCGAACCACACCGTCGCAGTACCCTCTTATCGGGTATGGTAGAAATTGGCTCAAATCATAACAACAATATGTCGCCGCACTTGTTGCCGTGGCATGCTGCCGAGATGCTACCGTTCCATGACCAACCAAACTATCTCTTGAATGTCATCGCCTTGCGGCGATGACATCGTGTCCATAATTGACGATGCCAACACAGGAAAATCAGTGCCCAAGGCCCGAGGGCGGCTTTCCACTACCACGATTGCTTTTATGCACGATTTTTCTTGATGGGACGGCAGCTACGTCCCGGCACTCTGGGGATGCTGCAGAGACTGTGCTGTGCCTTGAGTGACACACGTCGGTAGAGTAGGTGCAGAGGACGTGGAGTCGTTGTACAGCAATATCATTTGAGAGTGACTGTGTCCATAACGCTTGGACGTTTTCGAGGTGGGAATTGCAATACTGTATACGTGTTGAGGGAAACTTAGTTGTGTCTTTAGCAGGTGTTGCTGTGGCATGATGGGACTGTGTCGGTCCGTTTATTCGTCCGCCATGTCATCTTTTGGTTCCTAGGTAGGCAGCAAGCTGGCATGAGGCTGGAACAACGGTCGTTATAAACGTACCTTTGGTTCGACGTCTTCGCCGTAGTTGATGGCGTGGTCAATATGGTGCAGTACCATCTCGATGCTTTCTTCGTCAGTGATGTTCATCGGGACAAACGCGACCATGCTGTAATCGTTAATCTAGCCATCGGTATGAACGAATGCCCATGGACGGCTCACAGAGCTTCGTACGACGTTGCAGACAGCGCGACTGAGTGGCTGCCACTTGTTTGTCGTTGCGTTCGTCAGCGTCTCCAGCAAGTACCCAGACGACGGATCGAGGTACTTTTCCAGTTCTTGTTCATCCACCAAATCGCATTTTGTCAAGACCTGCACATTGCGAATGACAGATGAAACGAGAAACGACAGCACGTACGTTGACGTGCGGAAGTTCCAATTGCACCATGGCCGACAGTGAGCACAGAATGCCAGAAATGAACTTGGACGGGTCCGAAATAAACAGTGAGTCGATCTAGTCGGGGGCATCATCACACTCGAGTTGAACGAGTGAGCACACAACGGACGTACCAGATAGACCCCGCAAATTGAGAAGCTCCACTCTTGAAGAGCAGTGCAGAGGTGCTTCATGACTGGCAAGTGCGAATATAGCTCAATTTGACCTGTAGCCTCCCGTCAGAAATGTCTTTGTTTTCATCGAGACTGACCGGGGCAGTCGAAGATAAAGTAGTCGTCATCGCTGTACTCAAGGAGCAGGTCCTGCAGCCAATCGAGGTTTTGAATCAAATACCTATGACAGGATGGATGTGAATGAATGGCTTCGATGAGCATGTATACTCCATGCAGTAGACAAGACCGCCGTTTGGGCCGTAACCGAGCTCTTCCATCACGTCTTCGAGGGAGATCAAGTCGCGAATGTCTAGGCAACAGTATCACACATATATGAGCATGCAACGATACATAGCACTGTCCTACCGAAAGCTACGGGGTAGTCAAAGGACTCTGCGGCAGGGTCCAAGTTCACCACGTACGTCAGTCGTCCACTCGCAGCACAAAACTCGTGCATGTTCTTGCAATACGTGGACTACCACCACACACTTGGAGGTCAGACTTGAGCCCACCTTCAATCTAGCAAACCTTCCCCGTCCCCGCAGGGCCCATGACAATCTGGCAGCTTCGCATCGTGCTGCTTCAAGATGATGTTGGTGGAAGCGGTTTGAGCTTTTTGAAATACATCCTTTTAAGTACGGCTTTCTGTTAGGTTTTGGCGCTCGGTTAGCTCCGCTGTCATGTCGCGCATAAATAGTGTGAACTCCAACACTGGCCGAGTCGGGGGTGCAAAATTGCAATGAGCACACGATTTACTAGTAGACGGCAGGGCTTGTGCGAAGCTGGTGGTCACGTCGCTCCTCGCCACCGACGCCTCCCATTCCCACTGGCGAAGAACCCTCGGTAGATGGTTCCTGGCCTAGACTTGAAACAGTGTGAAGTGTTTCCATAGCGTGTTCACTTTCCAGTGGCAAATCTATGGCTCATAACGTCAGCGCTCGTTCTGTCGCGCGCCGCCCTTCGCAGCCTCCAGTGCGTCCCAGTTACCCCCTCATCTCGCTTCAATGTTGATGAAACTTGTCGGATTTCCATCGTACCATCGGATCAGCCCCACCATCGCCGCCGTCCTTGGCCTATATTTAGGCCTGGAGGAATAGTTGGCGCGATGTGATTGGCTCGTCGGTTTTCTCTCCCTGGGTATTTCGACCAGCTCGGGAGGCATTTTTTTCTAGGTTTCCAAATCAACATACAAATATCCAATGAAAGTAATAAAACTGGCAGCGGGATTTTTCGTCTACGAGAAGCGTGCACGAAACCACCGCAAGGCCACCACCATATTGGTGACGGCGCAACAGTGTGAATTCAGCCGCGCATCCCGCACGATGGCTTCGAGTGCCGTGGACCAGAAGAAAGTTGATGAAAAGCATATCAAGGCGATCCGAGAGTTCCAGAAGGGGTCCTCGGCCAACCGCCGATGCTTCGACTGCAATGAAATGGTATGTATGTGAGTCGAGGTGGCCCCTCTCGTGACAAATTGTCGTCGGCGTAGGGACCGCAATACATTTGCCTCGACTTTAACACGTTCATATGCACGATGTGCAGTGGCATCCAGTACGTCTCCGCGCCTCCTTTCTTAACATCGTTGTTGTTTGGCTGATGCGTGGTCGTTGGTGATAGCCGGGAATTCTCCCATCGCATTAAATCCATTTCCATGTCGACATTCACCGACACCGAGGTGAACAACATTATCAAGGTTGGCGGGAACGAGGTCGGTCTTCATGACATTGGCCCATTGATCTCACGTGCGTCGGTGGTGCAGGCAGCTCACAAATATTGGCTTGCGCGCTTTGACGTCAACTCGCAACCCAGTTCCAACTTGAACTCTCGCGATCGCATTCGCAACTTCATCCGCGACGTCTACATTGATCGACGGTAGAAATTCTTTCATCCTTCCTCGTATTGCTCACAAGTTCGCCGTTCAGATGGGTATTCGAGGAGCCCAAGCCAAGACCAGAGCCTATCAAGCAGGAGGTGAAGAAGCAACCAGTACCCAAGCCTGCTGCCCCCGTCGACTTCAATCCGTTCCAGATCGCGCCGCCACCGTCTTCGTCGACCCCGCAAGCATCGGTGGCATTTGGTGACTTTTCTAGCTTCGACAAACATCAACAATCGACGGCGGCAGTCGACTTCGCCGACTTTGCGTCGTTCGACCAGCAGCCCACTGGGCAAGCTGATTTCGTCGCCGACTTCGACTCACACAACTCGAGCACGAGCGAAGCCACTGTCAACTTCTTCCAGTCTCCGAAAGCAGCCACCGTTGGCACTCACCAACACCCGACCGCGTTTCAGCCGTTCGGAGGTACCTCATCTCGTGGCGATCGCGCCAAACGTCACATGTTGTATAGAACCCGTGACCTCCACAAAGCCCGTCGATTCCATCTTTGGCTCCTTCGACACCTCCCCTGCTTTCCATCCACCTGTGGCCACACGCAGTCACGATCCGTTCGAAGACTTTCCGACCTCCCCAGCTCCCGTGCTTCGTCAGCAAGCTCCATCAACGTCGACAAATAAAGCGATGGTGATGTCGGACCCCTTTGGCGATTTCGATGCGGTCGTGCCGACGTCCAAGACCGACCCGTTCTCGAACGCGTTCGCAACTCCTGCGTCAACACTATCGTCGTCACAATTCACTACGAAGGCCTCCGCACATGACCCATTTGCGTCGATCGACGCGCCCGTTCAAAAACCTGCAGCTACTACCGCCAGCGTCGATCCATTCAATGCCTTTGACACACTCGTAGCACCCGATCCCCCAACTGCCACCTACCAGACACCATCGTTCAACACGGCAGCTGCCGTGGATCTGTGGGGCCAGCCACCTCCGCCGTCGAAGCCCCAGTCTGGTTCATCGGCGTTTGGAAGCACTCCGTCGACCACGTACGCGCCTCAAGCGACGCAACACAAGCCCCATCCGCCAGTGGAACAAACTGGTTACTTTCCCACGAAAGCCACCCCGTTCGATGCAATGTACTCGTCGAACCAAGCGTCGAACCCGGCGTTTCCCAGCAACCCGGCTGCATATTCGAGCCATTCATTTGTCAACAAGGTAGCATTCGTTTCAAGTGCACCCAACATGAGCTCACCCCCATGCAGGACACTGCGCCCCAGAAATCCCTCGTCGACCCATTCGCGTCATTGGACATTGGCATCAAGAGCAGTACCGCGGCATCGACGCCATATCACGTTTTGCCAACGCATCAGGTAGTACATGTTGAGGGACGCCACTTGGCTCGTTCGCTCATGGCGACTATCGTAGTTTCAGTCCCATGGATTCCCTGCCAACCAGCCACACTACGCGAGCAACAACCAGTCGAACTCGTACCATCCCAATATTGTCGTCGCCCCTGTGTACGTTGTGCGCGTCGTGTTTGTTTTTGTTCCATCGACTTACACGATTTACGTGTAGAAGCCAAAAACCAACGTCGACCAACCCCTTTGATATGTTTTAAGATGGGAAATGCGCAACCTACGACTTGCTTGCTGGTCCTGGCGTGCCGGTTCATCACGTGGGGGAACAGGGTCACATTGGTAGTGAGTTGGGAGCAAGGAAGTGCGTCGTGCGAGGTTGCAATCGTGGAAGATTTCACAGCGTGAGCACGAGGATGGCGTGTGTCGATCGTTGAAAGAAGAGGCATTGCACACTGCATCAGCTGACAGCAACGGGTGATAAGGTCACGTGCGAAAAGTCTTCTCGAAGAGATGGCTGCCTTGACATGACGTGAATGTTCCATGCAATGTCCATGTCTGCTTTCGACGGGACGGACGGTACTGTGTTGATCGTTGTGGTCGTGTCGTCTTCTTCAGGGATAGCGTAGAGAGGGAATCGCCGTGGTGCGAGTCGTAGTGATCTGTCGTTTAAGTTGCTGTTGGCGGGTCGACACCGCGAATACGACCGGCGCTGTCGAGTGGGTTGTGCACTTGCAGGAAGACGACACGGACGACTGCCACGTGACACGGTCTTTCGTGAACTTTTCGTGGTGGTGCTTGACGTTATCGCTGCAAGGCCAACAACCATGATACCCGCGGCAATGGCAAGAGGACCGAGGCGCCCCACCATGTTGGAGAAGAATTGGTAACTGAAAGAACAAGTCAAACTTGCTCGTGACAAACCAGAAACCCAGAGTTGATATTTACCAACGGGCCAATCAAACGTCGGCGAGTAAAGTTCTATCCAATCCGAGCTCAAGAAGGAGCAATCGGGCCAATCAAAACCGTCCAATGGCCGCTCCATGTCCGTACTTCAACCCAATTTCGGTGACGTAGTCGAGCGTGGGGTGCGAAGGCCAGACGACGCCGAGGACAAACGGGACTTGTCCATGCAGAGCTCGAGGGGAAAAGCATTATGCAGAGTTACTCACTGCCGTGGAGCGGTAGACCTGTTCTATGCGCTGCAGCACGACGTCGTGCATGGCATCGAGTGTCCCATGCAACGAATGGATGTCAACGGGGATTTCGATGAACGGCGCCGAGTCCTTTTTCAGGTACGTCTGGACAGCTTGGAGGCTCTTGAAGCAATTGGCCGCCTTCTCGAGTTTGTATCGAGGGTCGGGCGATGATTCAATGAACGACTTGTGATCGTCTGCGTTGATCGTGAGCAAGAACGGAATAACTATTCCCCCGGATGGGACGTGGCTGGCAACCTCCGCTTGATACAGACGTGGGTCGATGTGGAGCCCCTCGATGATAAGAGACTTGCCTTCTTTCAAGCACTTGTCGATATCGCTGTTGACCCCCTTGCGTACAATCGAACAATCGTCCTTGTACTGCGCCAAGAGTGCTTCCTCGGACGCAAATATTGTGTCGGACAACGACGTTTCCGACTTGCTAAACTCGACGAATTAACATACGAAAACAGTGTAGTGTCACTTACCCCGAGAAGTTGCACATGAGCTCGAAGATGAGGTCGGTTTGCAGGACGCTTGAAAGATTGAGTCGATCGGCCAGCTAGTTTGGTCGTCAGGATCGCTATTCCCCACAATGATCCAGATATGTCGGCATCGGAAACGACGCAGAGAATGCAAAGTCGTCTACCTTGGTGGCTAGTGTGGATTTGCCTAAGCACGAAGTTCCCGCCAAGAAGATGAGCAGTGGCGTGCGATTCCGATGAAATGCGCTCATCATGCGATAGCACTCGACATGAGATTCGCCATAGCCGTAGACCAACATCGTCTTGTAAAGGAAGTTCTCAAACTGCTCTTGCGCAATGTCAGTAAGCGCCAAGTCCACCAGGGTCTAGTTCAAGCGATGAGTTCGACGATGTGACTCCAGCATTGTACCTTTTTGAGTTCGAGTGAGATTGTCACAGCATCCCGCGAATTGATCTTTGTCGACACCAGCGCGCGACACACCAAATACCGCGACAGAACGTAGAAGTGGTCTCCAACCCACACCCGAACCTTCACAAAGTCGTACTTGGACTGGTTCCTCGTCTCGTTGACCGGAACCTCCGACGTCGCCTTGGGTGCTTCTCGTGCCTCTGCGACGCTTGTGGTGATGGATGGTGGCCGTCTAGGTGGCAATCCTAAAGATACCGAGCCAGAATCTTCTGGAGAGAGCGGCGACGGCACCGAGGAAGGTGACGAGAGGGCATGACCCGTCTGGGGTGGCGCCTGCACTGTCGTCATCTGTCAACACACAACACGAAAGATTTGGTGGATAAATTACGTCTTGGAGGCCAGAGTTATTTTCTTCATAATATGAACGGAAAGGATATTTCGTCCGCGATATTTCGGATATCTGTGATTTTTGCAGTTGATGCGACGATGTCGACGTTTCGCACATGCCACGTTTGAATGGCAATGGCGATGCCTTCTACTACGACACGCGAGTCATGCAAAACACGCCACCGGTCCCCAGTTTGTACTGGTCTGGGGAAGAGCCGACCTCCCACACCCCCCACATTTTGTCTTGTTGCTTGGACGACCAGAACGCAATGTGCGCTATCGGTAACGGTCCGTATGGCTTGCCTCGGTTGCCAAATGCCACCGTAAATTCGACGTTGTGTATTCCCGGTCTCGAGTGAATGTACCCTTCCAACGTCAACGGTGCTTCCGGCTCGTCGGTGCGGCCAGTGCCTTGCAACGCACCACGTTGCGACACTGTCCAATTGACGGCAGCATTTCGGTACACCCTTCCGCTGCCATGGCGGTACGTGATTTGCCAACTCGACGTCGTGTGATGGTGAAAACACAGTTCGTCGTCGACGGTGGGATGGTTTGATTTTGCCGCAATGTAGCCTTCCCAAATATCCTTGGCGCCGCAAAGCACTTGGTCGGCTGGAAACGTCATGTTTAAGAGCACTCGAGCCGCATGCTTAGTTGGCCCTGGCCCGCATTCGCACACTTGAGGGGACAACAGCAAGTCTTTCAATTGTCTGTCCCCGCGACATTGTTCAATTGCATGGCTCATGCACTCGCGCAAATCGTCATTTGACTTCGCAGCACCAGTGGATGTACCGTTGCCATTTTGAATGCAAATAAGATTCGCCAGGGCCCCACACACCAAATCGCGAATTCCCATGATGGTGCAACTCAGGAGTCGAACCAAGTACTTGATGACATGCAGGCGAAACAAGTGACGACGGCTCCCGATGTCCCGACCATTCGACGTCAACTCAATCATCGATAAAAGCTGGTGTTGAATGCGTTCTTTGATGTCGCGATTGATATAGCCCAAGCTGAACGCATTCTGTTGCTGCACATACGTGCAGAGCGCGACCGAGTCGTCCAGGTAATGGTACAATTGGACACATGTCTTCCACCACCCACATTGAAATTCCTCACGGTTCAATCCAAATCGCTCCAGCGCCACCATTTCCCACAACTACTTGACATCGATCACGAAAGCGGCCCATGGAATTCGTTGTGTACCTCGTCTCGTTTCGAGTCCATCGCAAGTCGAGAACTCACTTGCATCAAGTGGAGTTGATCGCATCGTTCGAGACAGTTGAACAGGCTTCCGGCAAATCCAGAAGGCATGGCGCTCCATACTTCTTCGAACGTTGGCGCTTCCGTAGGCTGCTCCCCGTCCTCCTGGTTCGGCATCGTTGAAGCGTCGCAGTTCGTTGCTCGGGCATCTGTTGTATCCAATCAAAACGCACAATCAGACAAGGGCTGCCCAATCAGCTATGAGCTGAGTTTGTCATGTCGATTTTTCAACAAATTCCCTCAAGAGTCTCTGACACCAATTTGGATCGGCCAGTTGATCGGCCAGTTGCTCGTGGTCTTTCGACGAGGGGCGTTCGTCCGCTTGTCTCCTGTCGCTACGTGCAGCATTGTGAAGAACGGCAGGGTTCGAACGTCGAACTAAATCTCCAGGCGTCACAGTGTTTGAACAGCGACAGTCGACGACAGCGGAAACGGAAAAACCGTGCAATGGCGCTTTGTAGACGTGGGCGCCACATGAAAATTTCACCACTGGTGTTGCTGTGCCTCAGTCTATCCTGCGAGTAGTCATGAACCTTTGCACACGAACACAAAGCCCTGGTTTTGGTCTTTCTTGAAAGTCAAGAGCTTGGGCCACAGCACACGGAGAATCGTGACAGGGCTTTGCCATCGCATGTTTAAGTAGCTTTTTCATCGAAGTTGCCTGTGATAGCTTGCCGCAGCACTTCCGCACTGGTATGACCACCCTCCCGCCAGGTCAAGGCCGAAACGTCGTGTTGCACAATGGTTTGGCGATTTCGAAATGGTCCAATCAAAGCGATGAATCAAAGCTGGTCTAAACCAATCAGCGACGAGATATCAAAATACTCAGTCGCATTTCCCATTCGTGGCCATGTTCGAGGTCCAAGGTGTCGGCGAGGAAGTTGTCCTTGCAGCGATTGTGTTTCTTGTCAGTACAGCAGGCCTGGCGTTCCTTGTATTTCACGTGTTCACACCGACCTACGAGAAGGCAACACCGAAGGCCGCGGTGGTCCATGCCAAGACACGCCCGCGGCATGCCAACTCAACATGTCCGATCTGCCTGACGGATGTTAGACTTGCTTGCGAAACGAACTGCGGCCACGGGTTCTGCACCCCGTGCCTGACGAGCTACTTTGCGTCGCGGCGTTTAGACTATCCATGCCCCTACTGTCGTCAATACGTACCCGAACCGTACATTCCTCAAACCAGCATCGATTCCTCGTTCGTAGATCCATTTGGTCCACACGTTCTACTCCCCTGTAGAAATTTCGTCGCAAGAAGGACTCTCAGCATTGCGAAAGCTTGACACCTTTAACGTGCGTGCAGGTCAAAAGGTACCCTCTTTACATCCGTGAATGGGTCACCACTCACGAGCATGCAGATCTCGCTACTCCAACAACTGACCGACCTCCCAACGCTATTGAACTGGGCACGACGGCCACGACGGCAGTCGACGCTGGAGCTCTGGACTCCAATGAGAGTGATGTACTGCATCGTGACTCTGTTATACTTGATCAGCCCCGTGGACATGATGCCTGAAATGGTGTTTGGTGTGCTGGGTTACCTCGACGATCTCCTGCTCATCCTCGTGATTCTCCTTGGAATCGCGCGAGCTATTCGCCAAGATATCTTCATCCAAGCATCTGCACGAGTGCAGCGGGAAGTACCTCGTGCCACGGCCAACCCGCACCAAAGCTGAGCATCCAGACCACCACCTATGTGCAATGGCGTTCGCAACTTCACAATCTTTCCAACCCTCGCCTCGAGTCCTTTGGGAGTCGGCAGCTACAAGGCATCAAGTTGAGGACATAGTGTGCTGACGACGGTTAAAAGAGGCACACAGCTCCATTTCTATTCAAATACCTTCCTGGATGCCGCGTTTCTTCGAAATATTTTCAACACATAACGCTGTTGTCCCTACGCGCAGCTTTTGCCTGGCAACATCGCCAAAATGAACCCGTTATACAACACGGCTATCAACTAGCGCACTACGAAGTAGTCTACCTTGTCTTCCTCCTTCAACATCAGACTCAACAGGCTCTGCCAGTGTAAGTGAAATCGCAAACTCCCCATCGATTTAGATGTATTATAAATGATGATATTCTGATATAAATGAACGAAAACAGAATTGTCGACCAACATTCAGTGTTGAACCGACGGCAGTTACTGGAGCAGGCGTATTTAAATATAGGAATTCAAATATTCATACAAATAGGAAGATGCAAGTGAATTTAACCACGAGTCGAACCAATCCACCATCGCGTTACTTGAGAAGTCGCGCGCCGAGACGACTGAACTGCCGCACCAAGAAGTGCGGTAGACATGGATGAGGTATCGAGGTGGACCCGACGGCTTGTGTGCAAAGGACTAGATATCGACGATGAGTCTTACAACCGCGTGTTCGAAGAGAACTCGAAAAGCGCGGTGAAGGTACAAATCTCAGTGCACTTGGCTTCTCTGAATGAAAATGTGGGCTCCTGCGCAGAAACTCCCGACCCGCGAGCTCTTCAAGCGATTCTTCTCCGCCGACACAAGCGCAGGCGCAGTTTTGTTCTTCTTCACGTCTAAACTTGACGTTGAGGTAGAAGGTACGACGAGAACGACATGACTTGCTCCTTACCCTTGACGGCGCAGTGGAAATCGAAGAAGAGGTGGATGTTCCAACTGCTCCTGCTACCGCCAACGATACTTTACCCAAGCGTATGCTCAATAAGATAGCATTCGTGGAAGGACGCATGACATTTCTATTCCTTTAGCCGAAGCGGAGTTCAAAGAAGGAAACGCGTTACCTGAAGACCCTTCAACGGACAACAATGGTGGTGTCACCGTTGACGAAGACGAACAAGCTTTGAATTTGGCCACGGGCGCATCGTCGGGAGATATCGTACCCGAGACAGTTGCGTTAGCGACTCAAAAGGTCAAACAAGTGCGCACTGTCGTTCAGCGTGTACGTTCACTCACACTGCACCTCGTTCGGACCCGGAACATGAGTCTAATTGACTGAAAAGCAATCGCGGATCATTTGCAACGTGAGCTCCAACGTGCTTCCTCCGGACACACAAGTCCACGATCGCCCGTGCGTGTTCTTCATCAAAAGCGGGGATGGAAACGTTGTGATCAAACCCCAAGACGACGGCAGTGAAGACATTGCGACCAACATCGAAGTGGGATGTTCCACGGGCGACCTCTTGACCAACCTGGAAGGGGTCATTTGCCACGTATTCATTCCTATTTTGGACCCAAAGTTGGTGGCGGAGGGAGCCCTTGAAAACGAAGCGGCCGAGACCCATCATGCCCTCAAGGTACGACCGAATACCGCATTGCTTGCGCACATTCCTTCCACGAGACTTGGAACCGCCCACTTTGGTGTTTCTCACCTGAACTAGGTGATTGACGCCGTACGAAATGAATTTCGAGGCAATCTACTCAAGTTTGCGTCGCAAATTTCAAACGCAATGCAGCAAATTCAAGGCGACGTTCACTTGACGATCCCAAACGTCACGATTGACGACCCGGAGAATTGCCTTGACGACTACGAGCTCATCAACGCGGTAATTCCACTCGTGGTACCCTTTCGCCCATGCACGAGTGATTATTTGGTAGGTTGAGCAAGCTCTGGACGAATGGTACAAGGTAGTTGCGATGGTCGTGGACCAAGAGACTCGCAAAGCACCCAAGCGTAAGGGTCCGCTAGCAGAAATCGAGTTCTGGCGCGAGCGAAACGCGACGTTGAGCACGATTTTCGAGCAAATCAACATGCCGAACGTCCAAAAGATGCTAGCGCTCCTCGATTTGATCGAAGCGTCGAACCTATCGACCTTTCGATACCATTTTTCGGAACTGAGCAAGCTATACATCGAAGCAAAAGATAACGTCAAGTTCCTCACGACTCTCGAACGGCATTTCAAGAACATTGCGAGCGGATCGTTCAGTACGATCGCCGACACGCTGCCGTCCATGATGAATGCAATTCGCATGGTGTGGATCATTTCACGTCACTACAACACCGATGAGCGCATGGTGCCGCTCATGGAGCGCATCGCGTCGGAAATTGCAGAGAAGGTGGCATTAGAGATCAATATCCACACGATTCTGCGCAAATCTCCCGAGGCCGCGCTCCACGCAATCGAAGAAGCAAAGATGGTGCTCGAATTGTGGCATGCAACGTACATGAAAGTCCGTGAACGTATTGAAGCCAGCGGGACAGACCATCGGTGGGAGTTTGATCGAAAGCGACTGTTCGACCAGACCAACTACATGGCCAAGATCTGCGAAAACCTCCAAGAAGTTGCGACAGTGTTGGATCAATTCCACAAGTTCCTCGGTCCCGAATTGAAGTCCGTCACGGGGGACTCCCAGGGAATCGACGACGTCATGTCGCGGGTGGAAGGTTTGATTTCGCCATTCGAGAACGTCCCGTTTCGGATCTTCGACCGCGGGTACAAGACTAGCTGGGAGAGCGTGATGGTGCAATTCCGCGAAAAAGTCAGCGAGATCGAATCGATGACGCGCAAATTTATCGACACGTCATTTCAAAAACTGCGCAGTGCCGAAGGCGCATTTGACTTGCTCCAGAACTTTCAAAACATCCAGTCGCGAGAAAGCATCAACAAGCAAATGATGGAGAAGTACAAGGACATCTTGATGCAGTACACAAAAGAGCTCGAGAAACTCAGTGAACAATTTGAACTGTACAAAAACAATCCGCCCATTTACAAGAACCATCCCCCCGTCGGTGGTGCGATTTCATGGGCCCGTGCATTGTACCATCGCGCTAAGAAACCCATTATGCGCTTTCGTGCTATGAACGACTTGCTCAAGAGTCCCCATGGCGAAGAGGTCAAGGACAAGTATCTCGTGTTTGCCAGGGCTGTGGACGCGTACATCAAGGGGCTCCATCAAGAGTGGAAAAGCCGAGTCCCGTCTCTCACGAACGAGTACCTCAAACAGCCCATTCTGGGTCCAGCGCTGCTCGAAACAACCAAAGTCGAGAATGGTAACCCCGTGCTAAAGCTGCCCCCGCCACCCTACTTCCCGAATTTCGCTCCGGAACTGTCGATGATTATCCGCGAAGCCAAGTACATGGATCGGTTGGGATTTGATATTCCGGAAGAAGCGCTGAATGTGACGCTCCAGGAAGACAAATACCACCAGATCGTGCACGACCTCAAGATGATGCTAAAGCAGTACGATACACTGTTGGGGAGCCTATCACCCGTCGAAGCACACTTGCTTCGCAGCCAGCTCAAGGATCTCGATGACGTGCTGCGTGTTGGGTTTTACCCACTCAACTGGAACTCGCAGCGCATCGTGTCGTTTGTAGAGTCGTGCTTGAAGGCCCTCAACCAGTTTGGCAACATCGTGAGTCAAGTTCACAAGAGCTCGAAGATGATCGACGAAGTGGTCGTGGCGATTGAAAACACGATGCTGATCAAAATTAGCGACTACGAAGACGGCGTCATCACGGAGGTCGGTGAATTCTACGAGCTCATGGAGCGCAATCGAACGACCCGCATCGACGAGCTCGTACAAAATTACCGGAGCATTGGCCCGCTCTTGATCAAAGTCGAAGAAGTCGTCGCGGGTGTCAACACCGGGAACAGTGCCAAGCTCGCCACGTACTACATGTACTGGGAACGGCGCATTTTCAACGCAATCACGAAAATGATTGTCGGTTCCATGACGACTTTTCAAGCGCTGCTCAACGTCCACCAAAAAGACCTGACCAAGGCGGACCAGAAGCTCAAGCGCCCCCCACTGTGCAAAATCAAAGCCACGATGAACGGCAAGGATATAGTCGTGACGCCGTCGTTGTCCGATATGTACAAGTACTTGAGCAAGTGCGTCAAGCACATTGTAGAAAGCGCCAAATCGTTTGTCCGGTGGATGCACGGCACGTGCCGAGAAACCGAGCCGCAGGTGATGAACGAAGACGAAGAGCCCGTCCTGTTTACATTCTATTCGGACATTTCGCAAAACCCGTACGTGATCAAAATGACGCTGAGTCTCAACCAGGAAATCCACAAAGTATTCAACATCATCAACAAGTACCTGGACTCGTGGCGTCGGTATGACACTGTGTACAGCTTGTGGAATGCCAAGCGCCGGTCTGCGTTGGACAAACTGGGTGAAAAAAAGCCTAGTTGCGTCTACTTCGACACGAGAATGGCGTCGTATGCCCGCCTGGCCGAGAGCGTTCGCAACCAGCCAACTGAAAAAGAGACAGACTTTCTCCAGATCAACTGTCTCGCTGTAGCCGTCACGATCGCGAAGCAATCGGAAAAGTGGAAGGACGACTACGGCAAGATTTTGCACGAGCTCAGCTCGAAGAAACTGGCGGCGATTTCGTCGAAAATGGACGCGTTCGAGCTCGACTTGCAGAGCGACCCACGCGACCTTGCGTCGCTCAAAGCGTTGCTCAACACGATCGCAGTGATTTCCGCTGCTGGGATGGAGATGGAACTCGAGTACACCGACATCGTCGAGCGCTACCGAACACTTCAAACGTATGGGATTGAATTATCTGATGCCACTGAAACCAACCGAGCCTTTGGACTGGAAGCGAGGTGGCACGAACTCGTGTTGGCCAGCAAGACAAAGGACCTGCGACTTATCCGCGTCAAGGATCAATTTCGCGTCGTGACCAAGCAAGACACACTCACGTTTGCGACCGAATGCAAGGACATGCGATCCGAGTTCTTTTCGAGTGGACCTGGGGCCACTACGTCCGACTTGGACAGAGGCTTGGAGTTAGTTCAGGATTTCAAGAAGCGATTGGGTGTGTTCAAATCGAGAAGGCAAGAGCTTGTAAACGCAGAGAACTTGTTTGCGCTGCCTTTGACGTCGTATCCCGAATTGCAAGAGATCACGGAAGCCCTCGAGAAACAAGAGAGTGTCTATGCCTTGTACACTGAGCAAAAGGAGTTTATCTCGGCAATGGCGTCCGTGTTGTGGGTTGAACTGGACGTTGCGTTTATGACAAAAGGGATCGACGAGCTCGAAAAGAAATGCCGCAAGTTTCCCAAGGATCTCCGTGCCATGTCGACGTTCCAAGAAGTCGAAAAGCAAATCTTTGCGTTTAAAGAAAGCATCCCGCTGATTGCGTCCCTCAAAAACGACGCGATGAAGCCGCGACACTGGGAAGAATTAATGGCTGTGACCAAAGTCAAGTTTGAAATGAACTTGAAAACGTTCACGCTGACCAACTTGTTTGCGATGCAGCTCCATCGATTCAGCGCTGAAATCGCTGAAATCGTCAATGCAGCCATGCAAGAGACCAAAATTGAACAAGAATTGACGAAAATTGAAGACGTATGGGCCAAAGCAACCTTTGAGGTTGCCAAGTACAAAAAGAACGGGACTGACCGCGGGTGGGTCTTACGCACCGCTGACGAGCTCAAGTTGACACTGGAGGACCACATGCTGAACCTCCAAACCATGAGTGGGTCGCGCTTCATCACGAGTTTTGCCGACCGCGTGCGAAAATGGGAGAAGAAACTGAATATTGTCAACGAGTGCATTGACATTTGGTTCGTTGTCCAGCGCAAGTGGATGTATTTGGAAAGTATTTTCATCGGCGCCGAAGATATTCGTCTCCAATTGCCCGAAGAAGCCAAGAAGTTCGATGCGATCGATAAAGCTTGGAAAGGAATCATGGCTACGACGTACAAGAATTCAATTGCTGTCGACGCGTGTACGACCGATAACCGCACGGAAACTCTTCAAAGCCTTAGCGAACGCCTGGACAAGTGCCAGAAGAGTCTGAGCGACTACCTCGACACGAAGCGGAATTCTTTTCCACGCTTCTTTTTCATCTCGGATGACGAACTGCTCAGTGTCCTCGGTAGCTCCGACCCGACGTCGATCCAAGTCCACATGCTCAAGCTGTTCGACAACGTGAAGCTTCTCACGTTTGCCCGCAACAATCGCCAAGTGTCCGCTATGGAAAGTTCAGAAGGCGAGGGTTTTACTTTCCGAACGCCTTCGGTCGTCGAGGGGCCAGTTGAAGCATGGATGACCGGTGTCGAAGATGAAATGAAAGTGACGCTGCAAGTCATTGCAAAGGAAGGCGTGTTTCACTATGCACGGACGCCAAGAACCCAGTGGCTCGGCGATGTTCTGGGTATGGTCGGCCTTGTGGGCAGTCAAATTTGGTGGACATGGGAAGTCGAAGATGTGTTCCATCGGGTGGCAGGGGGCAACAAATACGCCATGAAGGAGCTCGAGGTCAAACTAACCAATCAACTCAATGACCTTGTCAGGCAGGTGCGCGAGCCGCTTATAAGGACGACGCGCAAGAAGGTCAACACGCTGCTGATCATTGACGTACATGCCCGCGACATTGTCGACTCGTTCGTCCGCGATTCCATCCTCCACGAGAAAGAGTTTGCGTGGGAGTCGCAACTGCGCTTCTATTGGGACAAAGACGTTGACGACGTCGTGATTCGGCAATGCACTGGAGCGTTTCGATACGGCTACGAGTACATGGGGTTGAACGGCCGACTTGTCATCACGCCGCTGACAGATCGATGCTACATGACATTGTCCCAAGCGTTGACGTTCAAGCTTGGCGGATCGCCGGCCGGACCAGCCGGAACAGGCAAGACGGAAACTGTAAAGGACCTGGCCAAGTCGCTGGCGCTGCCTTGTTACGTGATCAATTGTGGTGAAGGCTTGGATTACAAAGCTATGGGGAGCATCTTTTCGGGGCTAGTGCAAGTCGGTGCGTGGGGCTGTTTTGATGAATTCAACCGCATCAACATTGAAGTGCTGTCCGTGGTGTCAGCTCAGCTGCGGGCGATCCAAAATGCACTCAATTACGACAAACCAACAGTTGATATCGGGTTCGGCACGGAAATTTCGATCCATCGGACGGCCGGGTTTGCCACGTGCGGGTTTTTCATCACGATGAACCCAGGGTACGCTGGCCGTACCGAGTTACCCGACAACCTGAAGGCTCTCTTCCGGCCCGTCACGATGATTGTGCCGGATTTGCTCATGATTTGTCAAATCATGTTGTTCAGTGAAGGGTTTGAAAACGCTGTCGCGTTGGCAAAGAAGATGACGGTGCTGTACAAACTGTCTCGAGAGCAGCTGAGTAAGCAGTATCATTACGATTTCGGCCTGCGCGCGCTCAAGAGTGTGCTTGTCATGGCGGGGTCGTTGAAGCGTGAATATAGCACCATGAGTGAAGACTTGGTCCTCATGCGTGCATTGCGTGATAGCAACATGCCCAAGTTTGTATTTGAAGACGTCCCGCTCTTCCACGGGTTGATCAACGACTTGTTCCCGGGCCTGGATTGTCCGCGGGTGGGGTATGCCGCGTTAAAAGACGCTATCGAGTCGGACCTGGAGGCAGGCGAGTACAAGACACAAGATGCGACTGTGTTTCAAGACCAAACCGACAAGATCATTCAAATGTATGAAACGATGCTGGTCCGACACACGTCGATGATTGTTGGGCCGACGGGGGGCGGCAAGTCTCTCGTGCTGCACACTCTGGCCAACGCGTCCAAAGTTGCCCTCGACGAAAGTGTCAAGATGTTTGTGTTGAACCCGAAAGCTCAATCGGTGGCAGAATTGTATGGGACGATGGATCCTGTGACGCGCGACTGGACCGACGGCGTGTTGTCCAAGCTGTTTCGAGAATTGAACCAGCCTCTGCCCCAAGGAAAAGAGAACGAGAAGCGCTGGCTCATCTACGATGGCGACGTCGACGCCGTGTGGGTCGAAAACATGAACTCAGTCATGGACGACAACAAGCTCCTGACCCTGCCAAACGGCGAACGCATTCGCCTGCAGTCGCACTGCTGCATGATCTGTGAAACGTTTGATTTGCAGTATGCGTCGCCAGCCACGATCAGTCGTTGTGGGATGGTGTGGGTGGACCCGAAGAACTTGGGGTATCGACCGTACTACGAAAGATGGCTCAAGAAGCGCAACAATAAGGGTGACGAGAAGCAGATCCTCATGGACTTGTTTGACCATTACGTCCCCAAGTGTGTCGATTACATCTTGGAAGGCATGGTCGGGAAGGAAGTGGTCGGGAAGCTCACCCAAGTGATTCCGATCTCCAACATGGAAATGTGCAAGCAACTGTGTAACGCGATCGACAGCTACTTTCCATCCGATGCGACGCTGGAGCGTATGGATTTAGAAGGTCTTTTTGTCTTTTGCATGGTGTGGTCACTTGGGGCAGCACTCGTCGACTCCAGTCGGAAGCGATTCGACGAATTCATAAAGACCATTGCTCAGTCGAACTTGCCCACGCAAAACCTATATGAGTCCTTTTACAACCACGAAACACACAAATGGCAGCAATGGGATTCCAAAGTCCCAGCCTACGTTGAGCCCGCACCATTCAACTTCAGCAACATCTTGGTTCCTACCACGGATTCCGTGCTGTACTCGTACATTTTGAATGCGTGCATGAAATCGGATCGCCCGATCTTGTTTGTCGGCGAGTCGGGCACAGCCAAGACGGTCACAATCCAAAACTACTTGAAGGAGCTCGACCCTCAAACGATGAATTCGCTAGCCATCAACTTTTCCAGCCGCACAAGCTCCACGGACGTGCTGACCAACATCCAGGCCAACGTTGACAAGCGCACCGGGAAAATCTACGGCCCACCGGCGGGCAAGAAGCTCGCGATTTTTATCGATGACATGAACATGCCCAAGGTGGACTTGTACGGAACGCAGCAGCCGATTGCGCTCTTGCATTTCGTCGTGAGCAAAGGGTGCATGTATGATCGCGGGAAGGAACTCGACTTGCGCATTCTCAAGGACTTGCAGTACATCGGTGCGATGGGTCCCCCTGGTGGTGGTCGCAATCAAGTAGACCCGCGCTTTGTTGCACTCTTCAACGTGTACAACTTGACGCCGCCGACAAAAGATGTCCTTCGTAACATCTACGGCTCCATCTTGACGACGTACTTGCGCAACTTTGCCCCGTCCGTGAAAGAGGCTGGCACGAAGCTGACAGATATGCTCCTGCGCCTCTTTGACGTGATTGTCGACAAGTTACCACCAACCCCATCCAAGTTTCACTACATTTTCAACTTGCGCGACCTCGGTCGAGTGTGTGAAGGTGTGTGCATGGCCACGACGGACAAGTACGACACATCTGCTAAGCTTGTGCGGCTTTGGCGGAACGAGGTCCTGCGCATCTTTAGCGATCGATTGACCGGGGCAGCTGACATTGCGACCGTTGACAACGCTCTGAGCACCCTCGTGAAAGAAAACTTCGCGGCAGATGCAGACTCTGTCCTTGTAAATCCGTCGATATACGGCGATTACGCCGATTGCCGGAATCGCTTGACAGGCGCGGGCGAAGACTTGCGTCTGTACCAAGACATGGACTCGTACAAGCGCATTCGGTCGATTTTTGACGAAGTCCTGGAAACGTACAACCTCGACAACAAGCCGATGACGTTGGTGTTGTTTGAAATGGCGCTGGAACACCTTAGCCGAATTCTACGCATCATTCGAAACCCGCTGGGCCACGCGTTGTTAATTGGCGTTGGTGGTAGTGGTAAGCAAAGCCTCTCTCGTTTGGCGACGTTCACAGCAGGGTACGAGCTGTTTGAGATCTTTCTGACTCGTGGGTACGGCGAGAACGAGTTTCGCGAGAATTTGAAGGACCTGTACCGCAAACTCGGCAAAAAACCTGTCGTGTTTCTCTTTACGGACGCGCATGCTGTCGAGGAAGGGTTCCTCGAATTCATCAACAACATGCTCACGACTGGTATCGTTCCAGCGTTGTTTGAACAGGACGAAAAGGACCAGTTGGGCGCGTCGATTCGCCAGGAAGTCAAAGCTGCCGGGCTCATTGAAACAAACGAAAACTGCTGGAAATTTTACGTCCAACGGTGTCGCCAAAATTTGCACGTGATCTTGGCCATGTCCCCCTCTGGCAACACGCTGCGAGTCCGATGCCGCAATTTTCCAGGACTGGTGTCGGCGTCCGTCATTGACTGGTTCTTCTCGTGGCCGGAAGATGCCCTTCGAAACGTGGCCAGTTACTTCCTCATCGACGAGAAAATCCCTGACGAGTGCCGACCCGAGGTCGTGAATCACTTGGTTCACGCGCACTTGCGCGTCGTGACCGTTGCCCATCGATTCGAACTGGAACTGCGTCGACACTACTACGTGACTCCCAAGAACTACCTCGACTTTATCTCCAACTACCGCCAACAACTCAAAGAAAACAACCAAAAAGTGAACGCAAGCATTGCCCGTCTCAAGGGAGGGTTGACCAAGCTGGTGGAAGCGAGTTTGGCCGTTGATCGCATGCAGATCGAATTGAGCGAAAAGAAAATTATTGTCGATGAAAAGACTGTGTCGTGCGAGGCGCTGATCAAGAACATTGAAGAAAAATCTGCGATTGCAACAAAGCAGCAGGAAGTCGCTGCACAAACGCAAATCGAATGCGAGAAGGCGACGGTGATCATCAACAAGGAAAAGGAAGAGGCCGATGCAGCGCTACTCGAAGCTCTCCCGGCCGTCGAAGCTGCTGCACAAGCATTGCAAGACTTATCCAAGTCCGACTTGACCGAAATCAAATCGTTCGCTTCGCCACCAGCACTCGTCATGTCCGTATGCATGTGCGTGTTGATTCTGCGGCCGACGGGACAAGACTTGGACATGGATTGGAAAGGGGCCAAGGTCATGCTGTCCAACCCCAACTTGCTCACGTTGATGAAAGAGTACGAAAAGGACAAAATCACGCCCAAGATGGTGTCCAAGATCAAAACGTTTTTCAAGAACCCAGACTTGAACATCGACAACATGAAGTCCATCTCGAAAGCCGGCACGGGGCTCTTGGTGTGGGTCGTTGCCATTGTCAAGTACTACGATGTTGCGCGCAATGTCGAGCCGCTCAAGCTCAAGGTGAAAACGATGGAGAAGGAGCAGGCGGTGAAGGAACAGGAGCTGATGGAACTCAAGGAAACACTCGAACGCCTTACCAAGGACTTGGGCGAGCTCAGCACGGCCTTTGAAGCCGCAAACACGGAACTGCAAGCGCTCAAAGCCCAAGCCGACCAAATGCAGAAACGATTGAGCGCCGCAAGTAAACTCTTGGCTGGCCTCGCCAGCGAAAAGACTCGCTGGACAAAGGACATTGAGAGTCTCAACGAACAATGCGGACGGTTGATCGGCGACTGTCTCCTCACGGCGTCGTTCCTGAGTTACACGGGCGCGTTCAGCTTTGACTACCGCTACGAATTGATCTACAAAGACTTTTTCACGGACATCACGACGCGAAAATTGCCATTAACGGACCCGTTTAAGCTCGAGAGCTCCCTCACAAACGACGCCACGATTCAAAAGTGGGTCGCTGAAGGGCTACCGGCCGATGAACATTCGGTCCAGAACGGCATTTTGACAACCAAGTCGTCACGATTCCCGCTGTGCATCGATCCCCAGCAGCAGGCAGTGAGTTGGATCAAGCGACGGGAAGAAAAGAACAACTTGACAGTGAAAACACTCAACGATGGCGACTTTATGAAGCACTTGGAGCTCGCGATTCAGTTCGGAAACCCCTTTTTATTTGAAAGCGTCGACGAAGAACTGGACCCAATCTTGGACCCGGTTTTGGAAAAGAGCACGTTCATGGAAGGCACGCAGCGGTTGATCAAACTCGGCGACAAGAACGTCGAGTGGGACGCCAACTTTCGGCTCTACTTCACGTCGAAGCTGGCAAACCCGCACTACTCCCCTGAAGTGATGGGGAAGACCATGATCATCAACTACAGCGTCACGCAAGGGGGGCTGGCAAACCAGTTGCTCAACGTCGTCGTGGCGCACGAACGCCCAGATCTGGAAGAGCAGTACCGTGACTTGGTACGGGACATGAGCGAAAACACCCAAATGATTGTCGAGTTGGAGGACATGCTGTTGCATGAACTCTCGACCTCGTCCGGCAACATTCTCGACAACGAAGAGTTGATTGCGACTCTGGACGAAACCAAGAACAAGGCGACTGAAATCGGGTCCAAGCTCGAACAATCCAAATTTACAAAGGATGAAATCACGAAAGCCCGGGCTGTGTACACCCCCGTCGCGCTCCGTGGGTCGATCATGTACTTTGCCATGTCGTCGCTGAGCACGATCATGAAGATGTACGAGATTTCCCTCACGAGTTTCTTGACTGTGTTCAACTCAGCCTTGGATAATGCCAAGCGCGACGTTGTGCTGGAGAAGCGCCTTCGCTTCATGATTCAAAGCATCACAGAAATGATGTACGACTATACGTGCACGGGTATATTCGAGCGCCACAAACTCATGCTGTCATTCCAAATGACGTGCATGATCATGGCGAGTGCGGGAGACCTGAACCGCACAGAGCTTGACTTCTTCCTCAAGGGCGATACTTCTCTGGAAGGCGCTTCCATGGCCAAGCCCGACGACTGTAATTGGATTTCAGCAGCCGGGTGGAAAGACTTGATCTGCTTGAGCAAGATGCCAGGCCCACTGGAGAACTTTGTCAAGGAAGTCACAGCCAAACAACACGACTGGCAGCAGTGGTACGCGTTAGAAGCCCCGGAAACGAGTCCCTTCCCGTCCGAGTACAATACAAAGCTGACGCCGCTGCAACAACTTCTCCTCTATCGCTGTTTTCGACAAGATCGGGTGTACAACGCGATGAAATTGTTTGTGATTAGTGTCATGGGCGAAAAGTACGTCCAACCGCCGGTCCTGGACTACTCGCGCATTTACGCTCAGAGCGCGCCAACGTCCCCCATCGTGTGCATCTTGAGTCCGGGGGCTGATCCGCAAAGCGACATTCAAACTCTTGGTGAAGCCACGGGGTTTTCCGGCCATCGCTTCAAATTCTTGGCTCTGGGACAAGGCCAAGGCCCCCTGGCTGAGCAAATGCTGGAGGCTGGCTATACCCGTGGCCACTGGGTGCTGCTCCAGAACTGCCACTTGCTCGCGAGTTGGTTGCGTACGCTAGAGAAAACTCTGTTGGCGATGCACAAGCCTCACAAGGACTTTCGGCTGTGGCTGACGACCGAGCCCACCGATCGCTTCCCACTCGGTATTTTACAACGTTCGCTCAAAGTTGTGACGGAGCCACCCGATGGTCTCAAGCAAAACATGCGGAGTTTGTACAGCAAATTGGATCAATCGATGCTGGACGAGTGTCCGCATCCGTCGTTCAAGCAAGTCGTGTTTGTCCTCTGCTTTTTACACGCCGTCGTGCTGGAACGCCGCAAGTACGGCAAGATTGGGTGGAACGTTAGCTACGACTTCAATGAGTCCGACTTTAACATTAGCCGCAAGCTGCTGTCGCTCTACTTGCACAAGGCGTTCGTGGACGGCGACGAAGTTTTGCCGTGGGGATCCCTCAAGTACTTGATCGGCGATGCCATGTACGGTGGTCGAGTGTCGGACGACTACGATCGCCGCGTGCTTACAACGTACTTGTCCGAATACATGGGGGATTTCCTCTTCGATACGTGCCAACCGTTCTTCTTCAGCCGCTCCGGCTACGACTACCGCCTTCCATCGGACGGCCCCCTGGAAACGTATACTCAAATGGTGGAGACCCTGCCATTGACCAACTCGCCTGCCGTGTTTGGTCTGCACCCGAACGCAGAAATCGGGTACTACACCAACATGACCAAGAGCGTGTGGCGAGACTTGATTTCACTGCAGCCGCGCAGTGCCGGTAGTGGCGGCGGTATTTCTCGTGAAGATTACATCACGAATATCGCGACGGACATCGAAACAAAGGTGCCCGACCCGATCGACGTCCCGCTCATTCGCAAGCGATTTGGGGTACCAACGCCAACTCAGGTCGTGCTCCTTCAAGAGCTCGATCGGTGGAACGTACTCACCGCGAGAATGGCAATGTCTCTTGGAGACCTCCAAAAGGCACTGATCGGTGAAATCGGCATGAGCGACGAACTCGATGCTGTCGGGTCCGCCCTCTTTGACGGGTTCCTCCCTAACATGTGGCGCGGTTTGTGTCCCAAGACCGAAAAACCCCTCGGGAGCTGGATGGTGCATTTTATATCGCGCTACAACCAGTACATGGAGTGGATCGACAAGGGGGATCCAACTGTGATGTGGTTGTCTGGTTTGGGCATTCCCGAGTCATATTTGACGGCGCTTGTCCAAACAACGTGTCGACTCAAGAATTGGCCGCTCGACAAATCGACGCTGTACACGACGGTGACGCAGTACCGACAGCCGAGCGAGGTCAAAACCAAACTCGAAAGCGGGTGTTACGTCAATGGGCTGCACCTTGAAGGTGCGTCGTGGGACATTGAAAAGAGCTGTTTGTGCCAGCAACAGCCCAAGCAACTCGTCGAAGAGCTTCCGATTCTCCAAGTCATTCCAATTGAAGCGAATCGGCTCAAGCTCCAAAACACATTCCGGACCCCCGTATACGTCACACAGTCACGACGAAATGCCATGGGAGTCGGTCTTGTCTTTGAAGCAGACTTGTTCTCGACGGAACACATGAGCCATTGGGTGCTGCAAGGCGTCGCTCTTTGCCTCAACACCGATTCCTAGGACTTGTTGTAAAAGACCTTGCAATGGTTTCTCGTAAGGTTGTAAGCGCTCAAGTCTGTAGTACGTCTGCATAGCACGAAAGCGAATGCAATGGGCTTGTGCGCAGCCGACTTGAGATATCCTGGCTCGCACGAGTTTCATCGTCACGCTCTGCATGACCATGTGCATAAAGCCATCGAGGACTTGGATGTACTGGGCTTACAATTGCGCTCGTTTGAGACCGACCTCACGACGTTTGGCTTGCTTGGCCTCGAGCTCGTCTGCACCACATTCTCTCAGTGACACGGCTAATCTCCGTAGACAACCCATACCTTCTTTAGCACGTGTAGCTATCTCCGGCTTGGTCAAAAAGAACAAATTACCCCGCTGAAGGTACGCTTGCTAGCGCACCGTCAGTCAGGTCGACTCCAAATCGATGGGCAATGTTGGAACGACCACGTACTCTACGAGGCTTCATGGAGTCGAGTTCCGCCAGCGCCACCTTGATGCTCTGGATCTATACACACGTCAGAATAGCATTTCTTGTCAACATGCACATCCAGAGCAGCTCACGTCTGCATCCAACGCCTTCGCATCCAGCGCCAATTTCCCTGCGAACGCTCCGTCCATGTCGAGACTCTGCCTGAGAAGTTTTCATTGGATTGAAGTCAACCAATCGGGCATTCGAATTTTATCCGGACAATTGGCCAAATCTTTCTCGAGGCAAACGGCGGGATGCTGCTTCGCGACGACAAGGTCAAGATCACGCTGACACTCAACCCAAGCATCGCGTCATCGTTGCTGGTGTTCATATGCACGGCGTTGACGGCTATGCTGGTCTGCTTGGCGTGTCGATGTCTGCGGAAGGCGAAGACGCCTTCAATTGTAGACTACACGCGTGGAGCGGTTCGCCATCAGCGCACCATGGCACCGGCCGACCAACATGAGTATACACATCCGTTCTTGGGGCCTCCAGATTACGAGCAGCCGTATGACGAGCAAGGGCCACCAGCCTACCACGAATTGCCTTCAGCACCGCCGCTCGAATAACCCTTCATGGAACGTTGTCACGACTTTTGGATAACCCTCGCGTCATGACACGATAGCACTTGATTGTATCGTCGACGCACTGACAGTCCCCTCTTTGCAACTCTGTACATGTGGACTCTACCATTGCTAAAGGGATACCATGTCAAAAATGTCCCCGTTCGTGCACCGCACGCCCTGGAAACACGTGCAACTTGAGCACCTCATCAAATTCTGCCGCTGGGCCATATATGTGGAACCTGCGACTAATTAGCATGACAATTCCCAATGCGCCATACACAGTAACAAGACACCGAACGCAGCAGGTCGCAGTGCTAGGACGGCCTGCTCTGCCATTATCGAAGGAATATTATTTGAGATTGCAGATTTGTGATTTTCAGTGTATTTTTTTCCAAAATGTCGTGAATATATTTGAAAGCCGTGTTCAATGTGAATGAAATTCGTGAAAATATTTGAAGAGCCATGTTGAACGTAAATGAAGGTACTTTATAGAATTCGCTGGAGGTTGAGCAGTTGTTTTAAATGAATCGTTTATAAATCAATTGGCGCAAGTTTAGTGCACCAACGACCACCGACGCGGCAGAGGAACCACCAGCGATGGCCCCGCAGACCGTACCCATGGCCGCGGTGCCCGTTGCTGCGACGATGGAACCTCTTGAGGTCGATGTGTCTACTGCTGCTGCTTCTTCATCATTGCAATCGGTTTTGGTTCGATCCCATCGGTTTGCAGTGTACGAATACGAATGCCTTGTCCAATGCTTCCGCATCCCATCCGCGCCGTCGACCAGTGCGTTCCTCATGGTGACGTACTCGCTTGGGTTGGTCGTATGTTTTGGCGCGTATGCATACGTCCTAGAGCGTCTCACGATCGACGGCAACGGACCGAACGAATTCATCATCATGCTCGTGTGTTGTGTCGTGTACGCGCTCCTGTCGTACATTGGCAAGGTCCTCGCGCGGGAGCAGCACGTGGACACCGCGCCATGGTATGTATTCGTCCTCTTGTCTTTCACCACGTTCAGCTCGACCTTTCTCTCGACGTACTCGCTGCGCTATGTGTCGTACATCTTGCGCGTCCTCGGCAAGACTTGCAAACCAATTCCGATCATGGCGATTGGCCTGGCACTCGGTAAACGATACCCCGTTCGAAAATACGCAAGCGTCGCCATGGTCACGATCGGCGCCATGCTGTTCTTCATCTACCAGTCGAAGTCGGCTTCCCGCCATCACAATATTCAGAGCGCCGCACCGACGGTCGCCGTGGTGGACGGCGACGCATCCGACGCCGCGATCGCAACCATGAATGCTGAAATTGGCGCGTTGCTACTGCTCGTGTCGCTCTTTTTCGACGGCGCGACGGGGGCGTTGGAGGAAAAGTTCATGACGCAGTATCAAATGGGGCCGTTTACAATGATGCACCGAATCAACGTCGTCTCAACTTTGCTCTCCGCCGTCCTCATCGTCGCGACCTCCCAAGAGATGGCCCTCGTCCACGTTCTCGACAACTTTGCTGTCAGCCGGGACCTCCTCTTCTTGGGAGTGTCTGGCGGAGCCGGCCAAATGTTCATCTTCCTCATGATCTCGCGCTTCGGTGCGCTCATGACAAGCGTTGCTGGCACCGCGCGCAAGATCTTGACGTTGTGTGTGTCAATTCTGGCATTTGGTCACGTCCTCACGGGGATGCAGTACGTCGGGCTGGCTGTCGCCGTTGCCGGCATGTGCGTGAACCTGCTACGGGGATCAAAGCCACAACAGCCCCACACTCTGAACACAGAGGAGACAAAAGGATTTCTCGAAGAAACAGACGACAGCGGCGATGAACAGCACAATATCGACGACGCCCAGCCGCCGTCGTCGTCCAAAGTAGTGTTTCCAGACGTCCGCGACAGTCTCGCGCCGAAGGATGAGCCGTACGGCATGGCCATCGATATTGCCTTTCGGGCAACCACTTCTGTCTAACTTAATCCGATTGTTTATCAACACGGCGAGGTCTCTCAGCCATGGGTGACTGCAACGTAGTCACCCAACTCGACTCGTTGGCATGGCACAACGGAGGGCTGTGATGGAGGCACGAATCGCTTGGAGAGAGCGCCATGGATGTCTTCCTTTGGCGAATCGACACTGTCAATGTCCCGAGATGCAGATCGCCAGCCGATGGGCTTACCCGCACGCACGCATGAAGCACGTCTGTCCTCGATTCTCTAGACTTGATCTGTCGTCAGCACGCTTTTTTCGGGGAATAAAAGCACTGCGACGCAGATTCGTTTCAACCACGTCGACTCGTCGGAGGAATCCACGTTCCTGGCCTTGCGCCAACTGCACTGGGGACAAATGCGCACGAGGTAGCCCTCCACGCGGCGACAGCTCATGACGTGCGCTGCAGCCCTCAATCGAAAAGTGATGTGCCTTAGATTTGCTATTATATCGACAAGACGCCCAAAAGCATTTCGATGTCTGTATATTCTGACAAGAGGACAGGTGACTGCTACATCAAGCGCGGTCAGTCGGCGGTGCCGTACGTGGTCGGGATGAAATGCAGGATGCCATCGGTCGTGCGCCTGGGGCCTCGCCACGACTTGTGCACCATCAAAAAGACAAACAGGCTTCCAAAAACAAACGCGCCGACCGTTGCCATCACTTCTAGCGCATAATGCTCGGCATACAGCTTCACGTCGCTGACATTGTCTTGCTTCAGTTGACTGTTGCGCACGGCGATGCCCACAAGAGTCCACAGCGCGACGGCGGCAAACGGCACGTCGCCGACGCCGATCAAAATGATCGTGTTTGCTAAGACCCACATGCCGCACCAAAAGACGTAGATCGGCATGTAGTGGATTCCAAACTCCTCGAGCAACATGTTGAGCGCGATCGTGGCGGCGGCGCATGTCCATGCCCAGTAGATCGTGAACGGCACACGAATGCACCAATAGTCTCCGCGGGACTTGGACTCGTACAGATAGTTCGCATTGAAACTGGACAAGATGGACGTAACGAGGATCGGCTGAATGTGGCTCTCAACGTACAAGTACGCGCCAAACAAGACGATCCACGAGACGAGGATGGGGACGAACGATAGCCGCGTGTACCCCGTAACAAACAGCTCCATCCACAACGTCGAGCACACACTGCTCACGATGAATAGCCCATGCAGCACCGAGATCGACGACTCGAGTTCCACACTCGGGTAGAACCATTCGCGCCCCACAAACACAATCAGCCCCACGTAGATGACGCCCCAGATCGAGAAGCTCAAATCCATGGGGGTCAACAGGTTCGGCGTACGGTGGGACGCCTCTCGAATGTCTCCTGCGATGGCATGAACCGCGCTGCGCCACAGGAACACCGCCAGCGCCACGATTGCGCACGCTCGCAACACTCTCGTAGTCGACATTGCGAAAATGCCAACCGTCGTGCTGCATAAAACGTGGCAGTAATACTAATAGTAAGGCCGTTGTCTCCATCATCTCTAGTAGATACTATCCCATGCCCATAGGCTGGTTCAGAACATCTCGAGCAACGAGCGAGCTGAGGTCATGGCGTCGCGCCATCCACGAACGGAGAGAGCACACAGAGGAGGTGAAGACTTGGACGCTTCGAATGCATGCCTGGACCCGTCCGTTACTACCTCTAGTAGGTCTTCCAATGGTACGGTAACTTGCAAAGATATGCAACGCGATCGTCGTTCGTGCAGGCGGTGTATACGAATTTCGAGAGAACGGACCGGCCGCAGTGGGATTCGGAAATTATCTTGAAATTTGCATGGTCGAATATGTTGAGTTCGGCGGGAGATGAAAGGCCATGGAAACGGCGTTCTTATTGGTCCAAATCTCACGATATCGACGGCACTACTACTACTACTACTACTACTACTTTCAGCACGAACATGTCGGGTGCTACTAGACACTGGTATCGACCAGCGCTACCAACAACACCAGATCGCCAGCAGCGCCCACAGGGACGGACGTCGTGAGACCGCGAGGCGGTGTCTGCCGCGATACAATCTGTCCAATATGTGGACGCGCCGTTTCTTGGGTGTATTCGTGTCAGGGCCGTTTCGTTCACACACATATCCGTCCCCATGCCAGTTACAGAACCGTTTCACGAGGTGAAACGCCGGTCGCTTTGGCCGATCAGATGTCAGGGCGAGAACGCCAACGAGCTGCAGCGAAGTCGACAGCAGTGCTCTCTGCGCTACGTGGGGAATGTGCAACTGGGGAACCAACAACTGCACTGTGAGGAAACTGCGACGTCAGGTATTGCCACGTTGCTCGCACATCCGCTCGTTCGACTCGATGCCCCAACCGTTCGTGATGCGAACAATGGCAGCACCTTCATCACAATGTGCGTTGGTTTGTCGTGTGAATTCGGTCGTGTCCTCCTGAAGTGTCGCCTTGGTCCTCTGCTCCTCAACCCATCGACTTGACGTGGAGAATGCACGCCGAGGCTGATGGAGTTTTACATATTGTGTGCGTTCGGGACTTCATGCAACGTCGTCCGTCGTTCCCACACACGCAGCGTTACAGGGAGACCGAATCTCTCGTGCTTCACGGACCATGCAGTTGCTATATTGAATGAGGATAATCTACTTGAGATTGGCGTATTTCGAGTGGGATTTCTTGCCCTTCTTGGTTTTCTTCGCGTCAGGTTGGGCAGCAGCGCCACCGTCGTCGCCTGTTCGCTTTTTGATCTTTTTTACTTGCACCGACTTGAGGTCAGCGACGTCCTTTTCTTCGAGGGCGGCGGCCCAGTCGTCGTCGTTGCCACGAACGGCGTACTTTTGCAAGTTGAGCGACTCGAGGAGTTCCTTTTGCTTGAGCGAGTTGATCGCTTGCACCTTGCCGTCGGCCAAGTCTTCTTCCAATGTTTCGGCCGTCGGCGCCATCGACTTGACTTGCTTCGGGACCGCCATCGTGGACGCAATGTCCGCTTCCAAGATGGACTGGAACGCCGTGCTAAACTTGCGCACGGCCTTGTTGAACAGCGCAAGCACTTGGTTCGACGGCACGTTGAGTTCCGTCGTCAGCACGTCCACGTTTTGGTGCTGCAACCCGATGCTCATCAAGATCGCTCGTTGCAAGTACGACAGCGTGGTTTCCGGCAGCCGATTCAAAAAGTACAAGCGCGCGACAAGCGGGACCAAGTCGACAATCATGTGGTAGTCCACCATGTTCTTGGCATACGACTGCAGCCGCTTGATGTCGAAGGGGGTGAGCGTGATTTGGAGCTCAGATGCCGGGATCAACCCGGTCGCGGCGCGTTGAAGGTCGCCATCGCCAGTCGCGCCACCCTCCGTGAGCAAACTGAGCGCCAACGTCACGGGTAGCGATCGAAACTCATAAGCCAACAGGGACACGAACCGGCGCTTGGCATCCGCGACGAACTCGTGCAGCCAACCATTCGCAGGCGACGCGGGGAGGTCGCTGCAGTTGAGCGCGTGGAGCATGATTGTAGTGTGCTCGCCCGTGAGCGCATTCGCAGTTTGGCGAATGTACACCGACTTGAACCCGGCACGGTTCCAGAACGTGTACAACGGGAGCGTCAGCCCAAACGACGTGCCAAACCAGTGAAGGCGCTCCGCCGGGCGGTCCGTGAGCGGCAAGAGTAGGGGTGGCAGCTTCTTGCGGGGTTTGACCTTTTCACTGCGCAGTTGGTTTTCGTCGTCCGAGTAGTCGTCATCGTCCTTGTCGTCCTTCTTGTTGTCGTCGTTGGCGCTGTCCGTTGCCATGTCGCCTTGGTAATATTTGGTCAAGAGCGAAATCGCACGCGAACCATACCCCATGCCTGGTCCACCGCAGCAACTTGCTCAGCAACGACGTTGTTCCTGGAGGTTGGTCACGTACCAGTGGCATCGGGATGGGTCGCAATGCGAACGACACGCGCACCAGACAACGTTGCGAATTCGTTGTCTTGGAATTGCTGAGCAACGGTCCACGGAATCAAGTCCCCGCTCGCGCGTTGGCCACGAGAGAGCTGGGCTTGGACAGATTCTTTCGAAATTTCGCCTTCGAGAGCCACTTGAACGACGCATAGCACATCTGGCAGCTGGCCCTACAAACCACCACCACGAGCTTCAGGGATCGGTTTATCCCAAACGAAAGCACGGCACTTACGGCGTTGCCTTGGCCTTCGGCTTGCGGTCCAAGGAGCACAAAAATGTGATGGGCTGGGGCGTCGCTGAGCAATTGAAGGTCGTTCGGTTGGTTCTTGTAATGCGATGCGACATACAGCGCCATCAGGCGTTGCAAAAAACTCTCAGACAACTTGTGGTAAGAAAAGAGCGAGTCGCGGTCGACGTAGTACAGCTCGCAGTCGCGGGGGTGGGGAGTGCCGCCGACAATGCGAGGGGTCGAGCACGTCAAGCACAGCAAGTCGTTGAGCCACTTTTCAACGGAATCGTCCGAGGCATAACGGATCGGGATGTCCAAGTTGATTTCGCGGAGGACACGGCCACCTCCACCGCCCTGTCCACCGAGCTGAGCATGCGCAGCCGAGCTCGCCGCCTGCCAACGCTCTTCGTGGAGCTTGCGCTCGCCCTTTCGAGTCTTGTTGTCACCGTGGATGGCAGAGGCCGCTTGCCGCGCGGCTGCCGCGGCAGATCCCTGCTGTTCGCGCAACTTTTGGATCAACTTGAGCGACAGTGATCGACCCGTTCCTTCATACCCGTTGATCGTCGAAGACATGAAGACCAAGTACGGTCCCAAGAGCTGTTTCACCACCGGTAGAGGGATTGCAGCAGCCTCATCAATTGCCAGAAGTTCGGCCTGGGCTAGCTTTTCATGGTGCGTCGGCTGGATGTACTGGATTGTCTGACGATGCTCGCGGAAGATGTTGACTCGCACGACAGCGTGGTTGAACTCGGGGTTGGTACTTTGAATAATTTCGTAGTCCAAGTGCTCCTTGTATTTGAGGGCGTCCAGCCCCTTGAACACAAAGTCAAACACCGTGCCCAAGTTTTCCGGTGACGGCGCGGTGACGAAAATGTTGCTGTAGCCGTACGCAACCGCCGCGGCCAACGCCATGCCGAGGGCGGCTGACTTGCCGCGCCCGCGCCCAGCCGTCAGTGCGACGGTCGACCGCAGTGTCTTCTCTGCAATTGCTTCCACAAACGTGAGAACTGCCTTCGCCTGGTCCATCGTGCGCGACTCGGCCACGAGCGCACCCACTGGCTGCGTGTCCTTGAGGGATTCCTTCAAGTCGAGGAGCTCTTGCTGCGCTGGGGTAACATCGTTCTCGACGGGTGGCAACGCTTCGATGTTGCGGGCGTGCTTGGAGATAGGCAGCACGTTTAGTTCGTCGTCCAGGACGAGGCACTTGTCGCACGAGCTCAAGGAAAGGATAAAGCGCTCATTGAAGCGCGCGACAACGTCCTGATGCGCTTCCGTTCGGAACCGCGCATGGACATCCATCGTCATCGTATATAGCTTCTTGAGCGACGTCATCGTGCGCAGGAGCAGAACGACAACCCCCCCGCCTTCAACGGTTTCAATCGTGCGCGCCAAAATATTGGGTGTGACGGCTTCAAAGTCTTGCAACACACACATGCCGAACGTTTGCCCGAGGATTTTTTGGGTTTCCTTGTAGTAGCACCACCGAATGTCCGTGGACGAGATGAAGAGCTCGAACGGGTCGTCCTGGTTGGCGTCGTACAGCCCGCGGGACATTTGCTTTTTGATTTGCTTCATGCGTTTTTGCTTGTGCGTGGAGAACCCGAGTTCCTTCTTGTAACACCACAGGACTTTCGGCCGCGCCTTCACGACCGTCTTGCTCAGGATGTAGTGGAGGTTCACGACCTGGTCTTTCCCATGATCGCCAACAAGCACAAAGAATGACCGGTGGTTCGTCTTGACGCAGTTTTCGATCAGCGTGCGCACGCGCGCGTCTACCTTCTTCTTGACCATGTTGCGCCTTGAAGAAAGATGCTGGAACGACCAATGAAGACCGCGGACCAATCAAACGCCATGGTCCACCCACACGCCCACCGTCCAGTGACCCAGTATAAAACTCAAAGTTCTTTTCGATTGCATTCCAGTGACCCAGAATATGTGAATCTCGATCGCGTTATCCGGACTACTTGACCGCGACCTTACAAGATACAACGTCGTTCCACCAGGGATGATCAACCGCGACGGAGCATCATTTGCCTCGGCAAGTGCCTATCATGGACCCGTCGATGGCACCCGAAAGCGCCAGTGTTCAACACTGAACATCGTGGCTGTGCTAAATACGCCAGAGGAACCTTGCACGCGTGTCAGTTGCAGCGATCGACATCTGGGCAGTGCCAGTCTCCTCCTTGCCATGCTAGTCGTAGGAGTCGTTCACTGGATCGAAGGTCGTTGGTACATCGTTCATATGTGCTTTTGTCTCGGCACGACGCTTTGTTGCCTTGGGAATATCTTGCAAGACTCGAGCAAAGCGCCGACGCGCTACGGCCCGCACCACCAACGTTTTAAATGCCGTCATCCACGTCGACTTCGGTTGCGATACAAACTTCGTTAGCTGAGCCAGACGAACTTTCCGTGCATGATCGGGAAGACAAGGGATCACGCGTTGCTGGAAACATAGTCGTTGGGCTGCAATCGTTAGCTTGAGCTTGCGCCGACGACCCATCCAACGTTGAAAGGCAGATCGGATGGTGGTGCTCCAAGGAGCGGCGGACAGAATCGGCGTCATCTTGGCCATTCGCAGGCACTGCACAAACGCAGGAACGCGACGGATGACGAGCTCGGAGTAATTGCGCCGGCGCACGCGATGCTTCAAAAAGACTAACACGGACTGAAAGGCTGGGCGATGCGACGCCAGCACTGCCACCGTGCGAACCTTCAGTTCGTACCAGGCGACTTGGACGTCCCATTCAAATATTGTGCCACAATAGCAAGTGATCGTACTGCACCCGTCCCCTTTGACAAGCACGAGATGGCACTGAGGGCACTGCGCCATCTCTTCCATGTCGGGCGGGTTTGCATTGCAAAACGAGTCTTCGTGGTGGCCTTGCTGTTTGCAATCAAAGCACACGTCAGCGCTGCAGCACAGAGTCGTTTGGTACGGATTCCACTTGGACATTGCGAGAAAGAGCGACACACGGCGCTCCGGGTCAAACACAAACCTCATCAGCTTCTGCGCGAAGTCGACCGAGCTGGTGATGCCAGGGATGCGCTGAAGCAACTCGAGGAATGGTGTGGCGGGCAAGTCGTGATTGCAGTATCGATAGCACGCGGAAACAAGGGTGTCTACGTGCTCAGCATGGCATTCGAGGAGCTCGTCCGGCCAATCATTCCATTGATTCTTGTCGTCGATGGCTGCATCTGCGGTTGGGGTGGACGGGAGCAAGTTGGATGGATCGTGGCATTCAGGACACAGCAGCTCACAAGAGCCTTCCACGCGATAGCGAAACGAAAGGACTTGTCGAGCGACCGCCGCGCTCTCACCCGTGTGCTGGATTGCCTTGATTACACGCAGCAAGTTGAGCGGTCGGATGCAGAGTGGGCATTTCATCCGGGACAAGATGCCGCGGGGGGCAGATCCAGCGCACGACTTTAAATACGACGACATGCAGTGCATGCACATAGCCCCGTTGCACGATTCGTGGCATATTTGGACCATCGCGTCCTCCGACGGCACGGAGTCGAAACAGACCTGGCACTCCACCAGCGTCTCGATCGTTTCCGCGCCATCCATTGCGCCTGTTCCTGGCGACGCCTGTGCACAGTTGGGCTCACTCATAGGTTCAAGAAATGGCTCCTCTGGCACCGCCGTCGTAGCGCTTGCCATCGTTGCCGAAGCGACTGAAATGAATTGTGGAGGGCACGGCAGCAGCGTCGAGCTCCCCAAGTGTTGTGGCTACCTCAACTTGTATTCACTTCAACTTGATCCTGTCCTCGGTAAACCTGGTTTTAAGGATCAGGTGTGATCCTTGGGAGGCTTTCATACTAAGTTAAGAGAAAGCGTGGAGAGAGGACAAGTAGAAAGATGTCACAAAAGTCAGGTTTTATTCGAGGCAACACTCTCGGCACCATCATTCATTCACTTCGATCCACTTTTCACAAAGCGCGACAGCCACAAGGACCTGCCGACCGCAAGCGACAGCGAGGCGCACGATGCATGGGCTCGTGTGGACAACCAGAAGTTTCTCTTGGGAGATGGTGCATTCATGGCCACCCATTCAAGTCGCAAAACGTCCCAGCGTTGACGTCATGTTCGGCGTCGTCTTTGACGTGACCACGAATCGTCCATACAAGCCGACGTCACAACGCTCGAATGTACATGCAATGGATGCAAGTTCTGTCCTTGATGGAGCCTCCATGTTAGTAGAGATCGTTTACCAACGGGATCTCATGCAGCTCCCCAACGCGAGTGGTTGGGGCGCATTGCATGCATCCGATGCGAGAGTGCGTGCATCAATCGGTGGAGACTCGAGTACAAGTAGAGGTTGTGACACAAAGCTCGGTGCATTATGTCTACTTAAAAAGCATGCATACTTGTTTCGTGCCGCCGTGGATGCGCGTTAGTCGATCTTGATGGATGCGTAAATCTTGCGGATGAACCAAAAGCACGCAAAGTACCCGATCGTGCCCGTGAGGAAGAAAAACGTGAGCGAGATCATGCCCATGTACCCAAAGTACACGAACGCCGACACCACTTCCGTGATGTTGAGCTTCGAGAAGAAGTACAGGAACGAGTATAGGTACAGGTAGAGCGCGGCCGACCCGGACGTGAGGAACGAGCGCCACCACCAGTGGTAGTCTTCCGCACACAGTTGAAAATAGCACATCACGATCGTCACTTCCGCGCACGTCGCGACGAGAATCACGAGCACGAGGAAGAGAAACCCAAACACGTAGTAGATCTGGTGCAGCCACAGCGCCGACATGATAAAGAAGAGCTCGATGAAGACTGCCCCAAACGGCAGGATGCCGCCGATGCACACGGCAAATGGAGTCGACAAATACCACACTTGGTCTGGGATTTGGCGCGCGATTTGGTTGGTTTTCACGGGCTGTTCGATCGCTGGCTGCTTGAACCTACACAAAACACTGAGCATGGCGAGACGACGGCGGGACATCGTACCCAAAGTACGACCCGAGGCACACCAACGGCATCGAAATGCCAAACCAGAGCACGAGCAGCGCAAACAACGTGCCGAACGGGACCGCTTGCGACGACGCCTTGGCCCAAAACGCCAAGTTCAAAAAGAAAAACACGACAAAGAGCGCGCCGGGGTACAACACGGCCGTCAGCAACATCGTGCGCTTCCAGTCCTTGCCATGAAACATCTTGTACGTGCGGGAGCTGTGGTACCCTACGGCAAACAGAATTGGCGACCGAGGCATGCACACTCCGCAGCAAAGGACACCCTCTTAACATGCATGCAGCTGCGCCGCCTCGGCAGACAGTTGCCGACGCGACACAGTTGAGTTGGTTAACGTTGGCACAATCCAGATGACAGTCCAGAAATGGCCACGAGCGAAGTGGCATCCTCGCATCGGTGCACGACAGTACCTGCAAACGACCCCATAAAGACAAAGAGGAGGAGAAGGGTCGTGAGGAGCGAGCCGCGGTTGGCGGGGGACAGCAGGCCCAACAACGCGATGACCATGGTGGCCGACGACATGCACACAACCTGAACGCCAGTGCCGACGACAACCGAGAAGAGCATCGGCGAGTACGACGGCGGGCGGAATACGTCGGCATGGACCAACTTCCACCCGCTTTCTTCGGCGGCTTCTTCAGTCGTCTGAACTTCGTTGTATCGCGCAATGTCGCGGTGGAGCGTGCGAAGCATGATCATCGCGATCATCCCGGTGAGGAAGAGCACAATCATGAGCGAGTTGACGATCGAGAACCAGTGGATTTGGTCGTTGGACGCGCGCGACGACAAGATGCGATCCCACCGGTTTTCCCACGAAATGTCCGACTTGACAAACTGGACGTCGTACGTGTACAGCACCGTGTTGGTCTTGGTCGGGTCCAAGTACATGCGGCGCGATTCGCTGGCTTCATCGACTTGGACAAACTTGCCGCACGTCGCCTGGACCGGTTGTCAATGAAGGGCTGGAGGTATGGAAGACTTGCACACTTACCGATTCCAATTCGCTGCCGCTGGTGAGGGTTCCGCTGAACTCGTGCTCGATCGACGTCGGCACGACCTCAAACCCGACCACGCGCCACTTGGGCACACCAGGGTCCGCGTACGGATCGGGATGCGTCAAGACCACGATGCGCACGTGGTTGTACAGGTAGTACTTGCCATTTTCGTCAATGTCGCCAACGGGGAAACCGCGGTGATACGCTGCCGACAAAGGGGCGTTTGGATTGTTATCCTCGGCACCTTCGTTGCCGAATGACGGGTCTTGGTACAGCACAGGGAGGTTGTCTAGCACCCATTGCACGTAGTACTCGTTTTCGATCATTTCGACAAAGAGCGCCGACTTTTCTGGCGTGTACGTCATCGGCTTGCACAGCACTTGGCACCGCACTTCTTTGTTCATGTGCAGCGCATACATGGAGTCCATAATCGCGTCACCCGACATGATTTCGCCCAAGTTTTCTTGCTGTTCCTCGGGGGTCGACGGCGCGCAAAACGGAAGGTAGTAGTACTCGTACGGCACCAACGTTTTCGTGGACGTGATCTTGTTCACGTTTAGAGGAAGCTTCTCACCTTCCTCCCAGCTCTCTGGGGCCACCCCCGGCACATAGAACGCCGCGCGGGCCGTCTGGACCGCCGCGAAGACGAGGACGCTGACTGCCAAAGACAATCGCATGGGAATAATAGGAGCGACGCGTCCAATCCTCGGCGGTTTCCGGATAAATGATCCGGATAATGCTTCCATTCTTGGCAGCGGCAAGGCGCCAGGTGTGCGACAGCAGCATTATGCAGCGGTTGCCTTGGAATCTGCATATCTGTTAAGATCGCTTCGCTGAAAGTAGGAAGGAGGTCCAGGGGAATAGATGCCCATGGATATGTGCTGAATGTGACTCGCTTGAAGTGGACAGCCGAGGCTATGACGTGCGAGATGTCACCATGCGCGCAAGACAACAGAAAGTTGGAGGACCAAGCCAAACTAGAAGCATTCATGGCGCACTTTGAATGGCTCAGTGCATGCTTCCTATGGTAAGAGCGCTGGAACGTGGCAGGGTCCTGCCAACGAGATCGTACCCGTCGAGGTTGCATTCCCTAGCAGTCCCCGACGTGCTCTGATGCTGTGTGGCCACGCATACGCAATATAATGTCTCCATCTATGCTTCCCCTGCAGTTCACACTGAATGAGCATTGGTATATATCTCGACTTTCCCTCGACGACGAGTTGTCCGACTGAAGGGATGCCGCCGCAACCACGTCGTGCACGACTTGCCGCTTGCGATGGGAAGCCAAAGTCACGTCGCTGGTCGTCTCGATTGAGCGAGACCTCTAGCGATGCTGTTCTGCGGGCGACCGTCGACACTCGTGCAAAAACTACTGAAACACTCGGGGAATGCACGTTTTTCATAAATGTGTTGGATGTCCAAGGGCCAGCACAATGGCAGCAACATGCGAAATGGACATGTTGCTGCCGGGCGACACCGTCAACGAAGCAGCACATGCGCTGTCGGCACCAGAGCATGAGATGCGAGCATACGACGTCGAGGCATTGCCGATTGTCTGTCAAGATTGACGAAAGGCCGCCCCGCGCGCGATCATGCACATTGCCACGAAGTGGAATCATGTGTGGCCTGCGCTTGGTCAAGTACTTGACATCTTGCACCCCGAGGCGCTCTCAAATGCAGTCGCTCCCTCCATCGACAGCGCTTGATGACTCGAGTGTCCACAAGTTGTGCACTGCATCAATCCTCCGCCACGGCGCCATGCTACAGCGACACCAAGTCGAAGGAGTGCGCGATATCATGTGCCGCGCCTGCGGCATCCCAATGCTGTGTGGCTCTCCAACCTGTTCGATTCGGAGTGACTGCGCTCGACAAGTTGACGTGTCACGAACGGAAGCGCGTGCGCCATGCAGTCCGTTGTAAACTCGTCGCATGGCCCACATGTCGCCCGCGAACGCCGTTGGACAATCACAAATCCCAATCCTTTCATGATCACTGAATGCTGCGTCGCCCGCGTGTGTGCTGTGAGTGCGAGTCGCACGTTGAAATCCCACCATACGCATCGCCCCCGCGTTTGTGTCCGATGCGGCTTGTCGAAGCGACCACGTCAACCAACGCAATCGCCTCGACTGCGATCAGGACCTTCCGCAACGTCGTCCGCACCACTGCAACCGATGGATGGCGGGACTCGACTAGCGAGCACTAGTACGCGCGCACTCGAGATCCGGCGACGGCTTTATGCCAGCCACCAAGGCATGCCAGCGATGCCCCTCTTCCGGACCAAATCCACCGAGGCGCCGTGGCCCGGGCTCTTGTCGACAATATATAGTCCTCTCTTTCATCTCGTCATGCTGGCATCCACGTCGTTTGCGACCGTTGCCACAACCGTCAGAAAAACGGATGTGCGACGTTTCCACGCGGGGTCAGCAGCCACCCCATGCACGCAATGTCGTTGGGGAGAACGGGGGCTGCATCGTAGCACTTGACGGCATGTCCACCCCTGTGGTTGCAGTCTGTACGCTGTGCACAACAAACGAAGAGCGCGCATCGGCAGGTCCTACAGCGGGTCAGTTCAAGAGTGAACAGCTGAAATCGCCGCGTCGTGGACATTTTGAAGCCGTCGCAGTCGAATGGCCATGCCGAGTGCACTGACTCACGCAGGTGGCATACCATACCAAGAAAACAGAGATGGCATCACGCATGATCACAGTCGTCGCCAGCGAGCAGCATTCGCGACGAAGTTGTCAACCCATCTCTGTTCAGAGCCCCCATCTTCGATATGCGTTGGCGAGCTCGTGGAAGCCAAAGCCCTACCATCCCATACATTCTAGGAACACTGCCAAGTGTGAAGCACATGGCGTATTGGGGCTGAAGACTTCACAGCATCAAATGGTCTTCGCTCAAGCCTTGATACGTTTTCGAGAGGTCGGAAGCGATCGTGTGGGGACTCGTCCGGCCGCCCGGATTCGCTTGGTGGCACCAGCCAAACCTCGAACAATTCTCCATGCAAAGGAAGGAAATATCCTTGGTATAAGAACCTGTTGCCACTAGACTAGAATACTATTCGTCCTTAAAGTCAGGTTTCCCGCAAGGATCCAATTGACCATCATTCACCATTTCCGTCTTTCGATGGCAGTGGGAAGATGACGATGGAATGATCGGTGCATTCTGCAATTCTTCGCTTGGTGAGCGTGATGGAGGCGATGGCAATGCTGCTCCAAGAACCTGTGCGAGAGCCCGACACAGAGACTGCTCTCGCAGCCACTTTGCCTGGGAAAATCGTGGTGGCGGCTGACGTCGTGGACGAGGCGTTGGTCGTCTGCCAAGTGTGCTTTGACGCTGTCCGTTCGAGCGAATCCATCACGCAGATCTGCCAGGACTCGTGCCATGGCGTGATGTGTGCCGAGTGCATGTCGTCGTATTTGCGAGTGTGCGCGGAGTCAGCGCCCAATGCGATCGTGTCGCGGTTCCTCTGCCCGATCTGTGTCCGTCCACTCAACATGCAGCGCTTGATCAGCACCATCAATACATGCGTCAACGAATCGGACATTCGCGCGCATGAAGTCGCGTTCCGTCGCCGCGTCGAAGCATCGTGCGAAATGCTCTGTCCCTCGTGCCACAACACAACCAACCTCCTCACGAACGCCCCCAACGTTGACGCTGCCATCGACAACAAAATGCACCGAACCGAATGGCCTTCCGACTTTCACTTGACCTTTCCCGACGTTCCAGACGAGGTCATTGCGACCTGTGTGCGGTATTGCAACCACGACATGACTGCCGATGCCCTCCTGGCACACCTCGAACAAGCGGTCGGGCGCGACACCTACATTGACTTTGCACAGTCTCTCTGGTGGTACATGTACGACCCCGAGCGCCGCGCCTCGCTGTTCCTGGCCGCCGCGAAGCATGATCCGTTTGAAGTGACTCCGTGCTGTGACGCCGACGTGTGCTTTGTGTGTAAACGAGCGGGAACTCACGCTGGGCAGCCCTGCTCGGCATACTTGCCCGAGATCGACGACATGGCTCAGTGCCCTGGGTGCGATCTCATGCTCGTCAAAGGCGACGGGTGCAATGCCATCACGTGCTTTTGTGGTACGTGTTTTGAGTGGGACGCCCAAGTGATCCACTACCGCCTCAAGGCGCGCACCGTCCACGTGCTCGCGTCGCACCGCCCTGCATTTGAAGCGGTTGCCGCGTTCTTGCGGCGCCGTGTGTGGCAGCGCAAGTACTCGATCTTTGTTGTCGGCCAAATTCCCATGTTCGTCCTGCACCAGCGCATCACAAACCTCGCGCCGGTCCTGTTTTACCCGCCGTGGAGCACATCGTTTCGCACGCATCTCGAGGCTTTCATGGCTCGTCGGCGAGTGATCAAGGAGACAGCGGCCCGGCGGCGCGACATCCAACTCCTCGTGACCACCGACCTTCCTCAGCGGGTGCAAGAGCTGCGTCTCGTCCGCCTGCGATACGCCGTCACGCAACCCGGCTCTGTCTGGCGCACGTCATTCAAGGCGTGTGTGGTTCGAAAACTCTTTTGCCTGCGGTTTGCCAAACAGATGCAGAGTGTGCCGCCGATGGCTGTGGGGCGGTGTGCAGAGCAATCGAGCGGGCTGCCCAGTCGCGCATCCCTGCTCTCGTCGCTGCGTGATCCGTCTGCTCTCGTTCGTTTAAAATCACGGCAGACGCAAGACCCCACTGGCCGACCTCGATCCTTGTCTGTCGGATGTAGTGGTTCGAATGCATAACTTACAACACGTCTCCACCGAGCTGCGATCGACTTTTTGGGGCTTTGAAGCATGGGCGGACGCTGGTCGCATGTACAGACAGCTGACCCCTGCCACCTGATAGTGCCTCCTTCGCACGATGTGCGCCACGCAAGTCTTGCATGAGGCAGAGGGCGTGCGTGCTACAAAGGAATTGTCCAGCATATTTGAACCCCCCTCGAATGCCATTCAGCGCATGATCCGTGCCACGCAGGACAAGCTAGTGCAAACCACCCCACAGTGTGCCAAGTTCAAGACGGCCCCGTGACCATCTGCCTCACATCCCCATGGAATCATGCACGTGCGGCCAGAAAGAAACGAGCCCATGTGGACAATGGCCGAGCGGCACGTGCTGCAGCGCTTGCTTTCCCGACGACGGCCAGCGGTTTCGTTGACGTCGTCGTCTCGACGTTACAAATTTCCGGCCGTTTCCCATTTATTATTTGGTGGCACAACATGATCCAGCAGCATGGAGGCGGCGGCGGCGGCAGCGCCAACTGGTCGACGGACGAGTGGATGTTTCGCATCAGCATCATCCTTGTCCTGGTCCTTTTGGCCGCGGTCTTCTCGGGCCTGACGCTCGGGCTCATGTCGCTGGACAAGACTGGACTCGACATCGTGATCGCGACGGGCGAAGACCCGAAAGCCACCGTGGAAGAACGGATCAATGCCAAGCATGCCAGGAAGATTCGGCCGATTCGGCAAGACGGTCACCTTCTCCTTACGACGCTCCTCTTTGGCAATGTCGCGGTCAACTCGATCATGGCCATCCTCATGGCCGACATGACGTCAGGTGCGTTGGCGAGAAGTGGTTTGGTGCGGGGACTGGCGAACGATCGAGTTGCTTGTAGGGACGGTCGGGTTCATCGTGAGCACGGTCGTGCTGGTGATCTTTGGTGAGCTCGTGCCCCAAGCGCTCTGCTCCAAGCATCCTCTCGGTAAGTCGATGGTTTGGGCCCGCACCACTCTCGCTTCAACCGGCACTTGGTAGCAATCGGGGCTGCCGCGCTTCCAGTGATTCGACTCCTCCTTGCAAGCATGTACATCGTGGCCAAACCGATTGCGCTCGTGCTTGACTGGGCCGTGGGGAAGGACATGGGGACGCTCTTTTCCAAAGGCGAGGTATGCGACCGTTTGCTTCGACAAGCATGGAGGGCGCGGACTCACCCGCGGCGGCGGCCCTTTATTTGCTGTAGTTGGAAAAGATGCTCGACATCCATGTCGCCCAGAAAAAACTCGACTCGGACGAGCTCGCGATCATGAAGGGCGCAATGTACTACAAACAGACCGCTGTATCGTCGATCATGACGCCGATCGCGGACGCCTTCACGCTCCCGGGGTCGACCGTGCTCGACCAACCAACTATTGAACGGATCTACGCAGCGGGGTTTACGCGCGTGCCAGTGTGGGGCCGCGACCTCAACGACATCCTCGGGGTCGTGTTTGCCAAGGACTTGATCTTTGTCCACCCGCAGGTGACGACTGCCGAACGCACCCGTCGTCACGCGTTGTGTGGACGAGTAGGACAACGGCACGCTGTTGGACTTTATGCATCTCTTTGGGCGCAGCGTCCATCGCGTGTGGCCCGACTCGTCGCTGGGCGACGTCCTGCACGCATTCAAGCTCGGTCGGACGCATTTGGCGATTGTCCATGACGTAAACAATTGGTCGGACGTACGTGTTGACGAGGACAGCAGGCGCGTTGTCCTGACATGGCGGCGGCAGGTCGATCCGTTTTACGAAACGCAGGGCGTCGTGACGTTGGAAGACATTGTCGAGGAGATTCTGCAGACGGACATCCTGGACGAACGCGATGTCGTCGAGGGGGGTACAGAGTGTGCTGCCACGATGTCGGCCCCACACGTGTCTGTAGAGATGGCCGCACGAAACAAGCGACTGCATCACCCGAGCTTTGACACGGGCGTCCGCCACATCCTCGACAACAACACGACATGCAAGTCGATGGACGAGCCAGAGGTACAATGACATGGACTGGTCCGACTGGCACGGGCTGCGGTAGGCCATGTCGTTAGCCAAGCACTTGGTCGCAACGCACCCGGTGTTTCAAGTGTCGACGTCAGCAGGCGTGCCATTGACGGCGGCCACCGTGGCCGCGTTGCTCATGCGAAGCGCGATCGTGGAATTCGACGCGGACCAAGAGTACCCCCCGCTGTACGAGATGCACACTGTCGCGCCGCCCCACTGCATGGTTATCGTCCAAGGGTCGGTGACAGTCACGACCAGTGAAGGCAAAACCTGTATGTGCGCGACATGGTTGTAAGCGTTGTTGTAAGCGTTGTGTTGTAGCGACGGCCGGGCTCTGGACGGTGCTGAGCGCGCACAGCTTGCTCGGTGCGGAAGGCGACGTCCGCAGCGACATGACGGCAACAGTGGCTCGCGCCAGCTACACGCGGTGCTTGCGAATATCTCGACTCGAGTTTCAGCGCATGCTGCGCCCTGTTCAACTGACAAACAACACGTCCGAGCTCACGTTGAAGCGCCATCAGAGCAGCCATGCGATCAACACGGTCGGCCGCGTCCGTCGGTCGCGCAAAAACCCGCCGACCGGCCACGTCGCCGACATCGTCCAGTACGTGTAGAAGTCGAGTTGTGTGGGGACAACAGTGCATTGCAACGAGTTCATCCAACTACCTTGCCACCTTCGCGGACGCTCCAATGTACATGTGGCCATGCGCTGCCGATATCACGGCGGATGCCATGCGCATGGTCACATTGCTCAGTTGTCCTTGTGTCGAGCCGAACGGAAGCGGCTGCAGCAACGAGGACGCTGCAGAGTGGATGGAGCTGTCGATACCAAACCAGCGGTGGCAACCAACTGTCCCGCACGATGCACTGCATCGCACTCGCCAAATACGTTCAACCGAGATACCAGCGATCCCTGCTCCCTTGACATGCCGCGACAATGCTCAAGGGATGGATGCGTCTGGCGTCGTTTGTGTTATGTACAATGTTGTCGACGTCCCTCTTCGCTACATGGACTCTCTCGTGGACAAGTGATACGGCACTTGGGTCGCATCCATGTCGCTTTGAAAGTTGGCTGTCGGTGTCGCGACGTCGAGCACAACGTCCGCGGCGCCGAGGTCCTTCTTGCTGTTCTGGAGGTCCAGGCGGCGCTCGGCCAGCATGGTCGGTTTCTCAACAATGTGCATGGGGAAGAGCGTCGATTGGAACTCGAGGCGGGGAATGCGCAAGCAACGCACGTGAACATCGGGGGGAATCTCGACCGTCACGTCGCTTTCGTACGACCCGTCCGCGGCCAAGAGGCTGTCGGCCCCGAAAACACTCCACAGCCCGCCTTTCGTTGGAGAAGCTAGTGCATGTCACTGTCGTGGGCATCATCGCAGAGCAAACCACAAACGCACACAACGTACCTGCTCCAGACGACACCATCACGTAGCCGGCCAACACAACCATACAAAAGTTGGCCACTTTCCCTTCCGTGTACAACTCGGCGTGCGCCACGTCGTCAGCGCGTGCATCGTATTCCACAATGTGACTTTTGGCCAAAATCGCAGCGACTTGGGACTCGTCCAGCGGCGTGCCTACACCGGTCGGTGGGTTGGCACGGGCAGCATGTCTACGCTACCTTGATAGTTGGACGTCATAAACACAGGCTCGTGGGCAACCAAGTGCTTGGCCAGCGCCTCTGCCTGGTCGCCGCGTGAGAATGCAATTCAAAAAACAAGCAGATCGAGACCTCGGGCGTGGCGAGAAGCTTGGTCTTCTCGCTGCCTTCCAGTACATGCGACACCCCCGCGTCATAACTTCGGTTGCTCAGGCGATTCTTTCGATGTGTTTCCGCATCTAGTCGGCACAGTCGCAGTTTATGGTGATGAATCAACATGCGACGGCACAACCATACCGATCGCGTCGCTTTCATCGTAGATTTCAGCTTGCAAGATCTCTTCGACAATGTCCTCCAGCGTCACGACCCCCTTGGTTTGATAAAACGGATCCCCCTGACGATTTTGCCTCAGTACGATGGATTTGCCATGCCGTTCGAGTCGCGTGATGCAGCCCGCCTAGCTCACGCAAGGGGCAGCGTGCGTCGACGTACCGGGCCAGCGTTGTTGACGTCATGCACAAGGGCCAAGTGTGTTCGACCCATCTTGAATGCTTGCAGAACTTCTCCGAGCGTCGAGTCGGGCCATACGCGGTGCACGCCTCGGCCAAACACGTGCACAAAGTGGAGCAATGTCGTCTCTTCCGCGGGGTCGGCAAAGATGAGATCCTTGACGAAGATGATCCCGACGATGTCATGGATGTTTTTGCCCCAAACAGGAATGCGGCTAAACCCTTGATGGTAAATGTCTCGAATCGTGGCCTGCGTGAGCTTGGTCGACCCCGGCAGCGTGTACACGTTTTCAATGGGGGTCATGACGCTCGCGACGGTTTTCTTCTTGTAGTGCATCGCGCCCTTCATGATGTCCGTCTCGTCCGCGTCCAGCATGTTGTGTTTGACGTAGATTTCGAGCATCTTGCCCAGCTATCATGCATGCGTTGAGTCCATAGTATGGAGCGGCCTGCACCGACAACAGGACGAGACCTCACGCTTGTTGAAGATCGTGCCGATTTCGTGGCCGAGCATCCAGTCCAGGGTGAGCGCGATCGGCTTGGTGATGATGTACATGAGGTAGATGAAGAACCAAACGATCGGTAGCGACTTGGCGCCGATGTCTACAGCGCATGTCGCCGTGTGGATGCCGCTTAAAATTGACAGAGGCAATGCGGAACGTACACAGAGCATGGCGCGAGCACAGCGCTTGCGGAATCAACTCGCCAAACACGACCAGCAAGAACGTCGTAAGGAGAAACCCCAGTGTTCCTGTCGTGACGCGATGAGGGACCTTGCAGGACGGACGATGACGAAACATGCATACCTGACGTCATGTCAGCCATGATGATCGCAAGCACCGAGTTCACGGCCACGTTCCCAAACAAGAGCGTCGCGAGCAGCAAATGGCCATCACGACGCACCCTTTGAATCTTCCTTGCATTCTGCGCGTTGGCTTTCTCTTGTTCCGTCGCATGTGCTTCCTCGCCCGCTTCAATTACGATCTGGAGCCCGTTCTTGTCGAGCGCCATGAGACCCAGCGTCAGACCGGAGAAAATGGCCGCAAGACTTAGGAGCAGGACAATTGCGCACATTCGTAAAACCCATTCTTCCGTCGACCATTCGGCCGAGGAGTGGTCGCTGCTGCCGCCGCCGCCGCCGCCATTCAAGCGCCGAAGATCCATCCTGGAAAATTAGTAATCTCGGTGAGGGTAACTGTTCGCAACTGGAGAATAAAAAATATAGTCACATCGACTTTCATACCAAACGTATTAAATATCTCTTGTAAGTTGTATGATTCCTTGTCGGAATTGAAATATTTTTGGACTCAATATTGCAACAAGAATTTTAAATTATGTCGGAGCGAATTTCAACACGTGGGGCAGACACAACAACGCGCGGTGATCGAGCTTGCGTGGCCATGGAGCGCAGCGCGGGCCAAGACAGGCTTCCATACCGTCAGGATAATCCACGGCATTAAGATCAACTATCTGGACGCCGAAGACGGCCAACAGCATCTGAACGCGCATCAAATGATTGCGTTGCAGTTGCTGTCATCGCTGGCCACCGACAATGAAGCCCGTCAGCTCGCGTTCGAGGCCATCCATCGCGGTTTTTGTGTCCACAACGGTCGCAAGAAGCTGTGGTGATGACAGGTTTGTTAGGTACACCTCAATGCTCCACTCGTGGCGTGGTCGAGGTACGAAACGGGATTGCATGGTGGGCATAGCGATTCAACCTTCCATAAGCGAGTCCAGCCTCGCATTTTGCAAGCACCAGGAGAAGCGATCGCCTGAAGAAGGGCCAACAGTGCGATGATGGACCAGAAAATTAGCATTTTGGTGTCTTTCCTACATACCCGACCTGTCTTGTCCGTCGAGCAGACTTTGCTTCGCTTCGAACGGATCGTCGTGCATGGCGCCGTACGGTGACGACGTGGGCATCGGGTGGATTTGCAAGGACGGCAACCGAAATCGTTTGGACTGCGGCGTTGGCTCGCGGAATCGCACGTTGCTGTTCATGTTTCGCACGCCAAGGTTGATGGGGTAGAGCATGTGCTGAAATTCAACTCGTGGGATGTGTAAACACAGAATCTTGGGGTGTTGGGCGCTCACGGTGGCGGTGTAGTCTGGAAGGTAGGCGTTCTCGGGCGATACCAAACACTCGGGGGCGAGCACGGACCACAGCCCAATCTCTTTGAACAGTCCGTGATGTGTCGATACCTTCACCGTGCCTTCCATGATGACCACGCAGTGGTTGACCACGTGGGCTTTGGACAAGATGTCAGGTCCATGGATGGTGCACTTGCCGTACTCGACAAGGGGGCATTTCACCAACATCGCTTGCACGTCCGCCGTCGTCAACGGTCCGCCTGACAGCGCACAGAGATGTTCAAGGGAAACCTCACCATGCGCTTGCGACCGTGCGCGCTTACCACGATTGGGCTTTTCCAGTTGAAAGACAGGCTGATGCTTGATCAAATGGGACGCCAGGTCCTCGGCCTGCAAGACAACCGATGAGTGCCTTTCACTTGGTCATCGCTGCAACCCGTCAAAGGCCATGCACTCCATCTCATCCCATGCCGAACCAAAGCAAGAACGCATGCCCCGCGGAGGTCGTGGGCGTACCTCGTCCGGAGTCAAAAACATGTCTCGATCAACATCGACGTCAACGCCGAGGAGCCGCATCTTGCCAAAGTCGACTTGGCGGCATTCCTTGCGATGCCGTCGCATGTCTGTTGGCGCTGGCATGACATGTCGAGCACACTGCGGCTGTCGTACGTACCAATGTTGGGCTCGTTGCGAAACGTGTCTTGCAATATTTCTTCTACAACGTCCTCGAGGGTCACAATGCCTACGGCTTCCAGGTACGGGTCGCCGATGCCGCGATTGTTGACTTCGTGGACGAGAGCGAGGCGGGATCGCCCCATCTTGAACGCTTTGAGGAGGTCGCCCAGATTTGTATCGGGCCACACGCGATGTACGCCACGTCCGAAAATTTGGATGAACTCGTCGATGGGAATGGCATCCTAGAATTGCCCTCGATGAAATCTGCCAAGCAACCGACAAAGTCGACCTCGGGATCGATAAAGACGAGATCTTTGGTGAAGAGCAACCCGATGATGTCGTTGCGAGTCTTGCGCCAGACGGGAATGCGGCTGAACCCGCTTTGGTAGATCTCCCGCATCGTGTCGGCGTTCAACTTGGCGGTCGACACAAGCATAAACACTTTGTCGATCGGCGTCATGACCGCCGACACTTGCTGGCTCTTGTAGTGTAGAGCCCCGTACATGATCCAGCTTTCTTCATCGTCGATCATTTCTTGTTTGACGTGGATGTCGAGCATCTTCCACAGCTCCTTCTTCGTAAAGATCGTGCCAACGTCTTGGCCGAGGAGACGGTCCAGCACCATGCTCACAGGCTTGGCAAAGGCGTAAAACATGGTAATGATGACTTTGACGACGGGAATCGACTTGGCTCCAATCGCTACAACGAGTCTCGTCATCAGACCGAGTATGGATCACCCTTACCAAGAGCATGACGGGAGCATGCAGCTTGTGGAAAGATCTCTCCAAATAGCACAATCACAATTGTGGATACAATGAACCCCAAGAAGCCTAAGGTGGACAAAGGCGCGCTGTCGACACAAGACAGATGATATGTGATGTCGACTTACCGCTCGTGATATCTGCCATGAGGATCGATAAGAGCGAGTTCACAGCTACGTTGCCGAGAAGCAGGGTTGTAAGCAAGAGATTGCCGTCTCTTCGAATGGGCGCAATGCGCTTGGCGGCGTCCGCTTGGGCTTTCTCTTTCTCCGTCGCATGTTCATCTTCACCAGCGCCAATGACCACCTCCAACCCGACTTTGTCCAGCGACATGAGTCCCAGCGTTAGGCCAGAGAAGAGTGCAGAAAGAGCCACCAGCGCGACAATGCACATGATGCGAGCTACCCACAGCGCAGTGGAATCCCCTCCATCGCCTTCTTCGTCCATGCGGTGTCTTTTCAACTTGAAGACAACGCAAACAGCATCCCTGTCGTCCGGATAAAGCGGCCATTGAAACCACCAGCAGTCATAATTGAATTCAATCTTCCAGCGAGTATTTTAATAATACGTCCTGAACAAGCTGTTCTTTGCCAAGATCGAACAGACGTTTCGATAATAAATGCAAATAAAATCATTCCTCTCAATATCTTTATCCGGATTTTGGTGTCCAATTCGAAACGGTATTCTTGGACAGTTCACAACTGCCTCCCAGAAGAGCAACGCGAGGGAATCGCGGAAGGCGTGTGGACGTCGGCGTATCAGGGACTGCCACCGCCGTCGTTGGGTCTGTTCGTGATATTGTGCATGCTGCAGATCTAGAAATGAGTCATGAAACGTGCATTTCCCAAGCACGCCGACACACCTGATTCAGAAGCTCAAACACGCGGTCCACGTCCGACACAAGCGTCAGCTGTACCTCAGCACACCCTTCTTGCAGTGTGTGGTGAATGGATATCACTGAGATGCCGAGGACGTGTGGCTTGGTCACCCTGGATCGCAACCTTTAACGCTCTCGACAACGTCTCCAATGGCGAACATTGCGACATACCTCGTGATCGAGCTGAACGCGATGTCCTTGAACGACGATATCATGAACATTCCCATTTTAAACACCAGGCGACTACACCATTCACCCGATCAGGCAAGGTTTGGCACAAGTAGGAGGCGTACTCGTAGGTGACGTAAAATTTTGCCGGAATTTTGCCCAGGATGCACGAGCCCTCGTACAGCACTGCGCCTTCCCACGACGGGTCGCCCGCAGACCTACACACATGAGCTGGTGCATCACTCATGTGCTATCTGGCTTACCCGAGCGTGGCTTGAAGCATCTTTTTGGCTTCCGCACTACAAACTCCCATGAGCAATGGCATGCTTGCACCGCATCAACAACAGACGGAACTGCACGAGATGGCATGTCGTACTTGTCAAGGATGGACTGAAGGGCGAGGCGGCGCAGGCGCGTGGTGTACTCGACACGGCGTGCGATCTGCGCCCGCTTGTCACGAATCTTCAGGTCGACAAATGAGCTGATACGACTTCGGTGGGTCTGCCACAATGCGTGGACGAGCTTGGTCACCCGTTCACCACGGGATAATCCTCGTGCCTCATCGCCTGAAGGAGCGATGGTTTCGAATCCTGCTGCATCGGTGGCAGGAGACTTGGAGGGATTCAGAGCGGGTCGCGCAGGTTGTGGCTTGTCAATGTGAAATTTAGCATAGAGGGGCTCAAGGACGCTCAGGAGCTGGGCAGTCGCGACTTCATTGGCATGCGCGTATTCTTCTAAGGGTAAAGACAATTGCCGTAACGTCGCCTTCATTTCCCTGTGAATGTGGCCATTTTGCATGAGGAAATGCCACGGGATTTGAAGGACTTCCGCACGTACGCGTCGAACGCGGCTGCCACGTCCCTCACGTAGTCATCGTCCAACGCCACTGCAAGTTCATCTAGAGGAAATTGTGTTGAAGGAATTGGAAGCACGAGGCAGTAACGAGATGGAGAGTTCGACTACCCATTCCATCGCAGAACGACGGTGACAACAGGATGGCCAACGCGTATCCGATTTCCTCGATGGCGGACTGCAAATGGGCAAATATTGTGTCGGCGGTTGCGTGAAGGGCCACATTGACGCTTGGAGAGGATGGAAGGAACTGCGCTGGGACGACACTTCCGCCAACAGCACAGACATAGACGCGAAGAATGCGCAGCTTGGATGCAGACACGCCGACGCGAGCAAACACGACATTGTGGGTGGGAAGGTGAAACAAGGATGGAGCACCGGAGGCATCGACCTTTCGACGATACACACCGGTGGGTCGAGATGCGTCATCGGAATCGAAATCTGGTTGAAATCCATGGCTCAGCAGCACGGTCGACAGCAAGTCGTGGAACGAAGACAATGAGATGTCAGGACGCAATCTCGCTTCGTATATGATCCATTGTCTCGACTGCACGGGGCACGACGTCAACCACGACTCTGCTTCGCGTAAAGATTCATGCTCTGACTCTGACAGCGACACGGAAGCATCTACCGGTGTGAGCTTGTGAAAATCTGGGTGTTTGGTTGCTTCAGCGATGGCTCCTTCTTGGAGCAGCGCAACAGTTTCGTGGACCAAGGCTGACAACGCCGCAGGTGATGCACTTTCTTCATCTGCTCGTGTCTGAGGTGTATCGAGGCTCGTATGCTCATGGCTTCGCGGTGTTTCGCTGCAGTCAACAACAAGCGGCTCCGTCGAGTTCATCGTGCTGCGCAACACTATCGCGAAAGGGTCGAACACCCCGAGAATATATCTTCCAGCCCCAAGAAGTTTCAAAGAATATATAAGAAAAAATCGAAAATAAAGCAGTTTGATACGAAATATTGACTCAAAAGTGATACTTTTCACTGTGGCCTGCACAAGTTGCCGAACCAACCAATATGACATGTGAATGTATTCGCCTTTGGACGCACGAGATGCTCACGTCATGCATTTAACTCTATCCACATGCAAGTCTCTATCGCATTGCGGAGCTCAGCCGCTGAGCAATGCTCACACTTGCCGACAGCCGTGGCTTGGTCACGATGGCATGTTGGGCATCATGCCTTGGACCCGTCAGGAAAGACGACGACGGCTGCGTCTACTCCAGCGCGGTCATACGCTTCCACTGTCTCCGAGGGGGCAGACTTTTGTGTCGCAGCTGGCTTCAAGAATCGAAACGACATGGCGACCAACGCACCCACGAACACGGCGTACACGACGTTGATCGCAATGTACAAGGCGGTCTCGGTCGTCGACCCGTCGTCCAGAAACACAAACGAAAACGCGGCTGTGTAGTACAAATACCGCAAAAGGATGGCCGGCCCAATGACACTGTCCATGCACATGTCTTCCAGCTGAGTGGGGACGGTGTGGTGGGTCGCGTGCTTGTGGTGCTTTCGCACGTACAGCCACGTGCCGGTGATGGCGCTGCATGACACAATGTTGGCGATGTCGAGCAGGATGAATGGGATGTAAATCGACAACTGGCTTCCTTCTCCGTACAGCGCCAAGTAGATGACGAGGATAATGACCAAGACGACCGAGTACCCGACCGCAGCCCGCACCATGAGCCAGCAAATGCACTCGCGGGACAATCGTTCCTTCATTTCGCGACGCACGGATCCAATATACGCAATGTATTTGGTCACTTCGTCAACAATTGCCATGACCAGCGTCCCCACTAGGAAGAAAAACCAGTGCCGCTTGGTAATGCTGTACGACAGGTAATACATGAGCACGTCCAAGAAGAACGCCGCAACGCCGCCGACAGTCGCCATGACGAAAAACGGCGCCCATGGTAGCGACTCCAACGCCATCGCACGCCCGTGAACAAAGTCAGTTGTGGAATACATCGCGTGTTCATCACCTAAAGATAGGTTGCGAAACGGATGTCCCTGTCATGAGGCACAAGTTCAAGTCGAATGCATTTCCACAAACTCGTACGACTCATGTCCATATTCACGCCGGTGGCGGGCACGTCATCACGCACAAGGGTCTCTGACTTTGGTGGCCGCGACTGCCGCCTGCGTGCGCTACCCATCGGGGAGGTGTTTGTTTCGTTTCTGTACAGTCCTGTAACATCCGACGTATGTACTGTACTATATTCGTACGTACACACTTTTCA